GTTTCCGGGCCAAAATTCCCCAGGAGAGCATAGTACTATACAATGACGTCCTCGACGTGCAGCCTTGATAATAATAGTATCGCCGAAAGAGGCTCTGCCACTGTATGGCGTTTGGTAAGTCCACTTGAATCCAACCAATCCCATCATAATGAACACTCTTACCTTGTGGTGTTTCTCAATAGCATCTTTGCCTCAAATGGAAACCGTATCTTCTTGCCATCCAGTAGGTGCTGCTGTTATTCCATTGAAAGGCTCGTTAGTTAGCATGTTTTGCTTTGTACATCCAATGCCACGCATACCATTGAGCCAACCATACAGTATTCTTGCTTTGAGATCAATTTCTTCTTGCTGCCAGAGGCACCATAATCCAACGTATCCAAGCTACAGTAAATGCAAGTTAAGATAACAAGAATAGCATTCGCTTTTCATGTTGACATACCCAAAGTAACAATGTGTTGGGATTTCTCCTTGATGATAGCCATGAAATACACACGACACGCGACGCCCCCTTTGGATCTTGTATAAATGAGAGTACAGCAAACTACACGTGAATATTAGTATCTCAATGTCCAACTTGAATGATAAAGGAATGCAGCGATGGAACGTACATGTTGTATTGCAATGGAAGCTTGAGTCATGGGCAGATCGCGCGCGTACTTGTTGTTGAATGTCTGCAACTGGAAAGTGTCGCCATTGACCACATGTTCACCCCAATGAACGCTGTACATTGCAAGGAATGCCAGCGATTAACGCGTTGCAGTTCGTAAATGGAGACAAGCTTACCTTTTTTTGTGAAGTGGAAGTGAAAAAGAGTGGTCTCTTTGTTCCTCTTGTTCTCTTCAATTCGTGCACTCCATGCCACCCCGCTGGCTACAGCTATCACTGTTTATACGTACCCTCAACAATATCATATACTCTTAGCTCAATAAGAATGATCACTGCTCAAGACTTCAATTGATAACGGCCCTCGTGATTAAGCTATTTGGTCTGTGCGCATCACATCAATCCATGAGTTATTATGCAACTCCACTCTTGAACCACCTTGTGCAACCTACTGTGCAACCCCTGCCAAATATAGAACAAGCGATATCCGCATGTAAATTCAGTGTCATTGTCATAATGGATAACTTCTTTATCATTGAAATGATATATAAAAGGAGCCAACATTGCCCAAAACTATTATCATTATCCAATTGTAATTGCCATCTACTATAATGTAGTTGCTAAGTGAATTTGACTCGTTACTCGTTCGTTGCCCGGTAATGTATAGCTTTGGAGGTGATATTATCCATACTGGGATTCATGTGGATGTTGGGTTGCAAGAAAAAGCGTCATAAGAAACGAGTATAGTAAGGAAGCAACCCATGATTTTCTACTTCTCAATGACGTAGTGAACAATTCCACTTGCTGGACTCTTTGCCATCGACACAATAGGAGATCTAAGTAGAAAGAGAAAAAGAGGAGCGTCCGTTATGGAGAGTGCTGAGAGGTCATGTTGAACCTTACAATCAACCGTGGGGTCGTCAATAGAATTGACATGCGTAAACAACATCAATAAAGAAACGATATCAAGGTATATATGCATGGTCGATGTCACATTCGAACGTAGGGGTACGTGCTGCATAAACCCAGTTAGTTCAATGAGCACGGATATAACAGTAAGGTACAGCGATTGGTCGCTCGCCCTGAACATGCTTGTTCTCAAAAGTTCATCCCACTCTTTATTGTATCAGAAAAGGCATAGATCTATTACAAGACCAATAACAGAACCACTTTATCATTGCATCATCTAGGCTAGTATAATCCGCAAGCAACAAGAAGAGGGGAATAAGCTAGCTAAGTCCAAGTGGATAATAATCAATGCCTCCAGCTACTTCGTCGTGGTCACAATCACTATCCGAGGCACCAATAGAAAAGAATGGGATCCTGCATGCGTCCTTCTATATGCCAAGCGGATATGAGGAATCAGCCAAGTAATGATAATCTTGCCGGGAGAGAGGTATCATGCGTGTGTCGCTGTTGCCTCTATAAAAAAAGGAAAGCAAATATACAGCAATCAGATAACCAAATACCTTCGAGGCCATCACCATCATACCACCCAGGGCCTTGTGGTTGTTCTCATTCATCCTCCCCCACACAAAGAAACAATGATCCCCTATCATCCCAATCCTCAAAGAGTTACCGACCAACAGATACCACGAGAATAACGCGTTGCTGTGAACAAACGTCAAATCACCAAAAGGTACAGGCTGGGAGTCGAACCCAAAGAGATGATAATGGCCCAAATTGCACCGCCTGATCAAAAACCTGTTCAACCCATTATTAGCTAATGTATACAATAAACGCCTCTTTCATTGTACTTGTTCGCTGCACTCGCCTTTCATATGCATAGAGGCCTTTGTTGTTGGGTTGCTGATACCGAAACAATGATGTAGTGCAGTTGAGCCGAAACAAAAAGCCAAACGAGCCAACGTCTTGAGATCAGTCTTGGCGTCTACACAAACTACCATGTCAATGGAACAAGTTCTGCTGCTACATTGGACTATGAATGTACCTGTTGCATAAAGCGTGTTGGAGCGACATAGCAACGAACAAGAAGAGCGACGATATCACCGTGGCTACCTCCACCTACTACACTCCCTGCCTATGAGTACTCAGCACTATATGGAAACCTCGCAACCAATGAGAGCATTACCTCGATGGGATGCCATGAATGGGATAGAAGGAGAGGGTTAAAGAGAACTTCTGGTCCCCAAATTAAATCTCCCTCAATGAGATTACACTGAGCTTACTTTCACACGCGTAACTTTCACTGACACAATAAAGAACAAACAAATATTTGGACGATGAATGTGGTGAAGATTGCCATTGGCTCTCACGTAAAATAGTGTTGGGATGACAATAATATACATCATGGAGGGAAGGGACTCATACACCATTATCCAGCATGCATAATCACATGCGGATGGTAGCCGTAGATATGGAAGTCGGCATTGAAATGGTGGCACTAAATTTCAGCTGCCATGACAACCGAAAATCTTGATAACGTCGTTAACGGCATCGCTAATTTGAAGCGTCATTGTTCGTTCACGAAGGATGCGCTTGTATCAGCTGATGATCCGCCACGGGTCTAGGCATTGTTCATGCATCTACGTATGCGAGGTTGACAAGAGCTTTATTTGTTGAGTGATGTGAGAATCCTATGAGATAGGACGATAAGTAATTCTAGTAGCAATGCGTCAAAGATAACGGCCATTTGCTCTAGAATTCGATCTTCCTTAATATCCCTATCAACCACCAGACGCGCCCATCATGTTGTCATTCGGCAACATCATTTCCTTCTTCATTTGACCTGAGGGTTTCCAAAAGTGGCATACGATTACGTAGCGATGAAACGATCACATTCGTCGGTCCCGAGAATCCGAATTCCCAATATCATCATCATTGTTAACGAGCAATGGTTGCAACAGCCAAAGACCGTCAATGAAATCCCCTATAGAATCATGAAAATGGACCAAATCAGAAAATGCCGGTATGCAAAAGTATCCATCTACGATGCAATCAAGATGCTCGGATCGAAATCAAAAGATGAGACAAACTAGTAAAGTGTAAAGGTTTACCCCGAATGGGGTTGATCTGCCAAGGCTTGTGTGTTTGTGGATCATATCGCGCTATAAAAAATTTCCAGGGAAAACAAGGTCCCGAAAGCGTATGGAATCAGCCCAAGTCATAGGTTTATGACAATGCTTGCCAATCATCAGCACACGAATGGGTTCATTTGTACAATGCTTAATTAATCAAGACATTGATATGAAGCAATCATAAATCGCCCGCCATCATCGAAGGGTTCAATGTGGATCGGTTCGATGCCGTGAGCACCCCGTGCCTGAATCAAAAAGCATTTACAGTGACACAAAAGAAGTAATAACATTTTTGCACTCCGTATGTGTAGTTTCCGCGCCGGTCGAGATCAATGTATCAGATCAGAACGCCAACAAGCCTGTTACAAGTCGGCATATTTTTTGTTGTTAAAGTATCTAGCGTCACCTCTTTGGAGCAAGGAAGGGAAAAACAGAGGTACAAGGGTGTATATTACTGTTAAGGATATACACTGTTACACTTTGCATTGCAAAAGAGAAAAGAACGATTCGGAAAAAGCATTTCACCGGATACCTAAAACGCCAGCAGCGTGGAGGAGAAGACAAGGCTACTAACCCAGATCTTATATAAGACCAACAGATCCGCTGGAAATGCTCTTTCCCGATCCGTTACCTTTTTCTCTTTCTCTTTTTTCTTCTTTTATAACCTTGGTAGCTTTATATCTATATACCATGGATCCTGAAAAAGCAAAAGCGGTTGACAATGCAGCCGATGAAGACGTAGAACAACAAACGATTCATAATGATGGTCAACAACCGAAGCCTGATGAAATACGACCTGCCGTTGTTCGAGCTGATTCAGAGAAAACAGCTATACCCACAGTCAACCCACCACCAAGACGTAAATTCCTTGCACGCATGATATTAGGTGATCGACCTGCTCCCGATCGGCAGTTCTCCAAGAATAAAAAGCTCATGATCTTGGCTACGGTAGCCATTGCAGGCACCATGTAAGGAAAATCGAGCTCATAGGGTGTTAACAAAGACTCATGCAAATAACCTTTCTGTTGCAGATCACCCGTTGCCACCACAATCTATGTATGTATGGATCCACGTTACATTGCACATCCTATCCCTTGACTCCTTTTTATCCATGCAATTTGCGCTGACATGAAATTATCACATGCATACAATAATAGTATCCCGCCATTGTCGAAATGCAGTACGATCTCAACACTACCGATACCGCCATGAATGCCTCACTTTCGGTCTTCACATTTGCCACCGCCCTCTTTCCTTTAATGTGGGCAAGTTTTGGTGACAAGTTTGGTCGTCGTCCTGTATACTTGGTATCCTTTTTAATTTCGGTCATTGGCAGCGTATGCTGCGCCCTTTCGGTGAACGTGGGAATGCTCATTGCATTTCGAGCTGTCAGCGCTATTGGATCTTCATCGGTATGTGTGATGCTTTTATAATCTCGATCGTATCACTCATTATAGCTTTTCCATTTCCAGGTCATGGTAACGTATCGTTTTAAGAAATGACGATGCTTCATGCATAGCACAAGCTAATCACACGTATACATTTCGAAAACAGTCCATTGGAGCTGGCACCATATCCGATTTGTTTGAAGCTGAAGAACGAGGCCGTGCCTTTGGTTATTACACAATGGGACCTCTTTTAGGACCTGCATTGGCGTAAGTGTGCTTTGTTGCATTTTGTTTGGGTTAGCTTACTCATGCATCGGGTACATAGACCAATCATTGGTGGTTACCTAAGCCAAGGTCTCGGATGGCGCGCCAACTTTTGGTTCTTAGCGATTTTTGCATTCTGCATTTGGCTTTGCATTTTCCTCATTTTACCGGAAACATTGATGAAGCAACCAAAGCAAATCGATCCTTCAGGAGAAAAACCAAAATCAAAGCATCGTCCAGTGAATCCTATTGCACCTATTACCTTGCTTCGATTTCCTAATGTTGCGCTCACAGTGACCTTCGTTGGTATCTTGTACGTATTTTCTCGAGGTTGGAAGCGTTAAAGACCCAATGCTGATTCTCTATAGGTTCTTCGTTTGGTATCTCATCAATACCAATTTCACGAGACTTTATCAACAGCAATATGAATTAGACACCGGCACTACTGGTTTGTGCTATCTTCCTTTGGCAGGTGGAGCCATGATTGGCTGTGTTCTCGGTGGTCGGGTATCGGATCAAAACTACCGACGACGTGTTGCCAAAGCCAAAGAAAATAACCAGGAGGTGTATCCCGAGATGCGTATGGGTAGTCCATTGTTTTATGGTTCTTTGTTCTTGCAATTAGCCATTTGTATCGTTTATGGATGGTGTCTGGAATTCAATGTTCACTATGCTGTCGGCATTGTCATGCTTTTCTTTAGTAAGTTTGATGTCATTGTTATCACTTGAAGCGGTACTAACATCCGATCCACTAGTTGGCTTTTCTCTAATGATTCCTAATGTCACCATGTCCGCTTACTTGATCGATTGTTTCCGGAAAAAGGGTGCATCGGTCACGGCATGTAATAACTTTGTACGATACATCATGGCCGGTATTGGTTCATTGGTCGCTTCTGACATCCAGCGAGCTCTTGGATCTGGCATCTTATATACCATTTGTGGTGCCGCCTTGCTGCTATTTTCCATCCTTCTTGTAATCCTTCGTATGAAGGGTAAAGAATGGGCCATCAAACGCAAGGAACAAGGCTACTAAAGTAGTTCGCTCCATTGTTACCCCCTCTTCGTTCATGGCATAGATCATCAATACTTCATATCTCATTCATTTTGCATTGTATAATAGAGCAATCATTCTTTTCTTCTACATCATATTAAGAAACTAGGTGTAAGAACGCCTCACACAAAGACGTCTGGTAGAATGGTTACGATATGTGTTGAACGTCTATTGATATCAAGCGGGTTCCTGAATACGATAAATGTCATTGATGTGTTACTGTGATGGAGCAGAGCACAACCAATAACCGGCTTTCCAAGGCAAGGGGAATGGCTATTGATAAATCTGTATTGTCGCCACGCCAAATGGTATCCCTCCTCATTTATGCAATACGAATGATTCATTATGGGTTTTATATGCACAAGAGCGATCTCTAGATTGACAGTAATAGATCTTGCGGACCTTCGCGACAGCTGCCACTAAAATGGCGTCCTCAGAATCACTTGACATATACGTCCAATACATGCATCAATGCTAATCACAGTTACAGTCGTATTCTCATTGATCCAATGTAATTAGTGCTGTAATAAACCATTTTCATGTTTATTGAGAGCAAGTTGGATATGTGAAGGAGCACAAGTTGTTGTGGCTAATAAGCTTTCACCGAACTAAAACAAATCGATCCAATTATTTGACAAACAAAGGCACTCCTCATGTCAGCGGGTGTGTGTGATGATCACATTCGTAGCAACCAAGGATATGATGTGTGTGTGCGTGTGTGCATGTGCGCACTCAAAATTTAATTTCCATAGTGTCATACAACTTTGCTATCATGTACTTGAAGGCTGGGTGGGGAGGGGAACCCATTGCTGTCTTTTTTTATATCCCTCTCTCTTTCTCTTGCTCTTTTTCCTCTCTCTTTTGGACACCATCACCACTAGCAGCAACCACACATTTGTTCAATGGCGCAATCTAGTGCCTACAACTTTGAACCTTGGGGTCAAGCGTTACACACAATCAAGGATACTACAGCCTCTCCCAGCGATCGCAATATGCATGTATCCATCGGCAACGGCAATGTCGTAAAACAGCACCCTATCCCCGAACCCATGCTCGCATCGACAGACCAAGAAGCTCCCGACATGGTAAAACAAGAGCGAATTCCAATACAACGAGAAGGTCTTTATTGATTCTTTTGACAATAGACAGCTTATGGCAAGTGCATGTGTTGCACCAGGTAACATGGAAACAGAGGGTTGAGATAAGCAATATGGATGTCGTCAACTTACTCGATAAGAAAGTGAATTGCGTTACCCCGAGAGCGTTTCGAGATTCCGTTGTCCGGTGTGTGATACAGTGAACGACCTTAAACCGCATATACGGCAACAACTCTCCAACGAACCCCTTACGTTGAAACGACTCAAACGCAGTGTCAGCAAATGTTCATCCAAGGAAAGAGCGATTCGCAAAGAGAGGATGGCAGCTGGTGAACCTGCCGAGACAGCCATCAGCCAAAAGGAATTGGAAAAGTTTTATGAACCTGTGGAAGAGTTGGCGCAAACAGTCTTTGGCAGTTGGGTGTGTCTCAATCACAGCTTCTTGAATGTAAGGAACAAAGGGTGCATGCATGCGTGCGTGATCATGGGATACTAAATGTGCTTATTACTATATTTGATCATTATTAACAGGGCGAGGAGACATCATTGGATAACAGTGGATTGAATCTTGGTGAGATCGCTGATGCCTACAGGATACTTTTAAGCTTGGTAATGGAATGCACGCATGAATGACGCAAATACCAAGGTTACTTACAAAGAGGATGATTAGCCTGTGAATGTGGTGCGAGCAATGATGGCAGCAACAGATCGGTTATTGAAACGACCAGCAGTACCATTACTGCGTATGAGCGATATTCGGTTTCTTTTGATCATCTTGGAAGTACGTGTGTGCATGCTTGTAACAACGTTTGCGACCCATCACAACTAATGCAACGTGTTCAGAATCCATTGCTAGCTCAACACAATTTTCATGCCGAGACGAAATATCACCACAACCTACTTAGGCGGGTATTTGGGATGCTCAGCTGTCTAAACAATGAATGCCATCAAGGGCTCGTCAATTGGTTTTCAAAGTAAGTCCTTGTTTGGAGCAACAAAGAGAACTGCTGCTCACGTATACGTATGTATTAGATATACTACCGAAGGGTTGCGGAACAAGGTGCATCTGGTGCATGCTTTTATCACTTATCGTATCACACGAGCTCAACGAAGCAACCTGGGCTTACCGGCTGCCTATGAATCAGAATGGAGAATACGCAGTGGAGCTCGTACCATGGCCATTCTTTGTAAGTGTGTGTTTATTTTGGTCCATCGTGCTTTATGCAGCCATTGCTAACAACCGATCGTGTAACCCTATTTAGTTGCTGCCAATTGCTTAAGCCGGAAGCTCCCAATCTCGGATTTCTACAATGCAATGGTCGATTATATCAATCTAATGGGTGATTTTGAATCATGGCAATCAGGATCAGGGTAAGCTTACTTGGTATATGTGGGGGACTGTATGAGAGAATACTAACGATCGATGTGTTAGAAAATTCGCATTTTGCCAATACCCTTTTCTGATCAGTATGGGAGCCAAGATGCAAATCCTCGAATCAGACGCTAAACGACAAATGGAAACCAAGTGGCGAGAAGCCTTTTTCAACATGCTCTTTCATCAAAAGGCGTCCATGCCTTATTTGGTCCTACGAGTAAGGCGAGAGAACCTTATTGAAGATTCGCTGCTACAGGTAAAGAAGGTTTTATTATTGGCATGGTGGTATCAATAGCTAACTTTTTTACTTTAGCTTGCACAAAATGAGCTTGATCTCAAGAAGTCGTTACGGATAGAGTTCGTTGGTGAAGATGGTGTGGATGCTGGTGGATTACGCAAGGAATGGTTCCTTCTTCTTGTACGCTCGTTATTTGATCCGCAGTATGGCATGTTTACGTATGATGAGGATTCCAATCTTTGCTGGTTCAACCCTGCCAGCTTTGAAAATGAAGATCAATACTTTCTTGTGGGCGTTGTATTGGGCCTTGCGATTTACAACTCGACAATTCTTGATATCCATCTACCAACGGCATGCTACAAAAAGTTGTTAGGCCATCCGGTGGATCTTGCTGACCTTGGATCTTTTCGACCTGGCTTGGCAAGAGGATTTGAGCAACTTTTGAACTTTGAAGGCGACGTGGAGGATGTCTTTTGTCGTGCCTTTGTGGCCGAGATTGATACATTTGGACAACGAAAGCTTATACCGCTGATACCCGATGGTGCCAACCGCATGGTGACAAACGAGAACCGACAAGAGTTTGTTGATCGCTATGTCGACTTTGTGCTCAATGCTAGTGTCGAGAGGCAATTTGGAGCGTTTAGACGTGGATTTTATCATGTTTGTGGCGGTAATGCCCTCTCGGTAAGTGAGATGCTTTTCTTTTGAGGACATGATCTAATATCAATACAGCTCTTTCGACCCGAAGAGATTGAATTGCTTGTACGAGGAAGTGAAGAGCCATTAGAGATTGATGATTTACGAGGACAGACCGAATATCAAGGCTTTGACCAAGATGAAGATACCATCAAGTAAGTGGGAATGGAGGGTATATGAATGAGAATGGGATGATTGACATTTATGAATAGACATTTCTGGGAGATTATGAAGAATATGGAGCCATCCATGCAACGTAAACTGCTCATGTTTGTCACAGGAAGCGATCGTATACCAGCCACTGGTGCCACACAGTTGGATCTTAAGATTGCATGCGGTGGGGAGGATTGCAACCGGTTACCGTCAGCACATACATGTTTCAATCAGCTGGTTCTGTATAGATATGAAAGTAGGGAAAAATTAGAGCAAATGCTACACACTGCAATAATGGAAAGTCAAGGTTTTTATGTAAAGTAAAGATACATTCATTGTTTATGTTGTTCATCCCTTCAATTGTTGTCATCGCGCCTGTTGCTGTTGTGATACATGACACTCCGCCACCATTTTTATCTGCAACCCCTCCTTCAAGTCCCCACTTCTTTAACACACACGCACACTCTCCCAATGGTCGATCTAGAAGAGAACGTATCCGACACTGGCCAAATCCTTTATGATTGGAACCCACCCACTGGTGTATTACAAAACTACTATTACAATGGATCACGCATTACGAGTTCCGAGGTAAACGTTTCGAACGTGCTTCCATCTATGCATACTCATTGGGGGAAATTGGAATAGATGCGGACCATGTTCTCCAAGCACAGACTACGAGAATACAAAGGACACAAGGAAAAGGTTCATACGGTGGCATGGAATAGCGATGGACGAAAGCTAGCTTCGGGATCAGTGGATAAGACGGCGCGTGTATGGACACCACACCGAGGGGTAAATGATATATACACACGCACACATCCTCATCCAATGCTCATGGAACATGTACCCTTTAGACTGATATTCGATACTCAGTGGAGCTCAAAGGACACACCGATAGCGTTGATCAACTTGATTGGGATCCAACACATCCAGATCGATTAGCAACAGCATCATGTGACAAGACAGCAAGAATATGGGATCAGCGATGTAAGTAATGGGTGGATTGTATGGCATCAAATGGTATTAATATCCGTGTATTAGCTGGTAAATGCACATCCGTTATACAGACTGGAGGCGAGAACATCAACATTTGCTGGAGCCCGGATGGCAACAACATCGCTGTAGGCGACAAGAATGATACGATCAGCTTCATCGACACACGTACTTGCACAATTATCATGACACAAAAGCATACAGTTGAAGTCAATGAGATTGCATGGAACAATGCCAACGACATGTTTTTCGTTACAACGGGACAAGGCACTATACGCGCTTACGAATATCCATCTTTACAACTTGTTCATTCACTTCGTGGACACACTGCCAATTGTTATTGCGTTGAAGCAGATCCTACGAGTCGCTACCTTGCTGCTGGATCAGCTGATGCATTGGTATCCTTGTGGGACATGAAGACATTCAATTGCGTACGCTCATTCTCAGAACTTTCGTAAGTGTCGATTCACGTGTACATGGGAGATGTATTGACAACGACATTAGATGGCCTGTGAGGACATTGAGTTTCAGTTACGATGGTCAATTCATTGCATCAGCTTCCGAAGATAGCTTCATTGATATTGTAAGTTGGAGAAAAAAGCATACACATGGGATCATGCTAACGTCTACTTTTTTAGTCGCATGTTGATAGCGGAGAATCGGTTCATCATGTCGAATGTACAGCTGCCATGAACACAGTTGCCTGGCATCCACGTGATTACTATCTTGCATTTGCTGGTGACGAGATGTCCTCGGATGGTAAATACGCCGGCAATCTCAGAATCTTTAGCGTCAAGGATCCACGGGAATACTCCTAGATCGTGTAAATAAACTTGAAAACCATCCACCAGAAATGGCTTGCCTTGTTTCTCTTAATGCACTATTACCCATATCAACCTTTTCCCTTCTCCTTATGTTTTTGCATCCATAATGCTGGAAATGACATCGAATTAAAAAACACGTGACAACAGCTCATGTCATCATTTTTCATCATTATTCTTTGTACACACATGGGTATCACGGGAGAGGCCTTGCTAGTGGCAAACCAGTTTTGGCATTCAAATATAGTAGTACTATGAACGCACATGAATACAAAGGGGCAATTACAGTCGTAGTGCGTTGACAAAAAGAGAATGAGTAGGGTGCTGGAAAGACTTTAGACAGCTTCTGCGGGTCAAAGTTGAAAAGTGATCCTTCCTGGAAAGACCCAAGCGCTTTTTTCACATGCCAAAATACTACGTTGGACCATCCGCATTGGCCACGTTACACAGTGGTGTATCGAGCTCAATGCCATCACACTTTTACAAGGGTACATAAAGAGGTTGACTTTCATGAGCAACGCATCGCAAATCCATACCCCCACTTTGAAGTTAAACCTATGGTATCATCGTTACGAGCAAGGTCGAAATCATCAATTCTGGTAATCCGGTTGTGATGGCGTGAGCATATCGGGTCTTGAAACAATCATCATTTGATTCACATTATGCATCATTGTTTATAGCATTCACTGTCGTCTGAGTGAGGGTGGCAACTTGATCATTGATAAATTGGAACACAGCTTTCAGCTAGTTTAGCTGGCAATCATAAGCGAATGTCAACCAAACGTGTCTGTGGATATGAATGCCCCTGATCTTTTAGAGACGTAGCATAATGAAAGTAACCCGATTTTGTCGTAAAGTAAACCGACTTCAAACAAAAAAACCGCCGAGTACCTGATAAAAGTGATCCATATGTGAAGGAACATCAAATGCACATGACAAACGATCTTCAAGAGGTGATGTGATGGGTATAGCGTAATGACAGGAATACGCGTATATAGGAATGCATCAACCCAAGAATAGCAAAGAGGTAGCGTAAAGTGAGATTGGAACATTGACCAGCTAGTTACTGTTAATCACATCGAAGAAGCTGAAATACCTCATCACCATGTCAATGTTGCCATGTAACCCCTCTCCTTTTCGTTTCCTCTAATACTTCCGAATCACTGGTTTCGCATCATGCTTTATGATACTGGAAATGCCTCTTTCTTTTTCTCCCTCTTCTTCCCACATTGACTCACTTTATCAAGTCCCAAATCATGTCCATCATGTTAAACACAAATACAATGAAACAATCACCGACACCTGCTCCCCTCCCACCTCCATCGCATAGCAGCTGTTGTTGCGGCCGAGATGATTGCCATGCTCGTGCAAAGTGGCAAGATGACATGCATGACTTAAAAAATGATGCGCGCACAGTTGCTGGTAAATCATCCATGTATGTACCCGATCGCTTGCCCTTGTTAATGCATGCATCCCATAATAATAGATATCGCACAAGAACTTCTCAGGGAAAATGAGCAGCATGTAAACAACATAAAGAAGCTCAATGCCAGAGTATGTGCGTGATCGGGCATGTTACATATACGTATCGATGAATCTCACCTGTAATGGGATTAAAAGATTGACGCCTATAAAGCACATACCCACGAGTTGATGCTTTCTCTGGAGGTGGCTGCAACAACCCGTCAACACCTTGATCAACAGTTATCTGAAAAGTGCAATCAATTACAACAGGTAGTTCATTGTATTGCTTTCAAGAGGTTAATAGTGTTCTAACGTTGACACATGTACAGGTTGAAGCTCGTTTTGAACGTGTCAACGCTAAGTACATGGATTTGAAGCAAGACTTGAAAACCAAATCAGCCGAAGTCATGGATATGCAGTTCTTTGTACAAAACACAGTATGCGAAGCGGCTACTCGAGAGGTGACGTTGCGTGAAAAGGTGAGTCGTGTGGGTCTGATGATACTCGTGAACATGCTATCCTAATGCTCTTGTATGTGTAGCTTAAAGCCGCTGAAAGCAAGTTGACGGCTGCAGACAGGGTCATCGCTAAAGACAAACAAAGCAATCAAAAGCAAGGTAAACAAGATGCAGTGCACACGTCCTTGCACTTTCCTTTGTTGATTTTTACCTCTTTTTGGAATAGGCGTACCACTCTTGGTGGATTGGAAGCCTATCAAATTATCATCACATACCAAGTTGCCTCAACTAACACGGCAACCGCAGCCTGTTTCCAACGCAACACAACAACAACAATCATTATCAAAAACCACATCCTGGGCAACTACGCTTACAGCTGGATCTTTTAACAATGACAACAAGAAGGCTTATGCAACGAAACCCTCCATGACTTCATGTCAACATGACCAACCACCAAATCAATCGAAATCCAACAATGATTACCACCCCACGCCTTCTTCAAGTTCAATGATGAAGCGTAGTAGACCATTCAACTTAAAAAACATTCAGCCTGTCAATCTATGGACCATACAAGTGACACGTGCATTAGAGAAATTACGAGCAACGGATCCCGATTTGATCAAGAAACGTGTGAGGTCACCTTATGACAGGAAGAAATTGAGTGAAACGAGCAACTCAATCATTCAAGATATCCTTTCTGATATCGAGCGGCTCCACAACACTGAAGGCTCTCCTCTATGGGATCTTTGTAAGAAGCTAATTCAAGAAATTGGCGAGCTACGTACAAGGTTGAATGAATGTTTATAGCAAAGGAGAACCATTTGTATTAGTAAAGAGCCTAATATGGCTTTTGTTTGAACATGTCCAATAATGTTGACAATGGAACTCGTCATTCTTGCTTGTGTGTGTGATATTAACAATGACTTTTAGAAGAATGCTCATTCATAGTGGTTAATCATAAGTCCCATCCTTCTATGCCAATGCACTATTGTGATAACGTTGGTAGTAAGACCATTGTTGACAAGGGATACCAGCCACCCCCTCATAATAAAGCTTCAATGTCTCATGACATTATGGTGGTCGATCCTTGACCACGTTGCCTTTCCTCGAGTAAAATCCATAGTATGCATTGGGGTATTCCATGTCAAAAACAACACCATTGTGATTGTCGGGTATTCAAGAGAAGCTCCAAGTGTACTAGCCATAATCGTATAAGGGGTAATCTCTGATTTATGTTGTGGTATGAAATGACCAAACGGCGTGCATACATGTGCATAATATTATCAGTGGTAGAGTCTTTCTAATTAAGTGTGGTATACACAACAGCGAGAGAGATCCTTAACATTGGTAGGTATGGTTATTGGGCGGTAGGCAAATGCATGCACGTGATGACGTGCTCAAAACAAAGAGTGTTTCCAGAGGGGGGGATGATGTGTACACTGGGGTGTCAGTACAAATGAAAGCTCCTTCCTGATTAGGAGGAAAAAAGGAGGGGTTTACTATTAGAGCGATTATGGAATTTTGTACGAACAAGGTGAATGGAGACTGTTACAAAAGGTTGAATGGGAAGACATCAGTCTCTCGGATGATAGCATTATAAGGAAAGGTGTACAGAGAAGAAGATGATTGACGTGTTTGTGGGTGATGATGAATGATAGGCCTCATTGTGACCCACAGCAAAAGTAACGCACTTATCTCATATCTCTTTCAAGCACGCAACAAGACCCGCTGTTTCCCTTTCTTTACCCTATTTGTTTCTTCCTTTCTCTTTTTCTTTCTCTTTTTTGAAGGTGCCTTTTCTTGCTCCCTTTCCATGGCTACCGAATCTGGTGCGACGACTAATGGCCGTGGAGTTCCTGCACTGCCATCACAATCCCAAGCTGCTTTCATGCACCCTGCTGCCATGAACCAGTCGCAAGCACTGCACAACGCCCAGGAGCAGCAACTGTTGCAATATCGACGACAGCAACTCTATGTTGCACAGCAACGACAACAGCAACTACGAGAAGAACAGCAAATGCAAATGCAAATGCGTATGAGAATGCAGCAGCAGATGTCTCCTCACTTACAGATGCAACAGCAGCAACAGCAACAGCAACAGCAACATGACTTACAACAACGCCCACCACCTCCACATCAGACTTCACAAGGTGGACCTCTTCCACAACAACAACAAGTACCTTCGAACCAACCACAGCCACAACAACCACAACAACAGCAACAGCAACAGCAGCAACAGGATCAGAATGGACGTCAAGATCAGACGTTGCAGGATCAGCATATGGCTGCTCGTACAGCTGGTGGTTTTCCCCCTACACCCGTTATTACGAATCAGCCCCAGACCAGTGTTATGACTAGTGGTGCGCCCAATGCAATGGCCCTGAAGCAGCAGTTACCCACTCCAGCCATGACGACCGCTCCATTACCAAGGTAATATATGGAAAAACAATGAAAGATTTCATTGTCAATGGATTGTGGGAGGAGGGATGTGTATGGATATGTGTGAGATTAGAGTGGAGATACTCATATGCATTCTTTTATTTTTCTCTTTTCTCCTTTTCTTTCTTTCCTTCCCTTCCTCATCATGCGCAGTAGTGTGGGTACAAATCAAGCTGGCCATGCAGTGTTGAAATTGATGCAATTCAGTGATCGGCTCACTCCGGGAAGCGAGGTATGAAAAGGGAAAAAAATGGATCCCTCATGATGTACAATGGTTGTTTAATATCATTCTCTCTCTCTCTCAGGCAACCGATATTGGAGTATGGAACAATTTTGTCGATGATTTTTTCATGCCAAACAGCCTTTTCAAGTTTACATTGTGGCATTCGGAGACTGGAAAGAAAAGACAACATAGTAAGTGTCAAGGAGAATGAATGAATTTGGGTCATCATCATCATACTCAAAGATGTATGTATAGCCATTGGACGACCCTGCATTGCAAGGATCTTTCAAACACAATATCAGTGTGGAGTGACCTCGATTCAGCTTACTTTGGATCAAACCAATATTTTCTTTATGCCCAAGGGTACCATGCTCGAATGCCCTCGTTCAAGTTTCATCTATCGTTACGACAATGGCTCATTGGTAAGGAATACTTTTGAAGGAAAGAAAAAGGGAAAAAAGGCGGAGACTTACGTTTTTTTGGGGTATCCAGGTTGTCTTGGCTGGGACGCTCATTGTTGAGCTCATGTTGGATAGCCGCACCAATTCACTGAAAATCGAGCGATTCAATTTTGAATGTACCATACACGAGGAGTTCATCGCACGGCAACACATCAACACTTCACCCGCCGCCGCCACTAAAAAGAAATCCAAACAAAACAGCAAGAAAGGTGCCACTTCTCAAATCATTCCAGAATCAGTAATAACACCATGGGGTGTACCGGAAAGAATTGTACAACTTTTGCTTGTAAGTCTTGTCTATATATCCTATCAGCATCATCATCTCATCAACAACGTCCATTTAGCTCTCTGATACCGCCTTGACATTTGCCGATATTCCATTGGTTGCTATGCTTGCCGATCTGCCACCATTATGTAAGTATACTTTTCTTATTCAAAGACAAGAATCAACTGACGAGTGCTTGTCTATTTATAGTATCCATGCGTCTTCGTACACAAGTGATTTCAGAAAGTATCTTTAAGAATCGACCAGCGCCAGTAACAGCCGCCACTGGATATCCTCAAGGATTTATGGGGAATCAACAACAGCAACCACAACCACAACAACAACAATTGTATGTGCCATCTCCACTTGGGATGCGTATGGCTCCTAATGGTACATTTATGCCGACATCATCTTCACCTAACCCTATGGCTCCAACCACCATGACCTATACCCACGTGCCCTCTCCTCTTGGGACGAGTCCTGTGATAGGAAGTGAGTATCCTTCAACAAATGGCATGCACACACGCACCCACAATGATGGCTAATCTCTTTTTTTATTCAGACAAACGAAAGACAATGGATGATGGAAGTGGTCCAATTTCTGGAGATGGAGGCAAAAACAAGAATGCACGCAAGTTGCAAGGAACAGCATAAATGATTCCCATTCAACCTTTTTTTCATCTTATCACCCACCCCGTCCTTTTTCATGTATCATACCTACATTCACCTTACATCCCATCCTCTTTTTTCATCCGTCATGTTTGTATCATATCATATTTCTTAGTCAATGACAAAAAAAGAAGAGTTCTTTCTTCATATCATCCCACCCCTTTGTGGATTAAAAAAGTAAACAAGAATGAGAAAACGCAAATTTATATATACACAAGCACACAACATGACTAGCTGAAATCAAGTGTCCTTGGTCTCTTCATGTCAAAGCCATCTTCTTCCATTGTCCCTGCTTTTCGCTTCAATGTCTGGGCTACTTGTTCCGGATCAGGGGCCTTTTTAGGTAGCTTTTCTGGTGATGTGGGTAATGGCGAATTCCGAAAGTATGGATGACTTAGGCACTATCACACACACAAAAGTTGTCAGCTTGATGGTTATCTTCAAAGCATCCCTCCCTCCTTTTTACTTTACCTGTTGTGTTGTCCATCGTTTGTTTGGATCAAAGACCAACATCTTCTCCAATAGATCAAGAGCATCCGTACCAGCAGCTGTGAAATAACTTCGTAATTGGACCTTGGGGAAGGGCTTGAATTGAATGTAATCGGGTAAGGACGTCATACCCTATACAACATTGTCAATAAACCACCATGTAATGAGGACACAATGTTGATACTTTACCGGCCAATCAGCTTCAGTGGGTGTGCCCAATGCATGAAAGATCTTTTTCAATTGATCGATATCAGAGTCTCCTGCGACATACGGCGTTCGAAGCATGAGTTCGGCAAAGATACAGCCCACAGCCCATATATCCACAGCGTATGTATATTCCTGAGCACCAAACAACAACTCGGGTGACCGATACCATCTATGTAATAAAACGATTCAGCTTTTTGGATCACTCTTCCTCTTGTCCCAATTTTGCATACCTTGTTACTACTTGCGAAGTCATTTGCCGTCCTGGATCACCCCAATCTCTTGCCAGACCAAAATCAGCAATCTTCAGTACACCATCATGCGTCAACAACAAGTTATTCGGCTTCATATCCTGTATACAAATGTTAATCAATCATTGGTCATCCACTCTTTTTGATGATGATGTACATACCCGATGAAGTACAAAGCGACGATGACAATGATCCAATCCACGCAGCGTCATGAGCATCCATGATTTGATATCGGCAGGCATAAACATGATAGTCTTGTCCTTGATCACTTGTTCCAAATCCGAATCCAAATACTCAAGCACCAAATTCAGGTTCGTCTTGTGCGAAAAGACATCAATCAACTAAAAGTGATGCATAAGGATCGTGCGTTGGATACGATGATAATGGTGACAACTGACCTCGATGATATTTGGATGCTTGAGCTCTTGTAGATACTTGACTTCGCGAATGGCAGTCCAATCAAGGCCATCCTTGAACTGACCCATCTTGATCTTCTTAATGGCGACGAGGCGACTTGTAGCCAATTGTGTTCCTGGCAAGAATGTTAGCATCGATTGCGATCATGGAGTGAAAGAAAAAGCTTCCTACCTCGGTATACCACAGCATAGGTACCTTCACCAACCTTTGCCGTCTTTTGATACTTTTTCTCTGTTTTCAGATTGTTGGCATCGGCGTCTTCAGCCTTCATGATCGCGTGGCAGCAAGAGGAAAAAGGTAGTGGAAGAAGACCGGAGTTCTTGAACAAGGCTGCGGGCCCATTGTATGACCTCCTTCAAGCATGAAAAACGTCAAATTCCATATTCGTTCACATCATAGAAAGACATCCATCCTTTATTGTAATGCATTGGACATAATAAAACATGGATTACATGCATGAATTACAAGCCATACGATCCATTTTATCACTCTTTAGAATCATCACTACTTTGATCCATAGCCACGTTGCGTATAATAAGGGATTCAACTTTCATCAGTAATCGAAAAAGCATGTCGAATTATGGCGCTTGAGTAGGTGATAGATGTATGTTCCATTACCACTGCTGTTATCCCTTTTGTCAGCTATAGATGCCACCATGAGTAGCTTCGATCTTTGGTGGTCGTCCCTTCGTCAGCGTACCACGTTTTAGAAAGCGGCGTAGGATAGAAAAGGTTACACACGCTACGTTTGTTTGTTTGTCGTATACATGCTGCTTTAGGATCATTGGGAGTCTTCATACATTCAACGCAAGATGAGTTTACAACCTGCACTGGGAATTGACATTGGCAAGTATGTGTTGTGTGGGTGTGGCTGTGATGATGATACACCTTTTGTTACGAAGCAAATCCAAAGAATGGGATTATTATCGCGCTAAAGCAATATGACACGGGTACCAAATCCAGAGCGGCGATTGGATCATACATCATACGCGTCGTCACAAGTGAGGGGTGATTGACAAGAAGGGATAGGTATGTAATAGTGCAGTAACAAAATAGCGGTGGTTGGTTGCCAAGGAAGAATTAAGAACAATGACCCCATCATGGTCGCTATGGGAACGGTATCCAAGGTCTCACAAAATTTTTGGACACAGCCCATGAGCTGCCCAATCCACGTAGCATCCGTTTTCCAGTATCCCGTGTTGGTGTTCCGAGATGTGATTATCCCAAAGATACAAAACAATGCTTTCAATGGCGCAGTAAAGAACGTTGTCGGGCAAAGTTGTGATCCCCATCATGGTTGCGCAGTTGGTAAGTGTACCAGAGAAGGAAAAAAAAGTTTTTTCTTGCGGACTCCAATTCGGGATGACATTGGGTATAAATAAGAAGGCTGCGTAAGCACAAGTCTTGTTCTTCCTCTTTTTGAATCCATCAAACAGGTGAGTAACATCCATCCATTATCAACATTTATCCATCCATCCCATATCATCACATGTACTCATACCTCTTCCTCTTATTATAGTCACCATGGGTAAGGAGAAGACTCACGTTAACGTTGTCGTCATTGGTCACGTCGATTCCGTAAGTACATCTTGACTCAATCTCTATTGCATCTTGTTGCCTTGGGTAAACAAGATGCTTTATGGATGTTGCTATCATGTTTTGAATATGATATTAATGCCACATTTGATAATAGGGCAAGTCCACCACTACTGGTCACTTGATCTACAAGTGCGGTGGTATTGACAAGCGTACCATTGAGAAGTTCGAGAAGGAAGCCGCCGAACTCGGTAAGGGTTCTTTCAAGTACGCCTGGGTTTTGGACAAGCTTAAGGCTGAACGTGAGCGTGGTATCACCATTGATATCGCTCTCTGGAAGTTCGAGACTCCCAAGTACCACGTTACCGTCATTGATGCCCCTGGCCATCGTGATTTCATCAAGAACATGATTACTGGTACTTCCCAAGCTGACTGTGGTATCTTGATTATTGCTGCTGGTACTGGTGAATTCGAAGCTGGTATCTCCAAGGATGGTCAAACCCGTGAGCACGCTTTGCTTGCCTTCACCCTTGGTGTCCGCCAATTGATTGTTGCTATCAACAAGATGGACTCCACCAAGTACTCTGAGGCTCGTTACAACGAAATTGTCAAGGAAGTTTCCACCTTCATCAAGAAGATTGGTTTCAACCCCAAGTCCGTTCCTTTCGTTCCTATCTCTGGCTGGAATGGCGACAACATGTTGGAGGAGTCCACCAACATGCCTTGGTTCAAGGGATGGAACAAGGAGACTAAGGCTGGTGCCAAGACCGGCAAGACCCTTCTTGAAGCCATTGACAACATTGATCCCCCTGTTCGTCCTTCCGACAAGCCCCTTCGTCTTCCCCTTCAAGATGTTTACAAGATCGGTGGTATTGGTACAGTCCCTGTTGGTCGTGTTGAGACTGGTGTCATCAAGCCTGGTATGGTTGTCACCTTCGCTCCCGCCAACGTCACCACTGAAGTCAAGTCCGTTGAAATGCACCACGAACAACTTGCTGAAGGTGTTCCCGGTGACAACGTTGGTTTCAACGTCAAGAACGTTTCCGTCAAGGATATCCGCCGTGGTAACGTCTGCTCTGATTCCAAGAACGACCCCGCCAAGGAATCCGCTTCCTTCACCGCTCAAGTTATCGTCTTGAACCACCCTGGTCAAATTGGTGCTGGTTACTCCCCTGTCTTGGATTGCCACACTGCTCACATTGCATGCAAGTTCTCTGAGCTCCTTGAAAAGATCGATCGTCGTTCTGGTAAGTAAATCTTTTGATTTGGGATATGGGTATTGGGGCTTAATCTCTTGATTTTGTCTCAAAACCTCTTCCTTGATCATTCTCAATTACTTTTTTATCATTTACTAATCCAAACACACCCCATTTCATTCAAAACAGGTAAGAAGCTCGAAGATTCACCAAAGTTTGTTAAGTCTGGTGACTCTGCTATCGTCAAGATGGTTCCTTCCAAGCCCATGTGCGTTGAAGCATACACTGAATATCCTCCTCTTGGTCGTTTCGCCGTCCGTGATATGCGTCAAACCGTCGCTGTCGGTGTCATCAAGGCCGTTGAGAAGGTTGATAAGGCTGGCAAGGTTACCAAGGCTGCCCAAAAGGCTGGCAAGAAATAAGTGCATCCATCATGATTCGTACTTTTTAAAAAGGCCGTTGAGTCTTTTTGTATAATGATAATAAAAACAGGGATTATACAGCAATAGTGCATGGTTCATGTGAATTGAATGCTTTTTGGTGAGGATGGTGATAGCAATTGTGGTCTTTATTACGTTAGCTTTCCTGTTTCATCTTCGATAAAGAGAATGATTTACATCTGATAACTTCTTATGTTGTATTACTATTTGACCACCACAATGAAATTTATTATCATGTATCCAATGTATAGAGAGAGCAGCTAATTTGTTGGATCATTTATGCTCAAGGAACACGGGTTTGTTCCATGAACATCATGTTTCTTGCTCATCATGATTGTCACCTCCTGGACCCAAGATTGATCGATAGGGAAATACGATGATTCGGAGCTGGTGGCGGTTGTGGAAGGGGCACCTCAACACCGCCTCCACTTCCTAAAAAGGACCACGGCCATTTTTGGACAGTTGGCTGCAGCTGGATTTTCCCTGCTAAAATTGCTGGCTTTCCAGCGTTTGCTGGCGCTTTGCTGACGCTTCCCACCAAATATGGTAAACATGGAAATCTGTTGCCAGCGGCAGCTGCAGCCGGCCTTTTCAATCATGAGAACGGCTAATTGTTGCAAAGGATCTTGTCAGCGTTTGGTATGCTCGTTGTTTTTTACATGTACATCGGTTGACGTCGCAACACCCTCATCAGTCTGTTGGCTCTCACGTACGTTGGCTATCATTTCATCAAAGGGTTGTTGTAGGATACGTTCAACATCATCGGTATCATGATCATGTGTGTCATTGGATGATGATTGGAGCGTCGAAGATGAAGCGTCCTTTGTTGTTCGGGTGCGTTTGTTGACATTTGATGATTGTAGTACTATCAATCCTTGGTTTTCTGCGGCATAGCCGCGTCATACATGCTCAATGAACAAGGGTTGGCCCCATGGAAGCCGTGCTTCTTGTGTCAAAGCAATTCGATCGACCCTTTAACATAGATCAGCATGCAAAATAAAGAGAAAGGAACAACAATCGAACATACCTCAAAGATTCATCCAGGAATAGGAATAGGATCAATCACCACAAAGAAAAGAATGAAAGCAAGCAACAATGAAGCACTATTTACAGTGATCAATGTATGGAATCACACATAGGCTCCTTGACACTTACCACAAGGCAATGATGGGATATACAAAAGAGATGCGTGATAATAATGCTGGTGGCAACATCCTTGTTTATATGCATGTGCGTGGGCGTGAGAGTTGTTGTCCATGCAAGAAAAGGAGAAGGCCGTGATTGATTGATTGATTGATTGGAATGACTGATAAAGTGGTCAAAACATCTTAGAATATTGGATCAAAGGTGATGCATCATCGACAACTGATAAATCCACTTACTGCCAAGAGAAGATGTGATATAAAGAATGGGACCAGTACCATCAATCAAAGCACCATATTTGAGAGTGTCGTCAAGGAGGTGTAGTTGTACTTGGAGTGAAGATCAAGGCGAAAAGCAGCTGTTAAATGTCGGCCGACGCGCTTAGGTGTTGGCGAGGGAACGAATGAGCATGGAGAACGTACAATAAACAGGTGCATTGTAGAATGTACGAGTGGCATTGCGAACCATGGATGAAACTGACGAAAGAAAAGCATACAACTGCTGTCGGATCCTCAATCTGCATTGATGGGCCACCCCTTTATCGCTTCGTAGACGCCCACCCCATATAGCTCAGGCCAAACACCTCTTCCATTGAAGGCATATGATATCCCCCTGTGAACATACTTGTAGCTATGCTTTAATGATACCAATTTATTTTGTTTCTATACCATGGAGATGTCCCTTCCAAAAAGCGCCCTCTTTGTCCAATCCAAGCTTAGATTCATTCGTGTCCGCATGCTGACTTGCTCACTCCAATAGACACTTCGCCATAGGTATAATGCATAAAGACCACCCGTCATTTTGTATCCCCAGCTAAACTCGCCCACAGCCGTATTTCCTAAATATGCAAGGGTTCCAAGATGATTGTATACAAAGGGTCGAGTGCTGTTGTCGGTGCAGAGCTGCTTGGCCAAGTATGCACCTTGTTGGCTGGCAACTTGTGCAGTCTATGATACCATACGAGTCAATCGCTATCACGTACTCCGTCATGTCCAAATACTCACAGCAGGTAATTGGGTCATCTTATTGTCCACATCCGTCAACATGTTTTCCAATTCACTCATATCGATACGGCCATCATGATCAACATCGTACTTTTCAAAGGTAGACGCCAGCTTGTTCACGTGCTGCTCATGCATGGGGAACTTTTTACGCATAAAAGCGATGGCTTCTTTGAATTCGTCGGGTGTCAATGATCCATTCTTATCCCTGTATAATGAAATCAGGGCTTGTCAGTCAACATCATTCTCTTGGAATAATAAAGAAACGCTTACTTGTCAGCTGCTTCGAGAATCTCCTTGACATGCTTTAAGAGTTTGGGATTTTCCATGGTAGCACAATCACCTAATGCATAGATGGAGCCATCTGATACACCTTTGACCCTCAACATCTCATCGGTTCGGAGTGCACGTCGATGACCTTGGATACCAAGCTTATCAGATAAATTTTGTACAAACGGCGTCATAGCTATCCATGCATATCGGTTAACGATCATTAAGAATGCCGCTGGCTGGGTCATGCGCTACTTACCGATACCAGTGGACCATAAACACAAACCATATGGAATTGCTTCTTCAGCATGTTGTGGATCGGCAGCATCCTTGCGACGATACACGACCTTGTCCTTCTCGATACGAGCCACACGTGCATTGGTGATGACATTGACATTTTCTCGTTTGAAGCGTTTCTCGGCATACTCGCTAATTTTAACATCAAACATGTTCAAAATATGGTCGCGTGACTGGATGATGGAAACGGAAACATCCTCTCGGAGCAACTTCGGGAACTACCATAAACCTGTGTTATGCATGATGATCACCCACAATAACCACAACAAGTACAACTTACCCATTTGACAAGGTCTTCATTAATCCAATCAAACAATTCAGCAGCAAATTCAATTCCTGTTGGGCCACCGCCACAAATGACAAAGCTCAATAGTTGTTTACGTTCTTCAGGAGTCGTAGTAGGCAAACACGCCTTCTCTGCATTGCCCATCACGTTACGTCGGATGTTGATTGCATCTTGCACCGTTTTAAGCTGCACCGTATTCTCGAGTCCTTCCACACCATGAGTGATACTTTGTGCTCCCACAGCAATCACCAACTTGTCGTATGGCACATAAAACCGATCCTCATCATCCACACCACGTACTTCGAGCAACTTGTTGTCAAGATCAATGTCGGTTGCCTTGGCTTCCAAAAAATGGCCATGCACGCGTGCTGCTACTTTTCGAATGGGCTCGAGCAAGGATCTATTATAGGTTCGTTACTACATAGCTTATCATCAAACATCATGTCGCCCACACACTACCTTGGTTCCATGGTACCCACAGTAGCACACGGTAATAAAGGTGTGAATAAAAAGTAGTTGTTTTCACTAATGACAGTGACGTTGTATTTATCCTTGTCAAGGTTGCGTAAAACCGAAACGGCACCCCATCCACCACCAACGATCACCAAGCGTGGTTTTTGTTGCGACTGCTCATCATCATCAAGCTGGTGTGTGACGATAGGTAGATTCTTTTTGCCTCCTGCTTGTGGATGGAGCGCAAGGGGTGGTACTTTTTTGTGTGCGTCTTGAGCGTCTTCGATATAGATGTAATCCTGGCTCATAATGTAGGTTGGTACACCCACCACAGCTCCTGCTGCTAATGTCCATCGTACAGGTCGTTGTCGAAAGGGTGCAGTGAGAATGCGACGTGCAGCTCCTCGAAACATGGAAAGAAAAAAGGAAAAGAACAAGAGAGAATATGGTGTGTGCTTGGCCCGCATGATCAATTTACTATTCAAAGCATACCCAACTTTTCCCAGGGGCACTCCGATCCCCTTACTGCAGCGTTATCGATTATCCCACTACATCATTTTATCTTGTTTTCTACTCCACCATCATGCTTCAAAGCACTACACACCTCAATCAAAAACATCATCATTGCATCATCATTGTGAACATGGTGGTAGACATATTTATCTTTATTCAATGGAAGGAAATGGAATGTGATCACTGATCAAATCATATGCGTTGTAACATTGTATGCATGTGTGTTCATTGTTGATGGTTTAAAGATACGCACAAGATACTCTCTATTTCATTGTTGTGCTTCTGAGATATGTAACCTTTACCCGAAAACATTATGCCAGAACGGGAGTACATATCCCGACTCGCGTCAGCCCGTTACCTTGTGCACTTGACACGATGACACCCATGGCACAACACCATTGCGCTTCGACAGCCTCCTTCACAATTGACCTCATCCGATAAAGTTAGCCCTGGCTGGGTATCCAAAGCGCATGCTGTATTAGATACACGTGAGTCGATTACAGCAACACGACGTTTACGCTAGCCTTTACAAGATAGTGAATACTTTCAGTCTATGCCGCGGCAAAGTGGGCGTTGCTACTTTTTCAGTATACAAAGGCGAACATCTTTATGATGGATAAAGCTCAAGTGGATTACAACATCACAACAGTGGCTTGGTGAATGGGGCAACTGGAAGGCTACGCATGATGGAATACCCGCATGACCGGAATGATCATTCATCCTATCCTAAGGCTAACTTGGCTGGACCTCAGTGTAGTCAATAGCTCGTCGTATTTAGATCCTCTTTATTATAAAGCTACATATACGTAATACTATAGGTGCTCATGTTTCCATGTATATACAACAATGAGAATAGGTTTTATTGTTTGGATGAATGCCTACCACGTTTATGTTTACTTGATTTACGCAATCGATACATTTTGAGGGTCTCATTGAATGCTACTTTACTTGCTTTATCCTGCCAGAGATGGGGTGATAGTAATTCCACGTGAAATCGTAGCTGGGCTTCTTGCATGAATTTTTCTTGGGCAGCTTCGTTCCTCACCTCGCTTACACAAATGACCGATGTCGACTCGCCGGCAAGTGCATCCATGGTCAATACAAGATCAATGGCGCTGGCTTCCGAATAGATACAATCACAGGCAACGACATAATCAATTTCACCAGCAGCCTTGACATGAGCAATGGCTTCAGCATCATTCCACAATAAGGGTTCCACAACAACCGATCGATCCTCTTGCGCATCATTCTTTTTCCATCCACTCAATGACTTGACACGTAATCCATTGGCCTCCACATTGCGCTCCATGGTTTCCACCAATTCAGGGATATCGGTAATGACGACATTTTCAATGCCGAGTTTGGCGAGCATGATCCCAATCAATCCAACACCACTACCCAATTCCACCCATCGCTTCGATCGATCGATATGTATCCAACTCCCTCGTTTGATCGTACGCTTGGCTGCAAGTGATTCCAGATAGGTACAAAATACAATGGCCGTCAACCAAATATAGCCACCCAAATGGTTCGAATGGGGATCTTGCACAAGCGAAACTTGGTTCGACTCGAAATGAAACGTCAATCGATCGGCCGATTGCAGCTCCCAACGATCCAATTTGGTAACGGGTCTCTTGTAAGGTTCACCATCTTCCCATCCTTCAATGGTTGCAATCGGTCGATCGTCTTCCGTGTCGCTCATTCAATAGACAAAAAAAGGGGGGTGTTGTTGGTGTATGTGTGTGTGTGGTGTGGGGCGGAGAAGAGAAGGATGCAGTTACATTATTACCCGTTTTTGTTTTCTTTTGACATCTCGGATGAATTATCAGCATATTCGGCCCGAAACATACCGTTTATCTCGGTCGCTGCTTATATATCATTTGCTTTATCCCGCTTTCCAGCATTCTCCATTTCTTTCTTCTTCTTCCTTTCCTATCCTTTTTTCATTCACACACACACACATTTGATACCAATGGAACAAGGATTAGATAAAGCATCATTACGTGATCCAAAGCTCATCCTGAGGAGCTATACATCAGAGGATTTTCAACGAGTACAAGAATTGTTTATCGGCACGTACTATGGGCTTGTATCAGAAGGCATAAGAGCCAAACTACGCACACCTTGGACATGGCTTGGTTGGATCCTTGGTTACCTCTTTCTTCAAACGGTGGTGCCAACCTTGGTGTTTGGACAAGAACGCGAAAACAGCTGGCCAGAATACTTTCTCAAGCTATTCTTGACGTTTTGGTGGGGAGCAACAGCCTTCATTGTATTCTTTATCATGACTGCAAAGTATGAATTGGTGGATCGTGTCAACGAGGCACAAGAGAACGACATGTCAGATCCAGCAACCTATTATCTCAACTACACCACCACCGCTGACAATAAGCTTGTACAGAAACCCGCAGCTGAACAAGCCCCTTCTCATTTTTGGGTCTTATCGATTGACAATAGCCTTGCTGGTATTGTGGGATTGGCTGTTTACAACAAGGTAGTCAAGGAGAATCGTAATAAGGATCAGCGTAAAAGGAAAGCATGGTGGACAGTGGATGCGGATCTTGCCATGGCCAAGGATGATATATTCGCCGAACCCACCCCGCCAAAGACCGCCATCCTGCAACGCCTTGCCATCACTCCCGATTATCAACACTGTGGTCTCGCCAACTTGTTAATCAATCGAGCCATGTTTTGGGCACATGAGCATGGTATTGAAACGGTGGTTGCTTATACCAATGACATGCAACGTACAGCGGAAAAGGTATTAATGGAACGCCATGGTTTCAAACTCGAGCATACGAACAAAAAGTGGCTCAGCTATCAAAAGAAGCTGGTGTGCGACGTGCAAGCATGGATCGACAAGTATGGTGAAGAATCCAAGGGCTTATATGAAAAGCGAGTAAAATAGATAGAATAGAACGCATTACATATCATTATTGTACAGGGGTTACCATAAAAAACATTTCCTTTCATTCTCTCTCTCATTTCCCTCCTCGGTCTTTTTCTTTTTATCTCTTTGGAATATGCAAAATGGCAACACGAAGGGTCACGTGTCAAAAAGAGCACTCGAAGGCATGGCAGTAGCCAACCCCATGCGCGATGCACTCTTTACAGCTTTGGGTTACATTTACGATCCCGTCCATCCTGCCATCAACATGGGCACAGCTCAAAACGATCTCATGCAGAGCGAGCTCAATGACAAGGTAGAGTATAGTCTTATTGTGTAAAGTGGGCTTCCATATTCATGCACGTATGCAACTAGATCAATGCATCTCTCGAGTTTCAGGTTTCAGTAAGTTTGTGTGTGTGACATTTCAAATGACAGCTGTTCCTGATGGGAAATGGCACTAGGACCTCTCCTATGGTGAACCACAAGGCTCTCAACGATTACGTCAAACCATGGGATCTCTATTGACTCGGCACTTGAAGCCAACAATACCTGTGGATGCAGATCACGTCTTTGTTGCTACGGGTGCTGGTGCTGCTATTTACTATTTGGCTCTTGCACTTACGGATCCAGGAGACAGTATCATGGTGATCAGCCCTTACTATGGAAGCTTTGATGGCGACGTGTGCATGGGATCTCAAATCGATTTGATACCACTTTATCTCAACAACAACAGTGACAAGGATTGGGATTTATCAGTGGATGTGGATACGTTGGAGGAGACATGGAAAGAACATGTTGAAGCAAAAGGCAAAAAGGTCAAGGCATTGATCATCACGAATCCTCACAATCCACTTGGCCGGTAAGAGAAAAAATGGCATCCCCTTATCAGCAATGGACGCTGATGATGGCTTCTACATAGATGCTTCTCACAAGAATCCATTGAAACCTTATTGCGATACGCATCTAAACACAATTTGCATGTCATCTCGGACGAGGTCTACGCACTCTCCACATTCGGCCACTTGCTACCCAACAACAACATGGAGCATGATCCCTTTCTTTCGGTGTTGAGCTTGCCCAATCTCGACCAATTGATTGATCCTTCCCTCGTTCACGTGGTGTATGGCTTATCCAAAGACTTTGGCGTCAATGGTTTACGTGTGGGATTTGTTATTGATCAGCATAATCCAACCCTTCGAAATGTATTGCCAGGTTTCATGTAAGTAAGGTGGATTGTGAATACAATAGCTCGTTCACTCATGGATCGTTTTCTCTTTTTAGAGTATTCAGCTACACATCCACACTCACAGATCGTTTATTATGCAACATGTTTTCTGACAAAGAATGGGTTGACATGTACGTGTGGATATTGATGGCAAGTGGACATGTGCTAACGACGCTTAATAGCTTTATCGAGATCAATCGACGAAGACTTGCAGAAGCATATACGTATGCCAGCAATGTTTTAAAGCTGATTGGTGTGGATCATATCTCTGCTGATGCTGGGCAGTTCATGGTGGTGGATTTACGAGCAGCTATGACCCAAATGAATGGCAGGCCACCCACATTTGAGGATGAAAAAGAGCTGATGACAACTCTCTTACAGCATGGTGTGTATATGGTACCCGGTCATGCATTCTATATCCGTGAACCTGGATTCTTTCGGATCACATTTACAGTAGACAAGGGTAGACTAAAGAAAGGCATTGATATTCTTGCACAGAGACTTTCACTCAAATAAATCATCTGTAGACTATTTATTTCATTAACCAATACGCTGAGACTACTCATAGCGGCCTGGGCTGTTCCATTTGCTGGTACATAGCAAGCTTTATCTTAAGGCATCATCATTCTCGAATTTACTATCTTGCATTATACTTCATAGTGTGAACCCCATCATTGTGTTCACATCTTTCCTTTTATTTCGAGAGCCGAATAAATGAAACAATCAAAAAAAGAATAAAACGAAGTTTGTGAACTATCTAACCCTGTATCATCGAAACGAGAGAGCGAGATAAATGAAGGGAGGGTGGGTGGTCCACTACTAATCGTATAATGTTAATAGACCTTCGCCCAAAGGACTCGGTCAAAAACACTCTCTTTGTCGAATCCGTGACTGCGAGCCTACCGTTGCTCGGAAAAGGGGTGCGCTGTCCATTGGCGACGAAATAACACTCGTCATGGCTTTTGACAGCCAAGATCAGAGCACTCTTGCAATTGTTGACATCAATGACCCTGAATACATGTCAATATGACTTCATGCTTTCATTACACATCCACTTACTCGAGATCCCAACGATTTTCCATTTCATCCTTCAGCTTTCTTTTGCATTCTTGCTTATCGGTGCAGCCACATTCTATCAACGATTCATCGATAGCAACACGGTATTTTCGTTCCACGAGATCGTATGGACCACCAACGTACACACCATATCTTATGGAACCAGTAAGCATAGCATGGAAATCATCCTTAGAAGGTGGCGCAACAGAGTCTACCAGTATTGCGGCGTACTTGATAGCTGGTATGGCATCATCCATAGGGATCCGTATGAATCAAAGCAAGTTGTTACACGTAAATAAAGTTGCTTCTTTACAATGGCTGTCTGCTGTTCACGTAATAAAGACCACAATGCAGGTTGCTGCAAGTAACTTGAGACAATGATAACGACCTTGGTAATGGCAATTGCTGTTACGTTTGGTTGTGGCAGAGGAACGTGCAAGAGCGCGAGTTGTAGTAGAATGACAAGGTTGTGAACGCTGTTTGAGACAATGGAGCGAATAGCAACTGCTGGAATGAATGCTGTTACGTTTGATCGTGGCAGAGGAGTGTGCAAGAGTGTGTTGTGCAAGAGCGTGTGTCGCGTCAAGAGATGAGTGTGTTGTAGTGGGCTGCACACGCCATCGACTTGCCATTCAGTCAAAGACAATCGGATCAAGAGAGTTGTAGGATTGACAAGGTGGGTTAAGAAGCAGGACAATCGTTCGCAGGTGGTAGTTATACTTGAATGGGTCAACAGTTGAGAATGGGAGGAAGAAGGAAGACGCTGAGAGTGGAACAAGTGGAAATTAAAATAGGGCGGACACCTCTTGTATAAATGCATGCACACTGTACATCAAACCTTGATATTGAGATTGCCCCTCTCGAACCTGAAACTTTCACACAAGGTGCTCTGGGACAGGCTGATCACGTCGATCTAAAAAAGACCTCATGTTTCATTTGAAAATATTGAGTGGGAGGGTGCAATGTGGGATTTACTATGGAGGTCGGAAAGCAGGTCAGCGCCGGGTTCATCATTTATCGAGTTAATATGTATTACCTTGGGATTCCCCATTTCGAACTTGAAACTTTGTCAGAAGGTTCGCTGGGTCATGCTGAGCAACTTCATTCCATTAAAAACAGCAGGGTTCATTGTGAAGATTTAAAATGCGGGGTGGTCCAAATGGTAGATGATGGGATCAAAAGAGCGGACGGCCCACCGCCCCGAAGTTGCCCACTTCCCCACTTGAAAATGGGTCAGAAGGGTGCTCTCGCATGCTGATCAACTTTTATCTAATAAAGACCTCATGTTTCATTTGAAAATTTGGAATGGGAGCTTCCCAAAGTTTCAAAGACGGAGACATTCGCAGACCCTGCGATTCATTAATTTTCATGTTTGCTGTTCCAGCATAGCTCAGTCAAATCGGCTCCGATCAAGAAACTTGAATGATGGAAATGCTCGGCTGGAGCAGGAGAATCGTTCACATGCAGTGGATTTTGCAACAACGCTGATTGTGAGGAAATGGCTGATAGCGCGCACTATATGGACTATTGTGGATAGACCATAAAGTATAACCCATCAATGCTTCCAGTCATGCAAAACAGCTGAGTTACACAAACACGTTCCTGTGCATCTTTTGCTCTATCAGGTTCAAGTAAATCCAAATGGACAAAGACCACTTCTCATATAGCATCACGCTTACAAACATAAAGGTGCCTGTATCTCCAAACTTTACAATGAAACGTAGGGTTTTGAATAGAGCAAGCTGCTCGGCGGGGTCAAAACGATCTTGTGTCAAAAGATGAAGTTCATCGTGGCCATTCCCAGATTTGCCCAATGTCGCTACCAGCCAAACTGGATCCGGGGGTCGACCTCTTGAAACTTTTTTCGACGACCAAAAAATATTTTTTGGGCTATTTGCGACGTTGAACGCGAAACTTTCACACAAGGTGCTGTTGGCCAAGCCGGTCACATTGCTCTATTCAAAACCCCACGTTTCATTGTAAAGTTTGGAGATACAGGCACCTTTATGTCGAAGCGTGATGCTATATGAGACGTGGTCTTTGTTTAATGTAAAGTAGCTGGACCCCGACAAGAGCCAAAGATGCAGAGGGTCGTGTTGTGTAACACAGCTACGTTTGCATGAATGAAAGGGTCAATGTATAATTACTTTATGGATCATCTAGGAACAGGCATGTATTGCTAGCTAACAGCCACTTTTATCCAATCATATTGCCGTGAGATTCACGCATGGGAACGATGCCCTGCTTCCAGACATTCATTTCCATGATTAAAGTAGGTTGATCCGAGCTGATTTGACTGAGCTGTGGTCAAAGAGAGATTACATCACTCTTGACATAAAGCACGCTCGATGTAGCTCAACCGATGTAATCTTGTGTGAGCGTAACTCAACCAAATCAGCTCGGATCAACCTACTTTAATCATGGAAACGAATGTCTGGAGCAGGGGCATCGTTCCCATGCAGTGGATCTCGCGACAATGATGATTGGATAAAAAGTGGCTATTAGCTGCCAATGTATGACATAAAAGTGAGGGTTGCGTACCTTTCATGCATTGTCCCTGAAGTACCCTTTAGCTGAGTTACCCAAAGAGGTCTTGGCTCTCCAGGGTCCACCCACTTGACAATGAACAAAGACCACTTTCCGCCATATAGCATCACGCTTACAAACATAAAGGTGCCTGTATCTCCAAACTTTACAATGAAACGTGGGGGGGGGGGGTTTTGAATAGAGCAATGTGCTCGGCTTGGCCAACAGCACCTTGGGTGCCAGTTTCGGCGTTCAATGTCGCAAACAGCCCAAAAATATTTTTTGGTCGTCGTCGTCGAAGAGGTTGACCCCTGTGATCCAGTTTGGCTGGTAGCGAATATTGCGAAATCCGATTTGGGCAGCTTGATCGTGAAACTCAATATTAAAGGTGCTGCTTACCGCGCCGAGCCCATTGCTCTAATAAAACCCCACGCGCCACTGTAAAGTTTGAGACAGGCACCTTTAAGGCTTGTAAGCATGATGCTATATGGGAAGTGGTTCTGTCAAGTCGCTGGATCCTGGCAGAGCAAAAGATGCAGAGGGACCTTCTTGTGTAACTCAGCTTACTTTGCATGACCGATGGAAGGATGATACTATATACTGTTGACAAAGCCTGTTACATTGCGAGCTCAAACAGCCATTTCTTTCACAATAGCCGCTGTTGTCCACTCTATGACATGTGAAAGCGATGCTCCTGCTACAGACATTCATTTCCATAGATTGATTATGTTGATCCGAGTTGATTTGACCGAGATACAGCCAAAGACGGATTACATCAATCCACACATCCAACCATGCTCTATGTTGCTCAACTGAAGTAACCGCAGTATGAGCGTAGCTCAGCCAAATCAACTCGGATCAACATAATCCAACCATGGAAATGAATGTCTGAAGCAGGAGCATCGTTCCACTGTCATAGAATGGGCAACATTGCCGATTGTGAGGAAATGGCTGTTAGCTCGCAATGTATGGGATATTGTCAATAGTATACAGTATCATCCTTCCATCCTTCTAGTCATGCAAGCAGCTGAGTTACACAAAGAGGTTCCTCTGCGTCTTTTGCTCTGCCAGGGTCCAGCGACTTGACATTGAACGAAGACTACTTCCCCATATAGCATCATGCTTACAAACATAAAGGTGCCTATATCTCCAAACTTTACAATGAAACGTGGGGTTTTTTATTAGCGCAATGGGCTCGGCTTGGCCAACAGCACCTTGTGTGAAAGTTTCACGATCAATGTCGCAAACAGCCCAAAATATTTTTTGGTCGTCGTCGTCGAAGAGGTCGACCCCCAGATCCAGTTTGGCTGGTAGCGACATTGGGCAAATCTGGGATTGGCCACGATGAACTTCATATTTTGACACAAGATCGCTTTGACCCCGCCGAGCAGCTTGCTCTATTCAAAACCCTACGTTTCATTGTAAAGTTTGGAGATACAGGCACCTTTATGTTTGTAAGCGTGATGCTATATGAGAAGTGGTCTTTGTTTAATGTAAAGTAGCTGGACCCTGGTAGAGCAAAAGATGCAGAGGGTCGTGTTGTGTAACACAGCTACGTTTGCATGACCGGAAGGATGAAAGGATGACACTGAATACTATTGACAATGGCCCATATATTGCGAGCTATCAGCCCATTCCTCCCATTCACCTTTTTTTACCCAATCCAATGCACACGAACGATTGTCCTGCTCCAGCCCAGCATGCCTATCCTTTAACTTTCTTGATCCGAGAGGATTTGACTGAAAAATGCTCAAACACAAAACATCATCCAATTTCACAAAACTTATTTGGTTAAGTTATTTGTAAACTGCCACTTGATAGCCCTTTCCTCCCATTCACCTTTTTTTACCCAATCCATTGCATACAAATGATTCTGCTGCTTCAGTTCAGCATTCCCATCCTTCAACTTTCTTGATCCGAGAGGATTTGATTGAACAACGCTTAAACAAGGAACATCATCGAACTTAATTAATTTCCTCCTTCAACTCCCACAACTTCTTGTCTCTTCCTCCCATTCAGCTGTTGGTGCATTCAAGTACATACAACTACCACCTGCGAACGATTGTCCTGCTTCAGCCCATCATGTCTATCGCACAGTTGCCGTGATTAGATCGTGTTTGACTGAATGGCAACTTCATTGGGCGTGTACACAGCCTTTTTGTCACTCTTCTACAACGCACGAGTCTCTTGATACAGTGCAACGTCTTGGACGCTCCTTCACCACAATCAAACGTAACAGCATCTGATCCAGCAGTTGCCATTGTCTCAAGCAGCGTTCTTTACTTGCAGCAACCTGGGCTCACAGTCCGTTTCACGTGAACAGCATATAGCCAGCCATTGCATAGCAGCATCTTTATTTACGTGTAGCAATTTGTTTCAATACATACGACTTCTTACGAATATGGATATGGATATGGATATGGATGGATATGGATATGGATATGGATATGGATATGGATATGGATATGGATATGGATATGGATGGATATGGATATGATATGGATGGATATGGATATGGATATGGATATGGATATGGATGGATATGGATATGGATATGGATATGGATATGGATATGGATGTGGATATGGATATGGATGTGGATATGGATGTGGATATGGTTATTGCTATGGTACGTACATGGGATGGGAGGAATTGGGTATATACAACGCGTGAAAAAGAGGTATTCATTGTCAACTTGCTTGATGCTCCATCCCAATGACTGGTACATGCAATTATCATACTTTACACGCTATGCTATGGCAACAGTCATCATCATCCTTGTGCAACCTGTCAACCAAGTACAACCATCATCATCATGCAACTTCATGCTGTGACATGCCATGCATATGATTCGCCACCACGCAACAAGAGCCATCTCACACCTATCCATCTATCTTTGCACAATGCACGCCCAAAGGATAGCCTTGCACATAACGATGGATCTCATCTCCCATTGAAGCAATTTGTTGTACCTCTTCATCTAGCTCATGTGAATGATGTTGAATTAAAGAATTGTTTCTTATTTAGCAGATACGACGCTACTATGTATAAGACCTTCCTCCTTCCTGAGTTGGACTTCGTCATGTGTGAGGACTTGATGGATTGTATTATAGAAAGATCTATTTATGGTATGGCGAATGGCGGATATGTAGTAGATGTACACATATCCACTTGTGGAAAAGTCAGGAAGAGAAAGAGGCTGATTGATTCATTGTGTCTCGGGTGTGTTCGATAATATATAACTTACCCTCTTTTTTGGGTGATCAGACCTTGGGTCAACACGCTGTACATATACATACACATTATTTTGCATTTAGATGTTGTAAGAAAACGTCTTTATTTGCGTACGTGGGAGATGTTAGAGTGAGGTGTAAAAGATACACACATCCCTGCTAGGTGAAAATGTTGTCAGTGTCTTTTGCACTATGAGGAGATGGGTAAAGTAATTACGCAATGTTCATGAATCAAGATGACAGCACGTGCTTTCTAATTTAACCAAGTCCTTTTTCTTTGTGAAGCATTTATTCAATCGCTGATCGAAAAAGGAGAACAACATCGTTGAAAGCGGCCATGGGAACAATCCGATGTGCTGATCTCATATAAAGTTAAAAGTTGCATGCATGTCTGTGATTTGATTTGATTACCCAGTTTTTGTTGTGCATGTACCATTAAAAAGTAGCTCAGCCTCCTCTTTATCCAATGATTACAGTATATGAATGCTATAGTAATAACACGATACATGATGATGAAGGGTTGTAATGTAGTGATACAAAAATGAACGTAATGGCGGCAAAAGGCAAATTCTGTTATGCAAATGCGGCATTAAATGCTTTTCATATGACTGAGTGGGCAAATGAAAAGCGCAGGTACCAATGGGTTGTGTTTGGGTGGTGGGTGGGTGGGTGGGTGGGGGAGGAGGGGAGGATAAAAATAGTTTGTGCTTCCTGCTTTGCTTGTTACATTTTCCTTTTCCTTCTTTTGCATCCACAGGCAATTCTCGCCTTCTTTTTCTTCCCTCTTTTCTTCCCATGTCGCGTTCATCCGAGAATAATAATCATACATCAACTCGCACACGCGTGTTTCCGTTTCGTTCCAGAACAGCATCATCAGAGAGGACATCACCATCAGACACATCAGGAGAACAACAAAGCAAACCCAAGAAGCTTAATTCATTGTTCCATTTCAACAAGATGGATGACAACGATTACAACCAGGCACGACAACCCTATACACCAGGACTAGAAACGAACCATCGTCAGTATCCCAATGGCCGAACTTTGGATGTGGATGATGATGACGATCATTCGGATAATGGGACAGTGCAACCTGGAGAAGGACGATATACTTTGCGTGTGATCAACCCTGATCCTGTATCTGATAGCAGCAGCGACGAGGAGGAAGACCAAGAAGAGGAACAAAGACAATCACACAACAAAAAAGAGGATCAGCAAAGACCCCAACACTCAATGGGACAATCGACGCAATCAACAACAACTTCACCGCCACCACCTACAACAACGCATGCAAGACCTCCATTACCCTCCCCACCATCAGCCAAGCTTGAAATTGCAGCACCCACATTTGACTCGAACGATCGTCAACAAAGCACCACGGCATACGTTACACAATTCTTGTCTACAGCATCGTCTCCCACCACATCATCATTATCATTGGCAAGTAGCAGTGCTCAGCATACGCAGGTGACAGCAACGGCAACAGCAGCAGCATCCATTAGTAGTCGACGTAGTAGTAACCATGGCATCAATAATATTACAACACCAGCAACGACGACGCATGGCTCTAGCAACGTTACTGCTACTGCTACCACGACTGCAGCACCAAGTTTGAATCGACGGCAATCGAAAACCTTGCATGAAAAGCCCGGGTCTGTGGAACTGTTACCTCCTCTTGACTTGGATCCTTTGGATTGGAGCACATTCACCTCCAATATCAAAGCTAGCAAGCGATTATCCAACATTCCCCGAGTCGTGCTTGGTCCTGTATCATCATCCACCATCACCAACAACAACAATGAGGAAGAGGCATCAAAGAGCATTCAAGATGATACTGGTGCAACATCACGACCTACCATGTTTATGGATCAGGAACAGCTTGTGGAAACCCCCTTAACATTGACACCACGCACAAGTCAAAGTTCAATGCAACCACGTTATGAACCACCTACGCCACGCATGCAACCTAGCTTATTATCTCCTAGTGATAGTGGGATCATTTCACCATCACTCTATCAAGGTCAACGATCCATTGCCACTACCACCCATGAAAGTGTCCTTGTAAGTTACACTACACGCAGCATCCAAATGATAGGATTGGTTGGCTAATAACTTCTATGAATCATTAGACATCGACAATGACACGTACCATGGCACAATCAAAATACAGCAAAGCATCTTTTAGTTTGACCAACAATCGTGATGCGCTCAAGTTATATCGTGAGATGGCTGAAAAGACCAATGATCCTCAAGTACAACTCAGCTATGCCAAATACTTGCTTGAGATTGCACCTCTCTATGATAAGACAACAGCATCCACATCATTCAATGGTATCAAATCTTCCCAGCATCAACGACGTGAATCATCATCCATGAACGAATTGGTGAAACGGGGTCGAGCCAGCCTTACTTATCATGGTATGAGACGATCCTCAGACTTAGGTGATTTGGATTCTGCAAACAAGAAACGAGCATTGGAAGAAGAAGGGGTTCGATGGATACGTCGATTGGCAAAGCAAGAAGTGGGCGAAGCAGCGTATTTATTAGCCGTATGGATGGAGGAATACAAGTATGGATGTCGACCCAACCCATCCAAAGAACAACGATTACATGAAATTGCAGCACGTTCAGGTATACCCGAATCCATGTATGCCACTGCACAGCATTTGGAGCATCAAGGCAATCATGCAGCGGCATTGCGTTATTACAAGGAAGCTGCTGAAAAGGGGCTTGTGGCTGCTGTTCATGTGAGTGAAGAATGATGATGATGATGATCCCCTGACAGGATGATGCAAAAGCTAACCCAATGTGTATTATTCATACATACATACATAGCGTCTAGCTGAAATCACCCTCCATGGTGAATTGGGGCAACGACAAAACATGACAACAGGCCTAGCTTTACTTGCACAAGCAGCTGAGAGTGCGAATGAAACATGTGCCGAGCCATTGTATGTGTTTGCGCAAGTCTTAGCCAATACGTACCCACGTGCTGATATCCCGAGTGAATTGGTGCAATCGTATGGTGGTGTGGATGCTGCCATGCCTACCTTTGAACGTGCGGCAGCGCTAGGTCATGCAGGTGCACAAAGTTACATGGGCTACATTTATGAGCATGGCTTGTATGGCGTATCGATTGACATGGCCAAGAGCTTTGAGTATTACGATAAAGCAGCCAAGGAGGGTCATGATGCAAGTGCCATGCTGGGATTGGCAAGACTTTACAATGGTGGTACGCATGGCCCAGATGATTTCGATGAACAATGGCGTTGTGAGCATGATGTTTCTCGTTGGCTCGAACTCACAGGTCGTAATGAGGATGCATCATTTTATTGGTGTCAATGTGCTACGGAACAAGAATTGGTCGATGCATTCTATTTGCTAGGGTAATGATTGGTTAAAGGAGAGGTGGTTAAAAGGTGTTCATCATGCTTACAGCTTTCTTTCTTTAGATGGTATTATGAAACAGGATTTGGAACACCCAAGGATCATGTCCGTGCACAATTGTACTACCAACGAGCTGTCAACAAGGGATGCAGTGACGCAGCTGCACGACTCAAGCATCTCGATATTGCTACCACCACCTCCACCTCCACCACTACCCATGAACACAGACGCGATTCACAACAATGTACCATCATGTAAAACTCAAGATTTCTCGTATATACCCCCTCCTTCCCACCCAACGTTTTCTCCCTCCTCCTCCTCCTCCATCTATTTGTATTGCCGTATAATACACCATACATATTGTAGTCAACATTGTAATCACGATGATGGAAAAATGGTTATTATTGTCGTTGTTGCAAATAGTCATTAACGTAAGGTGAGGTGTGATCTCGAACAGCACTTTCTCTTGGATAAGCTGGATGATTACAATAGAAGGGTGCAGATAAATGGGTTGTCACTGAAGAAGGGGATGTGGGTGCTGATGAAGAAGGTGTTGAAGAACAAGTTTGTTGCATGGCCATGTCCTCATCTTCATCTTCACTTTCAGTCTCGTCATCATCATAGACTTCTTGTTGCTGTTGCTGTGGTTGTGGTTGTTCAGGTTGTGATGAAGTTGGTGCTGTCGATTCTTGACTTGATGATGATGATGATGGATCTTGACTACTTTCAAAGCTCTCTTCAGAGAATCCACTATCTGCACGCTCCGTTTTTCGCCTCTCGTACCATTGATGCTTTCGTTCCTGAGACTTGATCTTGCTCACTTGTTTCATGAGAGCTTGTCGTGTGGGTTCCCATTGTGCCATTTCCTCTGGATGTTGTTGTTGTCTTTCCACCACCGTTTTGATCTTGACTTGTAATTCATTCAACTTTTCTTGTCGTTGCTGGGATAATCGTTGTGCATTCAATTTCCTTTTCGAGCATTTTCCATCGTCGTCTGAGGATTGTTGTCGTTGGTATGGATACGTAGTGGCAATCAATTTTGATCGGCTGCGTCCACGTTTGTATTGATAGCCATTCTCTAAAAGTCGCTTTTTGGCTTGTTCGAAAAGGTCGCCTTTGTTGACAAGCAAAGATGGATTTTCTAGAGCAAGGCTGATGGATGCTTCATTGATGGCGTTTTCATACTTTGTCAAGGGTCGACGGCTGTTCTTTCCATAAATGGTAGCATGCAAGACAATTACATCGCGTGAAGCTTCTTGCGCAGCATCGTTGGTCATGTCACCTGACGCATGATTGTTGTTGTTGTTATTGTTGCATGATGTGGATGATAAAGTTGGCTACATAAATCATAACCAGGATGAATATAGGCTTCTATGATGCATGTACAATTCACTTACGGTATCGCTTGTGTTATTCAGGATCATGTCAATGCCTACACGTTGATGGTGATGTTGATGTGATGTTGATGGTGGTTGTTGTTGTTGTGGTGGTGATGATGATGATGATGCAGGCTGTTGTTCATTGTCTAGCTTGGATCGCAATACTCGGAGCCCCTTCTTGAGAACAACAGCATGGAACGGAAGCATACGCACAGCACTGAGAAACTCATTGAGTTCGTTGTCATTCAAGTGCAGCAGTTGCGGAACATCGCGATCGGTTGCCCCCGCTCGAATGAAGGAATCGTAGTACTGTCCGAGGTCCTGGTCACAAAGAAATGCGTGTAGTGATGGCAACATGGCAATGACGGGTATGTAAGAGTGGAGGAAAGGGATAAGATAAAAGAAGGGGGTTGGTGGTGGTGGTGGTGGAAAAAAAGCTATTGTGTATTGTAGATAGCCCACAGCCTAATGTAACGCTGCTACTGCCAGCCACTTAAATCTCAGATCACAGCAAAAAACTCTCATCCTTTTTACCCCATCCTTGACGGTGTACCACTACCACGGACCCAAATGATTTGAAGCTTGGTCTATTTAGTACATACAACATTCAACATCCATCATAATATTATAAAGAGTATAGGTCACTATGGAATTGAATGGCTTTCACATACACACTATGTACTTATCGACGAGGTTGCTGTTGGATGAGAGATTGGCCATATCGAATAATCATTTCTTGTGCTGCGAGATACGCGCTCCTTACACTAGGAGGGACACGGGGATCAGCAGTGACTTTATCCAGGGTACGCCTAAGGTTGGCAAATGACTGGCGAGTGTAGCTTGAAAAATGATAGCGAACGCGCAAAAATTGTGCAAAGAAAAAGATGGGCATCACTCGTAATCTAATCATCCATTCCCAAATAAGCATAAGGAAACATCCACTTTTTTCCTCTCTCTCTCTCTCTCTCTCTCTCTCTCTCTCCCATTCTTACTTGAAAATGCCGAATAAGAGTCTACCCATGACAACCACCACTTCGGTCTGAGCAACAAATTGCATAGCAGAAGTATAATTCTTTTCGGTCCACATTTGAATACCCTGACGTATCTTGAATTGCCACGATGCGATCTCTTTGCACTCATTCGGGGAAACGGTTGGTAGGATCTTGTTGCGGACATAGCCAAGTGAATGGAACAAGGAAAAGGTGGCAAAAGGCAATAGCGTTACTAGTAGGATACCACGTGATTAAGAATGCAATCCATCTTCTCGATCATGCGTTGCTCTCACACACACGTACACACACACACTTACCAGTAACGGGTCTTACAAAGAACCAACAAAGAGCCAACAACGTGTACTGCACATTTTCATCCATGACGAGGCGTTGTAAATACACTGCATTCAGCTTGATAGACTATAACAATGAAATGAGCTACTATTGCTGTGTCGGCCCATGCATCATAGTCTTTACCTTGTGGGTCTTGGACACAACGACACCATACGAAAGCAGAGCACCCACATAGGCAAATCGATAAGGAACTACCCATGTACGAAAAGTGACGATTGAAAGCACATGAAAGGCGGTTCCAAGGAGTGTGAGGAAATGGCCCATGAACCAAGCGAATTGAAGCGTCTGTTGAACCTCATGTTTCAGGGACAATGCGAGATCTCGATCTGATGGCTGCATTTACCTGCACCAACCCAAGTACACGTTCTTGTAGTGGTGTTGTATCTGTTGAAGCTGGTTGAGCCATATGGAAAGGTATGTGGTAGTGGTGGTTGTGGTTGTGGTGTTGAGAAAAGAGCGAGGTAAGGAGCAAGGTGGTCGTTGATTCTCGATTTTCCCAGGTCTGAGCGGGATACAGTATCGCAGCCAACGAGTGAAATGTCGACAGATGGAACGCTTGAGGATGCCCACCACATACATAGATTAGCATTAGCCCATCATTCTTTCTTATCCTCACAGTCTTCATCCATGAGTCTAGGATACTTGTTTATAAAGAGTCATCCATCCCACACACGCTTTCGGAACACTTGAATCCATAAAGATGATCAATAAATATGGGTTGCTTCCTCCAAACATGAATACGTATAGGGTACCTGGGTTAGAATGATATTGACCATGTCGATTTGTCGACTAACAAGGTTTAGAAAAGGGAAAGAGAAGCTGAAATTACACGTAGCAAGAACCATAGCTGCTCGTAATCGATGTTAACAACAATCGTAGCACGAATATTTGGTTGCCTAATTGCTCGACAACGACTATTTCCAGTCAAAGCCTTCTTTATGCTATCACATAGACGTGGTGGCATATACAACTTTGCTTCTTTTTGATGAGCCCCGTATACCTTCAACCCATTTCCCTGCAACATGATCTGTATACTATTTAAAGCTGGGCGTATCCTCTCACACAACACCCACTCTTCAATATAACCATACTTCACTTCATACACGCCTTGTCTATTTTAGGTTCCACGTACTACCGGCTATATGGTAAAAAGAGCCGTTCTTGCCATGCAAATGCTTATGACATGCATGGAAAATAAGTTCAAGTGGTGATTGTGCCTTGATCTTTTACAAAAAAGACCCAAACCTTAAAAAACAAGGAGAGTTCAAAGCTATTTAGAGATGTTTTGACCACAGGTATGGGTCAATTTGTATCATCGTATCATTATGCTTCAACCCTTTAACCCCCATCACCCAATCGCAAATCAGCTCACGAGGCATTTGAGGAGTGTATGTGGGGGAGGTGTTCTCGACTGTTCCAGTAAAGTCAGGTACCTTCTTCCTTTACATACCTCGTTTTTGCATACAATCACGCAATCCATCATCTCTCCATCTATGTTGTAGTATGTAGCTAGTGCAAAAAGTCACCCGATGAAAAACATCAGATGAGCTTCGAGAAGGGGACCATTTCTTATTACACCACGCTTACGACGTCATCTCTTTTGTCATGAGACATTGATGATGATGATGATGTGAGCCAAGATGCCCTAAAGGGAAGAGGGAGAGATGATAATCGGGCTCATGTGGTGAATAGATTGTCTCGTTTGATGATCCAAGCTATGCACAATGAATCCATGTATAATACTACTACTACACCGTACGGCCAAAAAGGTCGCGTGAATGCATGTGCCCCAAAAGGGGTAACAAACACTGGGCTTACAAGGTTCAAGTCAAAAAAGTGGGAGTGCAGTAAGCCGTAGGGGTTGGAGGGTGAGGAGAAAGCCGAGGGCTGCTGCTCATGCAGTTATGATCTTAATGCTGCTGCTGATGCTGTATGACCAAGCAGCAACGTATGTTTTGGAATGTTATGACATGCATCATGAACAAAGAAATACCGTACGTTCAGTTTTTAAGGAGTATGATAGGAAATGACAAAGAGAGATGTAGTGTGATTGATGAGAAATTAAGGCAAACGTATCACTTGTTGTTATTAATTACCGCTGCTGATGCGATCAATAATGTGTGGCGTTGATGAGTTAGTTTCAACCATATTGCTGATGCATGCCGATTCTGTGGAAAGAGAGAAATTTAGTATCATCATCACCGTCACCGCCTTCTGAGAAGTAAATTGGCGTACCTAGTAGAAGGGAGAAGGATGATCTTTTTGCTATTGGTTGAAACTTTACTATGGTGCATGTCCTGAAAGGATACAACTCTCTTTCTCTTTCTCCTCTCCTTCTGCTATGTACTTTAACGCGACCAAAGACGCGTGCTGCGCCCTTTTCATGCGTTGCGTGCGGACGCGCCTAAAATGGGACAAGGCCGATGTAACAGCAGCCAACAATGCAGGGCATCTATACACCTCCTTATGCTGCTCATCATCATTATTAGATCAAAGGCATTTCATCAAAAGTAGGAAATACTTTTTATGTGCACATTCACCTCCTGGATGCCTGCTCCTGGACTTTACATTCATCCATGCGTAAATATACCCTTGTTCTCCTTCTCCCATAAGGGCTGATGTGTACACACAGACAAGATGGATATTGACAGGCCTCTAACACGCTCACTCGTAGGGGTTGAAAACCTATTTCCACATGTTACGTGAGGGAAAAAAAAGAGAGAGAAAGAGTAGGTGAGCCTATGTGCTGATTAGGTTGCAATAAGGAGAGTTGAATTACAAAGATGTACAAAGCCAATTGATTGATGGCGAATAATGAACGTACGACGATCCTAATCCACCACTCAGGAAAGTTAGAGTTAGTAACCATCCAACAGAGAGCGAGCGTTTCTATATGAGCATTTTGGCTTTTCGCTCGAAAGGAAAGGTTACACCAGCATGTGCATGCAAGTCTTGGGACGTGCATGAAATAAACAACTGTTGCTTTTACCTGTTCGAGACAAAAAGGAGAAAGAAACAAGAATTTTCATGGTCCGTGTGTGCTGTTGTTGTGGGATACGGGCCATCCGACTTTGGGGGTACAAGGGATAATGCATAGTATCGGCTTTGGGCATGTGTGTGCATGCACCCTACCACGGTCTTTTACCATATGTACCCTCCTTGTTTGTCAAGGTGCATCAAGAACATGTCGTCTCTAACGTGCAAAAAGAATCAAGGTCATCGATCACCCCAAGAACGTGCAAATGACCGAATACGTACGAAAAGTATTCTTGGATTGGGAGTTGCATGCGAGTGTGTGAGTGTAAGTGTGGCACCATCATCATCATCATCGTTATCGTCAATGCATGAATCTTAAAGGAGGGAGGTACTACTACACATTTGCTCATTTAACAACAATGTGATATGCTATTTACGCTAATAGTGAAACAAAATGATGGCATGCACACTGTCATGGGAACATGCACGAGTTGTGCCTTTGTGTTTCGGAATCCATGGCAAAGAAAGGTAATCTATACATATCCACACCGCAAGATGGGATCGACGTTTTTGATGTCGCTTAATGAAACCTCACACATTGGGCGCACGGTGTCCCTGTACTCCCCACTCTTTGCTCTTTCCCTCCTCCCCCCACATGCAAAACTCGTTACAATAAACCAGTATTTATATAGGTCTACTAATTTTTTTATTATGTGTCACACACCAGGGCGCATATACTTAAATGGGAAGAAAGGAAAAAACGGCAAAGAAAACTGGCAGGCATACAAAAAGCATAACGTGTGATATAGAATGTATATATGTGTGGTGTTTAGGGAGGAGCAGAAGAAGTAGAAGAAGAAGAAAGAAAAGGTATATGCATCACAGACCAGGCGATGGGGGTTTCTTTATGTACACAAAGATGCAAAATGGGATGAAACGAATAAAGATCAAGTGGGCGCACGCACACACACGTAAACGTGTGTACACGCTTGAGTAAAAAGAAAAAAGAGTTGCAACATATTAACACGTTCCAATGGAATGCGACCGAGAATAAATAGAAAGCAAGAGATTAGAGATAGAAGCGCGCATTAATCAATGAGCGGCTCGCCGCTCTGTAAATATAGGGTGAATGTGCCTGGTGATGTTTGTATATGTTTGTTGGTGTGTATATAGCAATGTCCTTGGTATCCACATTTCACTTGATTTGAATGGATGAGCTGATGCTGTTACGAGCATCCGATTGGACAAAGCGATAAAAGTATGGATCGGTGGATGTTTGTGGTGCAACTGCATGGGTGTTGGAGGTATTGGCAGGCATCATGACCGATCCACAAGGACGCTCTACTGCTGCTGAGGTGGCCGAGGGTGCCGTATACCAGCGTGTTTGATATGACCAACGCATAGCATTTTGGTTGTCATTGGCTGTAGGATGTTGTGATGAAGAAGGTCTATAAACCATGGGTGCGACAAGTGGAGGTGGAGGTGGTGTTGTAGTTGTACTTGTAGTAGCAGGATTGGCACGATAATATGAGCCATGATCAGTAGGCGTCGTTGGTGGGCTAGGTGAACGATCAGCTTCATCCGAATCTTCACTACTTGTTGGTGATGCTGGAGAAGGTCTATAAAACACTGTAAGTGATCAACATTGGTGATAGTAATCTTTGAATGCAACATACCTAATGCATTTCCAGTTGGGGTCATGGCATCGTTGGTGGCGTGAAAGGGTAGTCTTGCGAGTGAATGATTTGCCACAGTTGATAAAATCGCATACATAAGGTCGTTTGCCAGTGTGTGTACGTCGATGACGAGCCAATGAAGATGACTACAGCAATAAAAGTAAGGTTAATCCTATATGTTCAAGAATCCATGGGAAACACACAAATAGGTGTGTGTGGGTGTTATACACATACGTCACTAAAGGATTTGCCACACGCTTCATATTCGCACACGTGAGGACGTTCACCGGTGTGTGTGCGGTAGTGAACAGTCAAAGCCGATCTTTGAATGAATTGCTTGCCGCATCCTTGCCACTCACAGCGATAAGGACGTTCACCGGTATGGATACGGCGATGTCGTGAAAGATCCGATCGTCGAGAAAAGCGTTTACCGCAATCATCCCAAGTGCATACATATTGCTTGACATCAAAGACGATGGTAGATGTGGATGATGTTGAATACATTGGACGATCCAAATCGGGTTGTTGATGATTGAGCAAATTGCGGATGTCCATGCTGACTTGAATAATAGGAAAGAGAAAAGAAAAGGCGTGGAAAAAGCGGACGAGACAATGATTGCTGCTCCGTATTTATATATCGCAGACACAAACAGCACCAAAGGCGGGGAGCGAGAAAGTGTGAGCAGGGGTTAAAGGCAAGTGAAGTTTGAATGGGGGGGACTATGTATTCACGGGTTCGATTTTTCTTGCACAGAGCCAATTCTATCGTTAGTACGAGAATCAAGGTGACACAAACGCTTTAGGAATGACACACGCACGTCCTGGTACCACATGCTTATTCTACACCCATTCTGACAAGCCCTTGTCCACCCCTTGTCCACCCCCTCTCCTCCCATTTCTTTTTTTCACACAACAAGCCCATATAAGCATTGACCCTTACCAGTAGTATGTATTCATTACTACTGTTATAGGTGATCCTCTTTTTTTCCACCACCTGCTACTCTACATGTATTCTCCTTCCTCCTTTGCCGACTGAGGATCATCATCATATACCCTCCTTTAAGGCCGTTTGGTGCCCTGCCTCGGACTTGCCGGATAGGGAGCATTACTTGCATTCATTGTCAAAGGTTTGCTATTGATGCTGCTGCTGTTGTTGTTGTTATTTTGCATCAAGCTATCCTCACCATCTCAAGGGACACAACTCATTAACAGGCGTCTTGTGGAGATGAGACGATGGCATGGTGGGCTCTCACCGGAAACAAAGGAGCCACGTTGCGATGCTGAACGTAAACTTTTTATTACTTTGGGTATAACTTCTTTCAAGTAATACAACATGGCGGACTTGATTGTGGTGTGCAACTTTAAAGACGTCAATCCAAGACCTACGATTATCTTCCATTACTCTCCACTCTCCCCCCCTTTCTTCTTCCCCTTCTGGCAGAAAATCAAATCATTTGGTAAGCGCTTACCTTTTCAAAAGTGTAGCGTTGTTTGCTTTTTGAAACAAAGTATGCATGTGAATGTATCTTTTGCGTGAATAGCAATAAACATGATGGTTGTAGTAGTAGTCAGGGCGTCACAGTGGATGAAGGGGCACGAGCCACCTTTTAATCAAAGCCATAAGATGCGGGCACCCAGGTCGATCGCATCCAATCTTGTTCATGGGCTGCTTTGGCTGCTGCCGCTGTTTATTTTTCCCTGCTCATGCTGCGGCGATCCAAAAAATAAAAAAAAAGCCAAGCTCGGGGTAAAGGGGTTAGCCCCAGTGCACGCCATGATCAGGTTTTTTTTGGTACTTTTGCATATACACAGTAGATGTTGTTGTTGTTGTTGTAGCTGCTGATGTTGGTTGGCGTGTGTATGCATAAGAAATAATGGGGCCATTGCATGCGGCGGCATTGAATATTGTGTGTGTGTGTTCAAGATAACAAGGCGAGTATCATGCATGCATGTGTACAACGGGGTTGGATCTCGTATCACCCGTGTACATTGTACATGCGTTGCCTGATAAAAATTGCTCTTCTCGGCGTATCATTATTCTTCTTAATCATTAAAAGTGTGTGAGAATGAGATATGGTTTACTACTACTTTTGCTGTAGACCCATCTACTACAGCTATCGTAGGTTAGTGCATGTTTGCGTGTGCACGAAATAATGCAGGCGGGCATCCCATCCGTTGTCGCCGATTCAACTTGTGGGGGTTGATTGAAAGAGTTAGGGTGACATTTCGCTCGAGCCAGCAAGATTATGGTGGTGTGTGATTGGTACAGCTGCTTTGATTTAGTACTACTCAAAAGTTGGCTGCTGTACGACATCTACTTGTGATGCTTATTGCTTTGACCCCACGCAGTGGGACATCTCTCTCATTCACACATATGCCGATGTTGTGTGTGTGCGAGTGTGTGTGCATCACGACACACAGACAACCCGATGCATCGGTGGTAACACACACACAGCTGAGTTGCGGTGCTCACACCACATGGCTTTCGAGTTTTACTCTCCCGCACAAAAACACATACGTAATGGGGGGATTTAGCCTAAAAGCGGGGATTGTGATGTTTCTTTGTCCCGCTCGTAATACTCATCACCGCTCATCAAGGAGAAGCACAAAATGATCATTCGCATATCATTTTGAAGACGATCATTTTGCGAGCCAAAGATCTCTCATTGCCCCCATGTATATCACTTTCAATGTGTGCCACAAGTACAGGTGTTTAACCAAATGGTGTTAGTAATATAGGATCACACGTTGTGATCAGCTGTAATGTACACCACTGCTGCTGCTGTTGTATCGTGTACGTACCACCACCACTACCAGTTGCCTGGTGAGAATAATGTAGCGTGTGATAAGATCCCAATCAACCAATATTTCATTGTCAACACGAGATGTGCCACGCCACGTTTCAGATTTTTTAAGCAATGAAACAATGCATGATGCGTGCATGTAAATCTGAAAGATGTGGCCTGTGCCACCCACTCTTCCCATGATCCTGCTATGTACATAGCTCACTCTTTAAACCGCCACACACACTCACATACACATACACAAATAGATTTTTACATCACCACCCACCGTTCAATTCGAAATCGACCCCCTCCTCCTCCTCAAGCCACGTGCTAAAATGCATCATCTCCTGTTTTGGTCAACATCCGCGTCACGTGTCATACCATGGACGAGCGAATGACCATATCCGATATAGACATTGATCACTTACTGCATGGTAGATCAAGCTGTTTTGTTCCATAAAAATCGATTTTTATATGACGTACATTTTCATTGAGATCCATGTGCGCTCTTTTTACAATCACGTTGCCATGGCTACCATTATTATCTTCTAAAGCTTTGTTTATTGACAGAGTGAAAATATGTACACGAGTAGAAGAAGTGTTTACAAATCCCAGACGGTTTCTTTTACAAACATGGAGGCGGTCTGTCGGATCTGTCCCACCGCGTCGAGATCTTCGACATAGATACGTATTTGGCCTGGTATACAATCCTTGGGGTTTGCAATGCGAACATTCAGTGTGAGTGTGCTATCGGGCTCCACGATGCCGGTACCATCTTGTGCGAGCGGTGTGATATCAACCATATGGTAAGCAGGGAAAGCGTCAGGACCTTCAACAATAACCTTGAACCTCAATGGAAGCTTGGTGGCATGATTGATGATGGTAAATGGACATGATTCAGGTCGACAAATAGCATCCATAACACCATCCTCCTCATTCTTGTCCTCCTCTTGATAATACGTAACCAATTCAAAATCAAGTCGTCGTTCAACAAGTGAAAATGTAGGCGTTTCAACCAATACGGAATGAACAGGGATGGTCTCACGTAATTTACGATCTTCCTCAGCATTGATAGGTCGGGTTGTCACCCACAATTCGGCAAGTGTGATACCTTCCGGGTTGAGCAAATCGGGTCGATTTTTTGGTAACCTTGAGCATTCATTGGGTGTGGCACGAACACGCACTTCCATTTGACCTTGAGGGCTGATAGCAATGCCTCCTTTGAGTGGTGTATTGGTATACCGTGACAACACATCCAAGTTGAAAAACTCGGCCAAATCAGGCGCAATATCAGCTCCAATCTCGAATCGGATATCGTCATCGGTCGTATTATGGATCACAAACCAATTGTCGCAGGGGATATTGTTGGCTGACATGGGATGATACAATGCCGGTAATTCCAAAACGTCATCATTGAGTCGTTCAAAGCATAGCTCAAACACCGTCATGAACGCTTTGAGTCGCAAATGCATCGTGTTGTTGCGGTTGTAATGATTGGCAATGCGAACATCAAATCTTCGTTGTCCAGAACTTTGATCATGCAATTGTCGAGGATCCAATATACCAGCCACAACCAAGTTCTTACCAGCAGGGACGGTTGCATTCAAAGGTGAAAAGCTCATGAATTCAGGTCGTTGCACCTCGTAATTGAGTGGGACATCGGCTAGATTACGCACCGTAAAATTAAAGTTGACAGGTTTCCATGATGCTGTGTGACCCATTTGGCCCAAGTCAATGCGATCCACTACCAATTCACCCAACGACACGCAAAAGACAGCACGTAACTCCATGGCCATCACTTCAACTTGTTCACGCATATCATACAAGATAAACATGCCCTTGAGAACACCACTTTTGCCTTGAGATGCACGAATACGATCCTGCTCACTCAATTTTTCAGCTGACGGGCATTGTAATCGTATTCCCACACGTTGACCTGGATCAAGCACCAATTGGCCACTACGTTGTAAATAGGCTGTATCCTTGTCCTTGGCAACATAAGCTGTCTTGACCTGGTCCTCATCAGCAACCCATCCAGCGGTAATATCAATGTCACTCATGGCGATCAATTGCATTGCCTCGTTGGACGTATTGGCCACCTCGAGCTCTCGAACATGTAACCTTGCTTCGTCATTATCAGGTAATCCAATCACTTGCAATACAGGTGCATTATTACGAGCTTCTTGCTGATGTGCTGCTGGTGATACATAAATGCTCTCCCATTCGACAACAGGCAAGGGGTCGGCTTCACGATGATCCACGTGTTCATGATCCTCGGTATGTTGGAGCATCAACTGCGCACCACCCTTGTTCCACAAGCCCAGCTTTTTGTGGTTGACAAAGAATCGCACCTCGATTTCAAACACTTCCTGGCTATTGTGTTTGTTTGTAACAACCAATTTTTCGCTGAGCAAGCCGTATCGATAAGCGCAAATACGGAACGTGATCTGGGCAGCAGACATGGCTGGTACGATATCATTCGAATCACGTCGCTGTACTTGAACATTCCCTTCTTCCTCATCCTCCTCCTTGTTCTTGCCATAGTAATCCAAAGAAGGTCGCCTCGATGCTTTTGCAATGGATCCACGCCACCCATTAAGTGTGCCACCACGTCGATCCAATAATATGTTGCCGCTTGGACACTCGACTTCATAATCCAAAGGCAACTGGCCCGATTTGTTCTTGATAGTGAATGACCCATAAAACTCCTCATTCAATTTGTCGGTGTATCCAAGATTGATCATGCGGTGTGACACCTCCAAATGCGATTGACCGATAATGGAAACAAATTTGACTGTTTGTGTGAGCATCAGCACCATACTGTTATCCGATCCTTCTTCACTGGTGGTCGTGGTCGTTTCTTCTTTGGTCATTTCTTCTTCCTCTTCATCCTGTGCTTGCTGCGTGTAAATTGAAAACTTGATACCACCCACAAGTTCTCGACATTCGTCACCCGAAGATCCCAAATAGCCTGTCAACAGATTGGGCTGCACGGCCACCCACACCGTTGTCATGCTTCCAGCTTTGAATGGCATCATATCCACCAAACCACGCTCGCCCGTTTCGTCAACAAAGATCAGCACTTGATGAGAAAGATTGCTTTGCGATGAAATATAGAGATCTTGGCCTGAAATGTTTTCCACAAGCAATGGTGTCACTTGAGAATACTTGCTGCCAGGATCCACGTATGAAAAGCCAAGATCCAATTCACCCTGATTATCTTCTGAAAGGGAAGGAAATGACAAATAGGCCTTGTAGTGCACCAAGCATTGTAACGTAAAGGTCTGAGATACATCGGTACGTCGATTGTAAAGATTGAATGTATGCTGCTGCTTTCCAACTTTGGTAGGCAATATCTCAAACATCAACTTGCGAGTCTCACGAGGAGCCAAAGGTTCAGCTGTTTGCGGGCACGAAAAGAACTCCTTTTCTTCTGGAGGAAGCAATACTTCATAATCCACAGGTTCGTCCGATTCATTCGATACGCGTACATAAAATGTCGACTTTTGATTCACTTCCACACGCCCACCATCAAAATACGACCTTTCCAATTTCAATGGTTCAGGTTGTTCATCCACATCAGGTAGAGCTGCTGCTGTATCACCATTTGGTTCTGATGGGGTTGTTGCTGTTGCTGCCGCTGCCGATGATGATGATGCTGGTTGTGGTGGTGGATGATGAGACTCGGTTCTCGATTCTTTCATCTTGGCGGAGTTGGTGGTGGTGTCTCGTGATTCATGCTCAAGTGCTTCATTGTATGCCTCAAGATCCTTGCATAACACAGCAGTGTAATCAATCTTTTTGCAAGCATCCGTATTCTTGTATTCATGAGCAAGTATTTGTCCCTTGATAGGTTGCTGACGTTCGATAGAAACGATGCCTGCTTGTACTGGTCGAGCCACTGCTTTGAAATACACCGAGATGGTCTTTGTCGCATTTGGATCCAATGGGAAAACAACACTTTCAGGTGTCTTTTTGTAAATGTTGCTCTCTTTGACCCCTTCCTCTCCTGCTGCAGCTGCAGCTGCACCATTGCCATTGATCTTATCCTCTGTAGCCTTTGACCCATCCTCTGCTCCATTGGCTTGTTGTTGTTGCTGTTGTTGTGATGGTGAAGAAGATTCATCTCCTTGACTTGACTCGATAACAGGTGGCTGATCCTCATCCTCTTTGATATCGACATTGCGTAATTTGGCGAGCTTCTTTAGGTACTTTTTCACCTTATCAGGTTGACCTTTACGTTTGGCAATCTTGAGCTTTTGTTCCAAATTCTCAATCTCCTCCTCAGCTTCTTTGGATAGGGCCTTGTTGGAATCATCATCCTCCACCACAAAGTCAAACTCGCCATAGTATTCTCCAAAATTGGCATCATTGGGATCCACTCGAATTTCAAACAATCGACTTTGTTTGTTGGTATTGGTGAACACGATCGTTTCCACACGCGTACATGTTTGATCGACAAGACAAGGACCAAACGCCAGCTCCAATGACTTGATGAAAAATGTAGATGGCTTACGCACAAGGGCCTTGAGCAAGAGTACACGATCATTGGTACGATCACGGATATTCTCGACCACCAAACGCTCAACAAAGGGACCCGCCAAGGTAGGTTCAAAGACAAAATCAATCTCACGTTTGCCAAATGCCCGAACAACACCATATCGACCAGCACCAAGAATGATATCGCCTGATGCAATCGAACCTGATTTACGGATGGCATACAACAAAGGGGTCTCGCTCCGATTATGCAGCACAATCGATTTCGCATGACGCTCGTTACGCTCCACAAGGCCGAAATTGATATTCTTTTGACCAAGATCCATGATCGAACGACACAATTGAGCACGAAGAATAACTTCACGTACTGGAATCAGGGATTGATCACCATACAGCAGACTCTGGAACTCGGGTTGCTCAATGTTGCGATCAAAGTCCACAAGACGTAAAAAGATACGGCCATCTTGTTTCTTGGGTGCACTTTGAATATGCGGTTTGTTGCTGCCATTGGGCGTATACACAATCACCACTTCTTCTTCGGCATGTGGAAGCACATCCACAAATTGTGTGCGTACAAGATCACCCTTTTCAATCAATCGATCCAACTCACGACGCCATGCTAGTTGTTGTCGTACAAAACGTTCCTCAGCTGACTGCTTGGGAAACAAAGGTGTCGGCGCTTTGGACCCATGTTCCAATACGGATATCAAATCTTCAAATGGCACACGTGATTTGCCAGCAATATCAGACCAATCCAAGTTCTTACGCGACTTGTAACGTGCTGCTGTAATGCCTAATGATCGATTCGGCTATAAACATAATAAATGAGTTGGTTGTGTGCCCTTTTCCAAAATGTAATTACTCCTACTCTTACCTTTTTGCTATCACTTTGTGAGGAGGGTGATCCATCAGGTGGTGACTTTTTGTTGTTCGTTCTCGCACTTTCATCAGGCCGTTGTCGTTCCACAGGACTAGCATTTGCACTGCCACTTGGACTCCTCTTCATATGATGTGGTGCCTGAACAAGCGCATTTTTGTTGGGATGCTGAAAGACGACATGCTTCCTTCGTGAAGGTACATTGTGTCTGGATGTCGCTAAATCGAGATAGGCGGTGGATCGTGCATCAGCGTTGGATACAGGTGAATGTCGTAATCGATGCATGGGAGAAAATGTCATTTTATCACCAAGGGACAGTGTCTTGCCGGTGGCACGTGAGCTTTGTATCACATCCTTTTGTGCATGTTTTCGAGCTACAAGATGATCTGACATGATTAGCCAATGCAATTGAATGGGGAAATAAATAAACACTTACACAAGGTCTCTGGACTCTTTTTCCTAGGAGCAGGACTTTTTCTCTTTTCAGGCAATGATGTTTGCTCATCTCGATCTGAACGACGTTTCTTGGTATAGACAAGGATATCATCTGGTAATGAGGTGGTGACTTCAAGACGTAAAGGGGCGCTGCGAATGTTTTCCACTGTGAATGTGCGAATGGCTGGTGAATTGAGAACGGTGGATCCAAAGTCCAAAAAGTTGGCACCGGTGGTGGTGAGGATGCGATAAAAGAGTGAATGAAAAGTGACTCTGTTCTTGTCAATGTTGGTACTTCGCACACCGATAATCTGATCATTGTCCCGATTGAGATAGTTGACAAGCGTGATTTGTTTGCGATACTCTGGATTGACTTTACGAGGGTATAAATCCAATTTGAGTTCCACATAGCTGCGAGGTTGAATGACGATTTCTCCACGTAGACAATTGAGCACCTTGGATGAGAATTGTAGTTCCACTCGTGCAACAATGTCGGCTCGATTAAAGATATTGATCGGCAGTGATTTCAAGGTGCCAACATCTGTGTCACCAAAATTGATCTCCTTGGGAATGACCTCCACAAAAGAAGTACAAGTACGCGCACGGCATTGGATCACTTTACGCTCCTTTGGCTCTGCACTGCGATAGGTTCCATATTCAAGCACAATTCTGAAATTACGTCGAATCAATTGGCCAGCATTGAAATCATTGATAGATGCATCCTTCTTGGGTCGATAAGATACTTGAATCACTCGTTCTTTGCCAGGTCGTAATACAAGATCCTCAATGCGTGTATAGCTGCCAGCTGATGTCAATGCTGATGATGCACCAGGTGTTGAAGGTCGATCATTGGGAGTCGTCGTAGTCGATGTACCATCACCATCCTCCATTATCCTTGATACTGCCACCTGATCAGAGTCACCTGGTAATGATCTAAGAGATGGCGTCTGTATTCGTGCACCGGCCGTACGATAAGAATCTTGTGATGAGGGTGATTGTGATCCTCCATTGTGTTCCGCTGCTCTGGATAGATGTGCCATGGATGATGATGCTGGTGATGATGCTCTTGAGCTCACTTCACTCGCTGTATGTGCTGATACTTCGCTCGTTGCCGTCATTGTTGTTGTTGGTGTTACTGATAAACCTGAAGTCGATGCACGTTCCAAAGCCTACATGTATAAATGATATTAATAAGCATGCCATGTCACTTGGATACCATCATACATACCGGTCTGCTGGGTTTGCTATTGCTATTATTATCCTGATCCAGAGCGGCTTTGATATCAAAGACCATGTCGGCACTTTCGGGAATAAAGCGCACCTCAACAGATGACTCGCCCACATTATTGAGAACAATTTGACGACTTGTCCACTGACCAGAGACGCAATCAGCAAAATCAAGGCTATTTCCACTGCTAATGACGAGTGATTCTTCACGTAGCACGGATCGTACGACCGCATGGACTTTGGTTTGTACCACGTTACGAGCGTCATTGGCATTCTCGATTTGTAAATCATAGCTGAACTCGCCAACTTCTTTGGGCATGAACGTGAGGCGAATACGTCGATGTGAATGACCAGGGATGGCGGGTTGATCGTCACCATTCGATAAAGGCTTTCCCGTTTCAGCATCAGAGAACCTTAGCCATTCCTCACGATTCAGATTGGAAAGGTCGACCGTATTGAGTAGCCAATATAAATCAATATCCGAATTGTTTTGAATCGTGAAATCCTTGTGATATTCTTGTCCAAGCATGCAATCTTCAAAGTTGAGTCCTGTCTCGACAACATCGGTCCACATTACTGATCGACATACGCTCGCTCGAAATTTGATGGATGATTGATAATCTGCCAATGTCGTCGTCACCATAGCATCCTGCTGATTATGCTCAATCAAGGTCGTTGACGCTGCTGCTGTTGATGATGATGATGATGATGAATCATGATCCGTTTGAAGATAATAACCAAAAAAGAACAAGCTGCCAGTGACGTTGAAGGTCTCGTACATGTTGTCTTCGTCGGCTGGATCTGGTATAGTGAATCCAGTGGGTGATACAGCTTCATTTGTCTCTGTGTCCTCGTCTCCTCCACTTCCACCATTAGCAGCACCACCACCGCTGCCGCTGCCGCTGCCACTGCCACTGCCACCTCCTCCACCGCCTCCTCCACTGCTGCTGCCAGATCGATTCAAATGTCGGCTCTCTGGTAGAAACGCCAATATCAAGGGCAATGTCTGATGGGGTTCCAGTTCCAATTGATCGATATGGTTGACATAGTTGAAAAGCTGATTGAAATGGAACGTATCCGCACTCGTATGAGACCAATCCACTGTGTTGGTTGCTATCCCTTCAAGGACGTGGTCTGGGACACTGTTGATATTCTCATTATTCAGCTGGAAGGCAATCTGGTGCCGTAGATTCGATCGCATCTTGACAAGGATACGTTGATCGGTCAGGTTGCGGATCTCAAGTCGTTTAAGTGCATGCAGCCCGTTTTGATACACATTGTCGAGTGTGATTCTGCCATGGACATTAACAAGGTCGAAGAGCATTGTAGTTGTCGTCGTCGCAGTCGCCATGGACGTCACCGGATTGCCGGATTGCTTTTGTTGGCTGTTGTTGTGGTGCAAAGGTGGTGGTGGTGGTGTTGTATTGTGGTGGTGGTGTTGTTGTTGCGATGAACCATCCGTGAATTCGCGTTGCTGCGTAAGAGACGAAGACGACGACGAGCGCACATTGCGACTGGTCATGTCCGGCAAGTCCAGAAGAAAAGAGTGTGAAAGAAAGAAAAAGAGTGAGAGAGGATGTGAATTAAAGTGAGTGGAGAGAGTATGTGTATACGACGATGCTTTTGGAAACCTGCAAAATACAACCACCGGTTCTCCGCCACTTGTTATAAAGAGGATCATTCTACGTACAATCGACAATGTCCAAGTAGCATACAACAACCCTTTATGAAACAATCAAACCTCCTCCCCCTCGCTCTCACATGTTGTTTCCCATTGTTAAAAAGCCTACCGCATCTTGTTTCCCCCACATCATCTCGTACTACAACAACCATCGATGCAATAAACCAATTTAAGTTTTCCCCGCAGAAAAAAAGAATGCGATCAAGTCGTGCTGTAGCAACAGCAATCATGCATTTGTCTTGGTAATGATCACTTGTATGATAGGTACAAGTTGCGATGATAGTAGTGGTAGTTGCAGTGATCAATTGTATATAGCCATCATCAATAGTATACGCATGATAAATGCAACTGTCATTTATATTGTTGTTCGTCTCTTGCTATTGTAATACGTAATGAGGATCCGCTAACGGGTTGAAAGACATGGTCTGGTGTCGCGTGATATAGTGACAACCAGGGTAGCCCAAACCTAAATGGGTATCCTTGATAAAGAACAGCTCCAACAAGAGCCAATGGTTGTGTTTACCGTTCTTCTGGAAAATACGGGTAACCAGGCAATAAGGATGGATGACGTACAAAAGCAAAAAGACATCACTCTTGGTCGTTTGGCCTATAAATGTTTCCCGTGGGTATTGATACATATCTCTCTAATGACGTGAACAAGGTTGGATGCTACACAGAAGCATTGTGACCTACTTTACATGCGAGATAAGCGTTATCAAAAATGGTAAAGAAGGGTCATGGCCGCACCGTGGCAGTGATGTGTGTGTACTTATGCTCCTATCCAGAATATGATAACCAAGTCTGTGTGTTATCTCTTGTTTATTATTTGGTGGGGAAACCCATCACCCTGTTTGATAACCAAAACAGCCTACTTGTCCCTTTTCTATCTCATCGCTTGTGTGTCTTAAGCTCATATAGTATATCATGACCGAAAAGGCAATGTCGGCCTCTTCCGCACATCCACCTGCATATATAAAAAGAGTGCCCATCATGGTTATTATCACCCTGACGCATTCCCACATTGCTTCTCACACTCTCTCTGTTGATGGTTTCTTCACTTTTACAAATACTGCCACCTATTGGGCAATCTTTTGAAACAACGCATGCCAAAACATCTTCATCATCAGCTTCTACTTTTACCATTAATGAAAAAGAAAATACAGCTCTTCGGCTATCAAAGAGGGTCATAGACCATCGGCATGATCCTTTATTGCACGCTCGTCGTCGTCGTTCATCCGATCCATTCTTACATACCGAGCAAGCTCATGGCACGTTTGTCGTGTTGCAATCGATTCATAGCTTCATATCCTTAATGCTACATACGCAGTTTCCTTCCATTGCCCAAAGTCAAAAAGGAGATCATGATGAAAGTACTCACGACCCAACATCATCCTCATTGTCGGTTCACAGCAGCAACAGCAACAACCGCAGCCGATCGTCACCCTATATGATGTCACCTACTGATCACGATGGTGGTATTTTGCCAAAAACTCCCACTGGTAGCATCCCTATCCCGAAAAGCCATATCAGCAATCACCCATCCGTGTGCCAAGAAACGAATGATGTCGACGACGATCCGGTTGACGGATTCCAATTTGATACCCACACTTTGTGTAAGCGTGAATCGAGACCGGATATATTTGATTTGAGCTGGTCCTATATTACAAGCTCGTCATCCTCATTGTTTAACCATACATCATCCCACCGCAATGTGACTGAAGCACCACCGTGTCAACCACAAGCACAACAAGAAGCACCCATGTGGACAAAGACACATTGCTATGTACGAGATGTGCGATCCAACGCCAGTGAATTCCGTATGCTTGCTGCAGAAGTCAACATGGTGCGTGCATCCAAAATCACACGACCCTTAAGGAACCGTCATTGGTTGGAAAAACGCCCTGACACTTTTGTTTGGGGTCGCAAAACTTGCTTGAGGATCGTCAATGTGGGGGAACACAACAAATAATGAAGCAGTCTATTTGACATGCTCTGATATGAACATACCTTATCTCCTGATAACTAATCCAGATCCCTCGCAAAGATTCCGAGATGGCTGTTATTTTCCCTATCTATGAAACCAATGCTCATAAAAGTTATACCTGTATTTGTACATAAGCATATGCAATTGTTTGCTATCATTTGCAATCATGTGGGACATAGGTAGATAGGGCCGTTGTTATACGTTTCATCATGCTCCTGCAAGGCTCCGACAAGGATTCCATCGGCATACATGATGATGTAGGCAACCACTTTTACTTTTGAATAACAAGGATGCCTTCTTGATGCTTGCCATTATGGTGGAGAAGGTGCTTGGTCCATGGCAATGGATCAACAACATTTAAAAACCAAGAGCATAATACGTAAGTCGTGTGATGGCCACAAAGGGCACCAATCCGTACTAGACTCTTAAGAGTGCAAGCAGCCTCAGAATTATGATACGCGAAAGAGATGCGTGAGAAGATTTGAGACACGTACGTTGCTTATTTTTACACAACGTCCAAGGAGAGCTTTTATATTTGAACGAATGTCGGTCATACGCCTCTTATTACAATATCCTCAATGCAGCAAACAAAACGCCTTAGTTGCACTAGGAGTCAACGTTCAATAGCGTACATAATGACAACCACGCATAAAGATCACGTGTAATGAAATGGGCCGGAGTACTACATGCAAGTTACTAGAGCCTTGTAAAAAAGTGGGATTGAAAATACGATGAAAGGTAAAGGGTTGATAGGTTTACGAATTGGGTACGTGTTAGCGAGCACCTGATACTATGTATGCAATATCAAACGTAAGATGGAGATGATTAGAAGGTGCAAGGAACAAAATACGTATGAAGTCCATGATAAGGCTGTATGCATAATAAAGTACAAGAGCAATGCGGTGACTATGCGACCATATGATGACGATGACACAGCAAAAGATCCTTATTGTATCAGAAAAGACATATACTTTTTGCATGACCGATAACCGAACCACCTTTATTATTCTATCTTCGAAGCCGTGCTATGTAATCCACAGGCTACTAGCAAAGTCCAAGTGCGGTAACAAACGATTCTTTACTTCATCTAGCTACCTTGCCACCATCGTCGTGGTCGTCGTGAAATAGAAACGGGATCTTGCAGGCTTCCTTTTAGATGTTAACAAGGTATGGGACGTGATCAAGCATCATCATCTTGGCAGAGAATGGCAAACCATGCTTGTTCGTGTCATTGTCGTGATCATCGTCATTGCCGTAGTCATCGTAATGGTTGTCATTGTTGTAATCGTCGTCATTGCCTTAGTCATCGTCAAACTCGTAATCATCGTCATGGTCGTCTCTATAAGTAAAAGCAGGCAAGTTAAACCATCTGGTACCGGAATGATGATGGTTTGGTATACCGTTAGGCGATCCTCTCAAAGGAAGAAAGCAAATCAGAAGGAATTCACAAACCAAATCACCACCATACGAGCAACGTCGGTCGATCCCTTGTTCTTGAGAAAGCACTGCACGAATCACGCAAGGCCAGTTCCATCCAAGGCAAGGAAGGACATCACTTTCGTAGAGTCCAGGCTCATAGTTGTTCTCATTCATCCTCTCCAAAGAAAGAATGATCCCCAATCCTTCCAATCATTTCCCACCTCATGAAAAGAAATCCTCAAGGGAAAGAACGAGCCTATCACGAGAAGAGCGTGTTAGTTCAACACATTCACAAGCTGTTGCAAATCCCCTTTTACCTCAACACGGTGACCATACTCTTCCAAAAACTCATTGTCATCGACCCATCCTCAACTCAACGCAGGCCTATAGAGCCCTGGACGCGTTCCAAGAAGCTTTTCCAGCACACTTGGCTAGTGCAGAGCGACGCAGCGGCCACTTGATACACGCTGGGACTTGAACCCAAAGAGATGAAGATGATGCCCCAAGTTGCATTGCCTGATCAAAGAAACCTATTCAATTCATTATTAGCACACACACAATAAACACCCTTTTCATTGTTTGTTCCATTGTACTTGCCTTTTCCATATACACAAAGACTCGTTGTTGTTGGTTACTGGAAACCCAAAAACCATGGTGTAGTATAGTTGAGCCGAAACAAAATGCCTAACCAGCCAACGTCTTGAAAACAAACTTGCCGTCTATACAAGCTGACGCGTCAATGGAACCAATTCGGCTGCAACATTGGACTCTGAATGTACCTGTTGACACCAAGCGTAGAGGGGGAATAGCAACGAACAAGAGGAAGCAACGATATCGCCATGGCAACCACCAACCACCAACCACGCTCATTCCTCAGCACTTGGACACACTCACTCTATGACGATGCATGTTCAGAACTGTATTAATATCTCACAGCCAACAAGAGCACTCTTTTATAATACATTACCTTGATCGAGATGTCGTGAATGGAATAAAAGCAGAGGAGTGAGAAAGAGAAGAGAAGCGTTGTCTCAAGTCGTGGAGCTGCTGTCCCCCAAGTTTAAATCCCCTACTGCTATTACACTGAGGCCACTCAATTACCCCACACACACACCAACCACCCATCGTCATCATCACCCTCACGATAGACAATAGGTACACGTAAATAAAAGAAATGATCCTCACGTATAGCAAAAGGGTGTGTGCCATTTTACACTTTACATGATAATGATGATCCAACAACAGCCATTGCCTTTATACTACCAGGTCAGCTCGAATCAAGAAAGTTGAATGATGCGCATGCTGAGCTGGAGCAGGAGAATCGTTCGTATGCATTGGATTGGGCAACAATGGAGAATGGGAGGACTTTATTAGCTGGCATTTTGAACTGTTCCTAAATAGTGTACAAGAATCATGCATCGCCTGTGCTGAATGACTCAAAGTTACACAAACACGCCCTCTGCATCTTTTGCTCTGCCAGGGTCCACCTACTTGACAATGAACAAAGACCACTCTTTATATAGCATCACACTTACAAACACAAAGGCGCCTGTATCTCCAAACTTTACAATCAAACGTGGGGTTTTTATTAGAGCAATGTGCTCGGCTTGGCCAACTGCACCTTGGGTGCCAGTTTCACGATCAAGCTTGCCAATACCAGATTTCGCAATGTCGCCACCAGCCAAACTGGATCCAGAGGTCGACCTCTTGAAACTTTTTTCGACGACCAAAAAATATTTTTTGGGCTGTTTGCGACATTGAACGCGAAACTTTCACACAAGGTGCTGTTGGACAAGCCGAGCACATTGCTCTAATAAAAACCACACGTTTCATTGTAAAGTTTGGAGATACAGGCGTCTTTATGTTTTACCTATGCTGTAAGCGCGATGGAGTTGCTTTTTCCTGGTGGATGGTGTCGGCTGCATTAACGGAAAGATGAAGAGCTGAGTGAAACCGCACGTGGTGGTTACACAGACACGTCCTTGACAGGTTGCTACACAAATGGATGATGATGATGATGATTGCCTTTTGTGAAGGTACGTAAGTAAACAGCATCCAATAATGAAGGTGTGTCAAGGTATGCATCACATTTGAATGTAGAGGAAATCGAGCTGCATAAACCAATTTGTATATGTAAAAAGATACGTATAATACATATTGAATGGGTCACTCATCCTGAAACTCAATGGAGGGATCTCTTCACTTTTTCTCTTCTCAAGCTCGCCTTCCACTTCCCACTCCTCCTTATTGTATCACAAAAGCCATGTACTTCTTGCATGGCTGATAACCGGATTTTCTTTATTATTCCATCTTCGAAGCAATAGTATGTAATCCACAAGCTTCAGCAACCTCCAACAGGCGTGTAATAAATAAACAGCACTTTATTTCATCTAGCTATCTTGCTATGTACTGTACATTGCCACCACCATCGTCGTAGTCGTCCTCCGTCATCATTCGTACTCATACTCGTCACCAGTCGTCAATCTCATCCGTCACACCAACATCCAAAAATACACAAGTTGAAAAGAATGGGATCTTGCAGGCTTCCTTTTGAATCTCGTTGTCGTCATCATTGTCATTGTTGTAGATGGGGTGATCATCGTAATCGTCATTGTTGTAGTCATGGTAATCATCGCCCAATCCTCATCTCTACAAATAAGAAAGCAGGCAAGTTAGACCATCTGGTACCGGAATGATGACGATTTGGTATACCGTTAGGCGATCCTCTCAAAGGAAGAAAGCAAATCAGAAGGAATTCACAAACCAAATCACCACCATACGAGCAACGTCGGTCGATCCCTTGTTCTTGAGAAAGCACTGCTGGCCAACTGCACCTTGGGTGCCAGTTTCACGATCAAGCTTGCCAATACCAGATTTCGCAATGTCGCCACCAGCCAAACTGGATCCAGAGGTCGACCTCTTGAAACTTTTTTCGACGACCAAAAAATATTTTTTGGGCTGTTTGCGACATTGAACGCGAAACTTTCACACAAGGTGCTGTTGGCCAAGCCGAGCACATTGCTCTAATAAAAACCACACGTTTCATTGTAAAGTTTGGAGATACAGGCGTCTTTATGTTTTACCTATGCTGTAAGCGCGATGGAGTTGCTTTTTCCTGGTGGATGGTGTCGGCTGCATTAACGGAAAGATGAAGAGCTGAGTGAAACCGCACGTGGTGGTTACACAGACACGTCCTTGACAGGTTGCTACACAAATGGATGATGATGATGATGATTGCCTTTTGTGAAGGTACGTAAGTAAACAGAATCCAATAATGAAGGTGTGTCAAGGTATGCATCACATTTGCATGTAGGAGAAGGTCGAGCTGCATAAACCAATTTGTATATGTAAAAAGATACGTATACATATTGAATGGGTCACTCATCCTGAAACTCAATGGAGGGATCTCTTCACTTTTTCTCTTCTCAAGCTCATCCCACTTCCCACTCCTCCTTATTGTATCACAAAAGCCATGTACTTCTTGCATGGCTGATAACCGGACCACCTTTATTATTCCATCTTCGAAGCAATAGTATGTAATCCACAAGCTAGCAACCTCCAACAGGCGTGTAATAAATAAACAACGCTTTATTTCATCTAGCTATCTTGCTATGTACTGTACATTGCCACCACCATCGTCGTAGTCGTCCTCCGTCATCATTCGTACTCATACTCGTCACCAGTCGTCAATCTCATCCGTCACACCAACATCCAAAAATACACAAGTTGAAAAGAATGGGATCTTGCAGGCTTCCTTTTGAATCTCGTTGTCGTCATCATTGTCATTGTTGTAGATGGGGTGATCATCGTAATCGTCATTGTTGTGAATGTGGTAATCATCGTAATCCTCATCTCTACAAATAAGAAAGCAGGCAAGTTAGACCATCTGGTACCGGAATGATGACGATTTGGTATACCGTTAGGCGATCCTCTCAAAGGAAGAAAGCAAATCAGAAGGAATTCACAAACCAAATCACCACCATACGAGCAACGTCGGTCGATCCCTTGTTCTTGAGAAAGCACTGCACGAATCACGCAAGGCCAGTTCCATCCAAGGCAAGGAAGGACATCACTTACGTAGAGTCCAGGCTCATAGTTGTCCTCATTATCCTCTCCAAAAAAAGAATGATTCCCAATCCAATCCTTCCAATCATTTCCCACCTCATGAAAAGAAATCCTCAAGGGAAAGAAAGAACCTATCACGAGAAGACCGTGTTGGTTCAACACATTCACAAGCTGTTGCAAATCCCCTTTTACCTCAACACGGTGACGATGCTCTTCCAAAAACCCATCGTTATCGAACCCATCAACTCGAACGCAGGCCTATAGAGACCTGGACGCGTTCCAACAAGCTTTTCCAGCACACTTGGTTAGTGCAGAGCGACGCAGCGGCCACTTGATACAGGCTGGGAGTTGAACCCAAAGAGATGAAGATGATGCCCCAAGTTGCATTGCCTGACCAAAGAAACCTATTCAATTCATTATCAGCACACACACAATAGACACCCTTTTCATTGTTTGTTTCATTGCACTTGCCTTTCCATATACACAAAGACCCGTTGTTGTTGGTTACTGGAAACCCAAAAACCATGGTGTAGTATAGTTGAGCCGAAACAAAACGCCAAACCAACCAACGTCTTGAAACCAAACTTGCCGTCTATACAAGCTGACGCGTCAATGGAACCAATTCGGCTGCAACATTGGACTTTGAATGTACCTGTTGACACCAAGCGTAGAGCGGGAATAGCAACGAACAAGAAGAAGCAGCGATATCGCCATGGCAACCACCAACCACCAACCATGCTCATTCCTCGGCACTTGGACACACTCACTCCCTGACAATGCATGTGCAGAACTACATTAACACCTCACAGCCAACAAGAGCACTCTTTTATAGTACGTTACCTCGATCCAATGCCGTGAATGGAATAAAAGCAGAGGAGTGAGAAAGACAAGAGAAGCGTTGTCTAAAGTGGTGGAACTATCGTCCCCAAGTTTAAATCCCCCTACTGCTATTACACTGAGGCTACTCAATTACCCCACACACACCCATCCACCCATCGTCATCATCACCCTCACAATAGACCATAGGTACACGTAAATAAAAGAAATGATCCTCACGTATAGCAAAAGGGTGTGTGCCATTATACACTTTACATGATAATGATAATCCAACAACAGCTGTTGCCTTGGAAGCCGTTAAATCCTCCTCTTGTCTCTCTCTCCCACACACACAAACGCACGCACGCACACCATTTACATGACGAAGTCAAAAGCCATAAAGGCATTCGCTGGAAAACGAATCAAGGACTTCAAAGTGAAGAACCAGCACATTAAGAATCTGCCAACTGGCGTACTTGAAAGAAGTAGCCCAGCAAAGGATTGGATTCAGCCAGCCAAACTCGCCGCCAACATAAAGATTCGAAGCACGCTGCGATTGAAAAACCCCTCATCTCATCCAGCTCGAGCTTACGGAGAGTATCCGATATCGATTGAATGACTCGGCCATCATTACGCCATAATCCAACATCAAAAGTTAGTGAACGCCTTGTATCAAAACACATTGTAATCATTCAGATTATCCCACCATGTTTCAATCATCCCAAACAGAAAAGTTGTACCCATTTCATTTTGATTAAAAATTATTGAAGGCATCTGAACGATGCATTAAACCCGGCTAAAGGAAAAAGCATCATGCAACAATGACATATTAGTGGTACAAAGAGCATACTACATAGAGGGTGGTCGAAATCGGCAGCCAATACTCCGAGTTCCGATACAAAATAGTGTTCTGCAGCGAAACCACACCATATGAGGACATGGCTCGATGCATATGAACGCTTGCTGCATGATATTTCTTTGCACACACCACTACATCTCGCACATGCTGCAATGTTATGATCCCTTTGTTGACATTCATTATTTCCCTAAAAGCACCATGTTCATTGTATCTCTGAGAGGACCACCATGACATCCCATTTCATTCATCAGCAGCTTTGTCCATAAAACAACAGCTTGCCTATGTATCATCAATTATCCACTTGACCCTCTCCACGATCATGCAAGCGTATTCAAACTTTCCAATGTAAGCTTCAAGCTAAACATGAAACAGCTGTATGTACATGAGATCGCTTTTATCACCATGGATGGTTAGATCAACGAGGAGCGGGGGCCGATGATTTTCAAACGTCTTGCTGTTGTACTATGGGAAATGAAAAGAACCAAAACGCTATTCCTAGAACTGGGTATGTAGCATGTTGTTTGTGTCAAAGAGCTAGCAACAAAAGGCGTCATCCAACATATGCTTGTCCAACGTGATTGAATAAGAGAGATCCATTGCATGCATGCTTTGCTGATAAATGATAATCTGCTCCAGTAATTCAATTGGCCCCGGCTGCTGTGCAACGTTACAAGGCGTTCATTGTGGCATGTTGATTATCCGACAGCTCTGTGTGATGAGAAGGAGGGAGGGTAGTGGGAGAATAACACCGCTCACTTGCTTGTAAAGTAAAAATCCGTTAAACATCCAAGGGATTTGTGCACCAAACATGGGATGTTTGTTTATGTAGTAGAGAGAGAGTCATATGGAGGGAAAGTGTGAGTGAATACCCAAAGACTGGATAATGATAATTCATGCATGATGATCCACTTTTTTTGCAGCAAATAAAAAAGGGGGGACACAGCAGCGACAACGACGACGCACGGACTCACAATATGGTGTTATCGATATACATGATTACGTGGTCCGAGCTTGATCTTGTTAGTCAGCTCTGTGTGCCAAAGATTCTTTATTTGAAAGAAGGGGTGAAGCAACAACCCAAGATGTGGGTAAAGGTTTTGTCATCAGACATCATAGTAGGCTATTGCATATTGTTTTTGTGCAATGCTGTTGCTGCAACACAATCCGCTCCTCCTCCGCCCTTAAAAATTCAATGGACCGAAAGACAAAAAAAAAGGGATGTAAAAGGGACATTTTGTTGCTGCGGAGCCTGTTCTCTTTCCTTCTTCTTCACTACTTGTTTGCAATCGCTGCTTCCACACACACACACACACACACACTCGTCCTTTTTGACATTTCCTTGAATCAGCATGTCAACTCACGAGACGATCGTAACGGAATCGAGTCCTTTATTAGAACAACAACAACCTCGTCGACGTCAACAACAACAATCATGGTCAGAAGAGTTCCGCTGGTTGCTTTACAACAGTATTCCTTTGGTGGGTACTTACCTGTTACAAAATGCCATGCAAATAGCAAGCGTTTTCAGTTTGGGTCACCTGGTACGTTCAAACATGACCTACGCCACATTGCCTTTTGTATGCTTAGTGTATGTGTGTGTCTCTTTCATGTAGGGTCCTGTTGAACTTGCCGCAGCAGCTCTTGGTACAATGTTTGCCAATGTATCCGCTTGGAGCGTCGTCCTTGGCACTGCCACCGCTCTCGATACCTTTTGTGCACAAGCGTATACCGGTGCTCGTGATAAGACATTGGTGGGAGTCTATCTACAACGTTCATTATTGATCATGGCCATCCTATTCATCCCCATTGCCGTCGTATGGTGGTATGCCACAAGTATCCTACTCGCATTGAACCAAGATCCTGAACTCGCATTCAAAGCAGGCATGTGATGATATCAATGATGCATTCTATTGCCATATCAACTAACATGACACATGTACTATTGTAGGTCTATTCTTGCGTTGGTTCTTGATCGGTGCACCCGCATTTATGGCATTCGAATGCACTAAAAAGTATATGCAAGCTCAAGGTCTCATGAAACCACCCACCTATGCCATGATTGTCGCCTTTCCTACAAGCTTCTTGCTCAATTGGATCCTCGTTCACTGGGAGCCTGTGGCATTGGGATTTATTGGAGCACCTCTTGGTACAGCCATTAGTTACTGGGTGATGTTATTGGTGCTTCTTGGTTATATCTGGAAAGTACGTGGCTCGGAAGCATGGGGAGGATGGTCTCGTGAAGCATTAAGAGAATGGTGGCCATTCCTCAAGTTGGCTATTCCTGGTATCTTGATGGTGTGCAGGTAAAAAACGATGACATTTTCAACACAACATGACCCTTTTTTTACTCACATCATCGTTATTGATTAGTGAATGGTGGGCATTCGAAATTGCAGCTCTTGCAGCATCTTATCTCGGCACAACTGATCTTGCAGCCCAATCCATTGTCCTTTCTACCATTTCAGCTACATTCACTATCCCCTATGGTATTTCGGTTGCAGCATCGAATCGTGTGGGCAACTCACTTGGTGAAGGCCTCTCGTTGAAATCGAAGCGTGCTGCCTATACGGCTCTCATCTTTTCTGTTGGCTTTGGAGCAGGCAACTCCACCTTGTTACTCGTCACACGTTCGTTCTTTGGCTATTTGTTCACCTCTGATCCCGATGTCGTAATCCGTGTGTCACAAATTTTGCCATTGTGTGCACTCTTCCAAATCGCTGATGCTTTATATGGTGTGAGCAGTGGTGTATTCCGAGGAATGGGTCGACAGCATGTTGCTGCATGGATCAATCTACTTGCGTATTATGTGGTGGGCTTGCCTATCGGCTATGTGATCACTTTTCAACATGGATGGGGTCTTGCTGGTATTTGGTCTAGCTTGTGCTTTGCCATTTGGCTCAGTGCTTTTGGTGAAGTCGCCTTCTTGTCCACCATCAACTGGAAGAAAGAAGTCGAAATTGCTCGTGCTCGCGTCAAGTTCAATGAAGACGATTCATCATCCTGGATGTAAAAGAAACCAAAAGAAACAAGAGGGTGGAGGTAAAGGGATTCGCTTATCCTAACCGTTGCAAACACATATATAACATATACACATGATACATGTCATGCGTGTAGTTTTAGATACCATTGTCGATTCACAACACATTTACACAACACAACCACACACACACCACACACCACACGCACGCATCCCATCGCATTTCTTCTGTCATCATCCATGTATATATGCATACTTTACCCCACCACTTGCTTCTTACACAACAACTCCAAATAAAAAATCGATCATGTTATTGCTCTAAACTATTTGGTGGGAGGTTAGCAAATCTATACGCCCTTGCATCACCATCATGAAACTTTAATCATCTCTGATTCAGGGTTCCACATGGCTGGCCTTTAGTCCTACGAGAATCGTCTTGCACCTATACTCAGGACATCAGGATCTACATATGGATACTTTCAAGGTCAAGGATCGATAGCCAATTTTGGATGATCGGGGTCACATGATGAATTTACATAGGTGACAATGACAGGTCGAGACCGCTGACTACGTATGATGATGTTTGCACACGAGACCCTCTTGATTACGAAATACGTCATATATTACATATACAATTCTATCACTATTATGATCACTAAATAAATTACAACAGTATTTACAAAACGATATGATGTACTACAGCAAGCAAAATGGCCATCCATGCTGTAACAAAATAGGCCATTTGATGATGGCTGCTTGTGGCATGACTTTGTGGAACATGGAGTGGGTTGTTGTTTTTGCCACTTGATGAAGATGGATTGTTGCTATTGTATGTAGTAGAATTCGATGAAGCGGTGCCATTGAGCAGCTCCCCAATGTCATATGGATTATCGACAACAGAAGTTTCGGTGATATTGGGGAAGTGGGGTCCGACCAGGGCAACGGATGCTTTTGGCACATGGATGGCGCAATTTTCTTCATCAGAGCACTCAATCGAATCGATATGGATATCGCCCTTGAACATGCCATCGACTGCGCCTTTTAGCGTTTGCCCAGCCCAATGAATATCATGTCGCTCATTGATGCTATTGGCAACTAAGCGTTTTGCATAGAGCGTTTTGGATTTCCAAGGATGTTGCAAGGGGATGGAAGCATCATTATCAGCATCGAGGTTGATCAATACGGTATAGGCAAGGCTATCATGGTGGAAAATGGCATAGACGACTTTTTGATCTTCAATGGAGGTGACATGGACAACACGTGCTCCCGAATCACTTGGGCCAAGGGCTTCAGCTGTAACGAGAGAGCCATAGTACACAGGATTGGCGACCCATGAACCGCCTACTTTGGACATGGGATTATAATGGGCATTGTTGCCACCGAGTTGTAATTGAATGGAGGAGAATCCAATGGAGTACAAGAATAGCTGCCAATCCACCCACCACAATGTCGAAACATAGGTATCGGAGATGCCCTGGATACCACCACATGCGGCTGTATTGGTTTCACCCATGATGACTTGCTTGCCTTCCTCCACTATTCGCTGGATGGGTTTCTCATACGCATCACGTGCCAAGGACGTGATCCAATCATGGCTCAAGTAATCGTTCACCGTACCTTTGGCCACACCAAAGCATGCATTCGAGCTGTAGCGTTGCACCGTAATGGAATTCAGCATGTGCTTGGCACTATCAAAGTAGCCACTATCGAGCAAATCTTGTAATTGCCATGTACAACACACAACCCCACCTGAGAACAAATCGGGTCGGTATTGTGATGTTCCAAATTCGTTTGACAGCTGATGTGCCCAATCAAGCCATTCGCCCGTGTAGTCGGCTACACCCCAATCGGGAGATCGCATACCATGTTTTGCGTAGAGATCTGGTTCGTTGCCAATTTGCAATGCGTAGAGCACATTATCATAGCTATTGTTGCTTGTGCTGCCACCAAGGATGTTGACAGCCAATCGACCCAGCTGCTGTGCACTTTGCATATCATTGGCATGCTCGAAATTGAGACCAAACATCCATTTGAGTCCACCCACCACTTCGCTTAATTGTCGCATGGCACGAAACATTTGGCTATTCACCTTGATATTGTAAGTGGTGGCACCACTGTTGGTACGTACAGCTTGTTCACCCGTTTTGGCAACCGGTGTGTTAATCGATTCATCCAGCTGCACAGCATCTTGACTATTACCGCCAAGCCGGATCATCAATGCACCACGTCGATCATGCAAATTACGCAAGAGTTGTAAAAAAGTGACACTTTGTTTGTCGTTCCAAGTGCTAAAGACATTGTTCCAATGACCCATCTCAAGCGCTATGCCGTGGGAGTATGGTGGAATGCTGATGCCAGATGCCGTGCTCGGTAATTGTACGACATCATTTTCTTGTGCTGGTACATTCAAAATGAAAAGGAGGGCTGCTGTTGTTGTTGCTGCAAAGCGAAGGCGATTTCGTTTCATACGTGTAATAAATAAAAATGAGGAAAAAAGTTGACAAGATGAAGAATACCAAATTCTGCTTGTTGATCTGTTTGCATTGTTCCGAGACAAGTAAAGTGTTGTTGTTGCTGTAGGTGACACATACAATCGCTGATGATAGATCTTTTTAGCTTATCTTTTTTTCGATCTCCCCGATCTTCCTCCTCCTCATCATCATGCTGCTGATTGCTGCTGATGCAATTGGGGCATGTAGTAACGTACATGGTTGGTGGTTGCATGGGGCCATCATTAAATTGGGGCCATGATGATGATCATAGTAGCGGATGACAAAATTATGCGAGGGCCATTTGCATAAGTGGGATCGGCCCTGTCAGTATATAGAGAGCGAGAGAGATAGTTGGGGGGACTGTCATCATAAACAATGGTGTACCACACCCCCCAAATGTAATTGTTTTCCCGAGAAGGTGTGCTGAAAATGCCCTTTAACACATATAATTAGAAGACCTTTTTGTATTCAGCTCCCCGCCTTTCTTTCTCTTTATTTACAGAAAAGAACCCCATCATGGGATATAAACCTCTCCCCGTTCGCCAATTGGCTATCATTTGTGCATGTCGATTCGCAGTAAGTGTGTGGGCATTAGCAATGACGCTCCATTGTTCTCCATGGATCGACTGATCTCAATTGTTCTTCAGGAACCAATATGCTTCACTGTCATTTTCCCCTTTGTTATCTTTGTAAGTGCATGAATACGCAATTGGAGTTGCATGATGCTCATCCATACATGTGTAACCCTACGTAGATGATCCGTGATTTCAATATCGCTGATGAGACGCATGTGGGCTATTACGTTGGCATGATCACTTCGGCATTTGCAGTCGCTCAGCTCATGACAGGTAAAGACGATTGTCAACAAGATCTGTGTATGAATACAAAGGCTAACAAACTCCAATTAGGCATTTTATGGGGAATGCTTTCAGATCGAATTGGTCGACGACCTGTGATCCTGCTAGGACTTACCGGCACATTGACGAGCATCATTCTCTTTGGTTTATCCCGATCATTCGCATGGGCCATTATTTCACGTAGTCTTTGTGGCGTCTTGGTAAGTTGAAAATCATCGTGGGAGAAATGATGAGTCATTTTCTCTCGTGTGTGTAGAAAGCAGAATTAACACAAGGTTCTTCTATATTACAAGAATGGCAACATTGGTGTCTTGAAGAGCATGGTATCCGAGATTACGCTTGAAAATGCACCCGATCAACGTGCACGCGCCTTTTCCATGCTTCCGCTCATGTATGGTCTCGGCAGTATTGTAGGCCCAGTCCTTGGAGGTAAGGTTTTATTATCCATGATGATGATGTAGAGGTACATGTTACTGATATCATGATGCATCATCAACAAGGTCTACTCTCACATCCAGTGAAAAACTATCCATCTTTATTTGGACGAGGGGGCCCATTAACTGATTTCCTTACGGAGTTTCCCTATTTCCTTCCATGTTTTATTTCGGGATGCATTTGTGCTGTCGGCTTGATCTTTGGCATCTTTTACCTTGAAGAGACATTGGGTGGTACTGCTTCTTCATCAACAACGTCCAAAAGCAAGAATTCTGAAACTGCACCATTGCTTCGAAGCGATTCACATCATTCGGATGAATACAACACCTTTGATCGTTCTCCTTCACCTACTCCTACGATCACGGATGATACCAGGAAGCATGATCATGATGACAAAAAGAAGCCTTCTTTACGTGAATCGTTGACACCTGCTGTATTGGGCATTTGCTTCTCGTATGCTTTATTCGCATTCCAGGCTATCTATTATGATGGTAAGGGATTACATAATGATGTGCGTGCGGGGAAAATGGAACTTACCCATTATAATAGAACTCTTCCCCATTTGGACAGCAAGCGAGCGCTCGAATGGTGGCCTTGGTTACCGATCGGATGAGATAGGCATTGCTCTCGCTTACTGCGGCGTTGTCACGCTGGTGGTGCAATTGTTTGTGTTACCTGCAATGACAAAGCGCTTTGGTCTACTACGCCTCTTCCGATTTGTGCTCTGTGGATGTGTTGTCCTCTACTTCTTCCAAGGTTTTATTCGTTACTTGTATGATATACCTGATATTCATGGTCACACGGGTACAAAGACCTGGGTATGGGTTGGCCTTATCATTGCCGTTACCTTCAAAACCTTATTCCATTCGACGGCATTCACGAGCTGCACCATTCTCACGAACAATTGCGCACCAAGATTGGATGCACTAGGAGCCATCAACGGATTTGCCCAATGTAAGTAAAAAGTGGGGTGGATGACGTATGCATGGATTATTGACTTTTCATATATAGGTTGTGCAAGTGGTATGCGCGCTTTTGGCCCTGCGTCATGTGGTATCATCTGGTCTGCGTAAGTTGAAAGAGCCCGCCTTTTTTTAAGGTTTGACTTTAGCTTATTTGTACTCTTTTTTATAGATCGCTTGGAGCAACTTGGATCCCATACCCTATTCGAGTCCACATTTCGTGGGTATGCCTCACCCTCGTTGGGGCACTCACATTCTATACGAGCTCTCGATTGAATCCACAAGACTATGATCTCGCCAAATTCATTCCAGCAGAAGATGAAGTAGAACAACCAGAAAATGAGGATCAGCTCAATCATCGAGCATGAACGTGGTTATACACTACTACTGCATAGACATCATCCCCTTTCCCTTTGCATCATCCATTACCATTTTCATCCACAGCATCATGTATCCATATTCCCATATCCCAATCCCATCAATAAGCATTCTTAGATTATAAGAAAACCCCATAATAAATGTATTTTATGATGGCATGCATAATTGAACAATCCCTAGATATGTACAAGGAGGCTAACTTTTGTATGTACATACATCACACAATGGCATTGAGTAGATTAAACATTGAGGGCAGCTGATAGCATTGCTTCGATCATTTGGTGCGAGGGTTCCAAAAGGTAGGCTTGGCAGGCTTGGGTGGAGGAGGTGGAGGCGGTGGTGGGGGTGGTGCCTAATGGGATTGATTCATAAGTATCATAGCAACGCATATAAGATAGAGTATTGCTCATACCTCGATGGTGTGTACGTGTATCCCAGTTGCAGGTTGAATAATGATAAATGGGCTGGGATTAATGTAAATGACCACACCTGGTTGCTGATGAACGCAGCAGCACTGAAGTTGTTGTGCAGTCTTTGTTATGTAAAAGAGGATCATCAGCCATGTGTGGAATGCATGAACGTGCGCTACTACTAACCATTGTGGGTGGATAGGTGGATATGGGTATGAAGAAAAGAAGAATAAAGCGTAATGGCAATCGAGATCCTCTTCCTTTTTATCTTTACATTGCTTCATATCACATGTGCGTCAAGTCTGTGCATCATGCTGCACTCGTGGTACAACGGTTGAACCAGCCAAAATCCTCTTCCCCACCTTTTGGAGATTACGTATCATGCAAGTGGTCCTTTATTTGTTCCCAGCTCTTACAATCATTACCATGGGTGGTAGTACAGCCTAACACAAAGCCTTACTTGTCGCTCCCAATGAATGCATATACACTATGGAAGAGATACTCTAATACGAAGGGTTTTTGATCGGGTATCTTTGTCCCACATAAACAAAAGAGCACGTTTTGCCCATCCCCCCATCTAACAACATGTCAGCCGTTTCGGGAAAGCCATTTAAGAAGAAAAAAAGACAAAGATGATTGTTATGAGAATTCCTACGCGCACGCACCAGTTTTGCTATCCCATGTCATGTGCATTTGCTCATCATTCACCACGCACGAATCAATTTTATGCTCCATCATCTTATTGATAATGCTTTCTTCTATCAGAGATTGTATTCTATTGTTGTAAGCTTTCATTCAAGATATGCAAAAAAAACAGATTGCATGTGAAAAGAGATATAAAGCAAGGCGCGCGCATAGTTAGTCCCTTGTTTATTGGAGCCACTTTTTTTACTCGGTCTACGTAACAATGTATCTTTATATCAGGTGAAGGGATGAATGAAACGAAAAAAAGGGGGTATCACAAAATCCGGCATAAAGATGGCTGTTGTTGTCGTTGTTGCGGCTGTTGAACACGACCTGTTTCTTGACGACGTTGACGATAGTATTCGCTTGGTGGTGGTGGTAATGGAGGTGGTGATGGCGACATGGATGGTATTTGACTTGATGGGATGGGTGCTTGCACTGAACGTGGGGGCGGTTGAACCATGGAACTTTGCATGGCTTCCGAAATACTTTGTTCTGTCATATCGGTTTCTTCTTCTTTCAATGTTGTGGGAGTGGCAGGTGATGGTGATGATACATCGTGACGTTGATCCTTGGGAACTTCCGTGCTCGATGATGGTGGCTGCTGTGGTTCCTTTGGAAGAGGTGGTGGTGGTGTGCTTTCGTGACTCTCAGAAGGAGGAGCAGATGATAAGGTCTCCACCACTTGAGTTGCCACAGGTGCAGCTATAGCTGCATCCACTGCTGCATCCACTGATTTGGGTGGAATGGGTGGTAGTTTATCATGAGTGGTGCTTATTTTTGGCTGTGGTGCACTTTTTATCTTTTGATCATCCGTGTTGGTGGTGGTGGTGGTGGCAACATCACCAACACTAGTAGCAACGTGTACTTTACTTGGAGTTGAATACTGATCCAAAATAGGGCAAACCGCAGGAGCTGCTATAGCGGCTTTTACAGCTGCATTCACAGCTCCTGGTGGTATCGTATGAGTCGTCGTCGTTGATGTTGATAAAGAAGATGGTTTGGGTTGTTGTTGGCTGTCACTTGTTATTGTTGGTGCTGTAGGCGAAGAATCCTTTTGCATGGATGGTGTAACATAGCCTGCAGCTATAGCGGAAGCAACAGCTGCAGAAACGGCTCCGGAAGGCATTTCAAGGTGTTGTCTCTCTACACGTGCTTCATGATCGTCTTGGTGGGAGGTTACACCACTGGGCTCGGATGCTGTTGTGTCGCCTTTCTCACACGGCTCTTGCATCTTCTTTGGTGCATGATGACGGTCGGCTAAAGAGGATGCTCCACCGCGACCTCCCTTGCCCTTTTTATTTTTGCGTTGAGATTTCCCTTTGGGAGGCATAAGGAATAAAAGAGAAAAAGGGTTCTTATTATCATTCGGCTATTTTCTCTCATCATTTACCATTGCAAATTCCCAAACCACCCTTTAGTATTATTTTCCGTTAATGTGAGCAATGCGGGTTTCCCGCCATTTTAGGTGACATTAAGCATCATTATCAACAACAACAACAACAATTTGACAAATAGCATATTAGGAAAAGATGGGTGCTCATCATCGGATGATCATGTGCGTGTGCGTTGTGTGGGGGGGGAGGTACAATAGTGGGATGGCGGGAACAATCCCGTATAAACTTAAAAGGGTGTTGCCATACCAACGAGTTCATCGTATTCATTGTTCTCATCACAACATGTTACACTTGAAATAGCTTTATTAGGTGATTTGACTCTTGTGAGGACTTGTAGTTACGCACCCAGGAAATTCACTGTTAGCTTTTTTGTAATCTCAGCAGTCCAATAAAAAGCACTTACCACGTATTTAATCGCGAGGACACTGTCAAACCCGAAAGCTGATGGTCCCCGCTGATTTAGCCCTCAGCCAGAAATTGAATGGATCCTCGATCGCTGTCCCAATCTCCTCAGACAAAATGAGCTTCAGCGGACTCGCACCGTGCCGGCCATTACCACCACACCTAAGACAGAGGCATAACGGCAATTCATATGGTAAATGGCCCTAAAAATAAATGTTGTCAAAACCAAAATAGCATTGACCATAATGCTTCATAACTTACCTTGAAGGTACCAAAGAAAGGAATCCACAAGGCTCTCCGCAGCTGTAAAAGTGGATCTACAAGCTCCTGACCAAGCTCTTCCCAACAATCATAGTGCATCTAAGAACCCCGTGTTGTCAGCCCACATGGAGATGGTCAGCTCAACATGGGCAAAAGAAAACTAGATATAGAAGAAATGAGATCCTTTGTAACATGCTCCCATGAAATAAAATGTACTTCTCTTCATTGATGCGTAGTGTGTGATAAACCCACTTCATGAGCATGGTGTGTAGCCTTCAATTCCAAGAGGAGAAACTTGATAAGCCATACGCGCCAACAACTGTGTCAAAACGTAGGGACCAGACGACATCTTTTTCCTATGCAGTATTGTCAATGATTGATGCTACAGTGCCCATATACACCAACGTACACGTACCTTGCGGGGGAAATCAAAAAGCTTTTCGTGCCATTGGAAAGGCTTGCGTGTGTGTGAATAAAGAAGATGAAAGCAAAGAAAGAAAGACACTGTGGAAGAGCATAACCGGTTGGTATCTTTTTAATGCATGACGGAGTCATTCCCCTTATCGTGTTGATGAAGGTAAAAGGGTGTGAACATCTGATTTCTCGCCTTGTGCGTAAACAATGTTTCACTCGAGAAAATGGGGTGCATGGTGAGCCCCTTTCTTATGATATGCATCAGCAACATGTCGCTTGTGATGATGGATTGCAAGGGCATCTCACTCTTGCTTGTACATCACCTATGCATTGCTCGTAATGATCAACGGCTTTGGCTTATGATTTTTAATGTTATACACGGAGCACCGAGTCAATCATTGGATATACGGGTACTCTTTTTCTCCTGAGCTATGCATGAAAACTATGTCATTGTGATGAAGGTAAAAGGGTGTGAATATCTGATTTCTCGTCTTGGCGTAAACAATGTTTCACTGGACAAAATGGGGTGGTTGGGGCGCGCCTCTCTCTTAAGATATGCATCAACAACATGACGCTTGTGATCATCCAATACATTAAGGGCATGTCGCACCGCTCTCTGCGTATTTGCATTAGCATCTTACAGGGTGGTTTATCATTTATGTAGCAGGATACACACTAAAGGGAGAATGATTGCTATGTAATGGATCATGATCCTTCAATCCTAAAGCAGGCTCACTTATGGAAACGAGATTCTTACTGCTGCCAGTTTTTCAAGTGCCAAAAGGTGCTATCATGCCCTGTACCATTTTTGGCTACGTATCGTACAATGACGTTATTTGACAATAGCAACTTCGCGATCGATCATGGTCTACTGAAATATGGTATAAGATTACATCTATGAGCAGCATTCTAGACACGGCTGGCAAGCCTCGTACATTGTGGCATCTTCACAGGGATAGACAGCATAACACAATCGAGAAGAATAAACAACGTTGCTGTAAGTATGGCACGTGAGTACGTGTAAACATTGAGATTAAATAGACACAATAATGCACGTATACGCAACAATCCCTATGGTTGTATACTAGAAAACTGCGCAAGAGCAAAGAACGTGTTACTGAAAACTTTTCAGCTATTTTTACTTTCCAGTCGGTTCTTCAAGTGAATTTCCTGGGTGGGTAAGCCCTTTCCTTGTGAGGGGAGGTTGAGTGATGGGAGCCGTGCTCACATGATCCAGAAATTTTGGAGTGCAGAGTGAGTGAGCCCACACACACCTTTCGTCTTCGTCCCTGCTGCTACTCTCTCATTCAAACACCCAGCCTCGTCAGTGGATATGCAATTCGGTCGCAAATTCGAGTCGATCATCAACGACGATCCTGCACATACGCCTGTGACATTACGTGCTGTGATACCGCCTGATAAACCTGGTGCTTTAATTGGCGTCAAGGGTCAAGTGCATCGGCAGATTGAAGACATGTTCAACGTGAGACTTGTGCTGCACATGGTGCGAGATCAGTATGGTCGTCTATTGCAGATATTCGGTCACCCCAAACGCATCGCCCCGGCACTTCGTGATGCGCTGATTCGTATGTATGGACAACGGCAGTTTGAGCTGAACTATGGGCAGGTAATAAGAGAGGGTCTATGTATATCGAACAAAGGGGTTGTTGTTCTTACATCTATTCCTATAGGAAATAGGTGTGGATTTCTTGATACCAAAGTTGTTTGCAGATTGGCTTGTGGAGAATGATCAATTGGCAAGGATTCATCGTGTGAGCAAGGCGTCATTACGTTTATATCGTCGATGTCTTCCACATACGACAGAGCAGATCTTGAAGATTTCCGTATCAAGTCGCCGGATCCAATGCATGGATGAATTCGAAACGGCTGTCAGAATGCTTGCGTATCTCACTCAAAAGAATATCGACAAGGCCATGTCTCCTTACAACGTGTACCATGTTCCTGGATCAACACCCAATGATACCAATAATCAAGTCGCAGTGATTCTTCAACAACAACCAGACATCGCCAAACCACTTCCTGATGTCATCTTTACACAACACAACCCATAAGGACCCCAACGATCTCTTGTTGTATTCGACGCACACACGCACACACGCACATAGCACACCATGTATACCTTGCTCTTGTCATCATTCTCTTCCTCTCCGCTTTTGCTCAAATGCCATCTATAGTCATCCCATCATCCATCCCATCCATAATCCATCACTCGCATCAAAATTCATTTAGCATCAAAAATACATATCTTATTTTCAAAAGTACATTGAGGATTATGCCATATGATGTAGCAGTACATACAAACAAAGGATAACAGGAGGAAGAGGAGGAAGAGGAGCCTTGGTATACGTATACACAATAATGCAATGTGAGCTACTGTATAGTGCTCATTATTGATTAAGGGGCACACAGCTACTCCATTCTATACACTTTCCCGGTAACTCCCCTTTTCGATTCATTGTCTTTTATATGTAGCCTCCGAATCATAATGTCGATCTCCTTCTTGTTCCCCATTTATAATACATTGAATTCATGGTCAACATCAAAGGGATTTTATATATTTGCAAAGGATGAGTCGTTGGTGGTGAAGAATAAAATAAAACGGGAGGTGGTGGGGAGGACAACATTTATAGTACAGTGAAGAAGGGGAGGTGAATCAAAGTGGTATCTGCAAGGGAATCAGGCATCTACAGATATTACAACAAGATACAAGGGGTGGTAGTGAGTGTGATGATGGTGGATCAAGCCAACCTTTTAGATACGCGAGACAAAGGGGATCGGTCTTGAGGATGACACATGGATACGGGTGATTCAAGGACAGTTGTTTTCAGTAAGGTGGGCGACAACCATGCTTGTTGTTGCTGTAATAGATCGCTTGGACGTCGATCAGGTACGATAATACGTGGTACACCGGTATGGCTTGCAGAACGTAATCCAGCAGGGCGCCGTTGTAATAGATTATTGGGTCCTCCACTACTGCTACGTGTATTGATAGACATGGTACTTCTTTGTCGTTTACGTGCCACAAAGATTTGACGATCGGGAATAACCACTGTGCCTGCAGCTACGCTGATACGACGACCACTTGGATTGAGTACAGGTTGAGGTGGTAATAAGCTTGAAGGGAATTGACGCTCATTGTTGGCGGCGTTTTCAGGTGGAATAGCTGCTTCAGGACATGTCTTGAGTCGCACCCATTCACTTCGATTCTCATTCAATGTATCCAAAAAGATACTCGCTGAGGGTAAAAATCCAGCAAGGGCTTCAAAGTAAGGCTTCACCAAAAAGTCCCCAAATTTCAAGCTGATGTCGGGTTGTGTGGATTGATCACGATCCATACCAGGTGATACATCCAATCCTGCTTCCTTTTCAGCATCGCCTTGTCGAAAGAATTCTTGCACAATCAAATCGGACCATTGCTTAGAGATCGTCCAAGGTCGTACAGTGTTGCTGATATCAGCTGCATGCAATAGGATGCGACATAGACTTTGTCGTTGATCTCGATTCAATGAATAACATAAATCTTCCTCATCATAGGTGGATGAACTAGGTGTAGGAATGGCAAAGCTATCCGAATCACTGGTACTGCACCAATCACTATCATCATCGTCGTCATCATCTTGCGAGAGCAATTCCTCGAGTACGCCCGCTTGTTCTTGTAATTCAAAGTGATACACCATGTCTGTTGCCAAAATCAAGCTTTCAATAGCATCCAGGAATCGTCCTTCAGTCCACGTGTAATGATGGCTCACGCTTTTGCCATTTGTACTTGCTAGATCCTTTAGAAGCTTATGCTTGTATAATAAGTCGCGTGTAATTGTGGCAGAATAGGCTTCCAGAACAGAGGTATTATTGTATCTTGCAGCCAAATCAGTCTTGACATTCACTTGGTACAAGTTGTTGTAGCCAGGCTATATAAAGGAAAGGGGGAGGGTTTCAAGTCAATAAAAGATCGATAGGAGATGTTCATATAATAGGTATTGTCGTCTTTTGCCATGTCAGTGGTGTGGCAATAATAATCATCGCATTCGACTCCTTTCTGGCAAATAAACGAGCCTTTCCTCCCCAACTCCTATTTTCTTTTTCTGCCTACACCAGCCATACACACGCACACACACACACACACACTCCTTGTGATCCATTCGTCTACTTACATGACCTGCATCGTGACAAAGGGCAGCAATCAAAAGAGCGGCAATATCCAAATTCGAGAGATACTGATCGGCCTCCAACTCGGTGAGGATGTAATAAAGCACAGTGACGATATCCACAGCATGGTAGAATGAATGATAAGGAGCATTAAGGTAGGTGGTATCAACGTCGATTAAAAAGTCGAGTAAAGTGGAAGGTGTAATATCCAATGCGCTCAGCACACCAAGCTTTGCAAACACGCCGAGCAAATGACCGTATAGCTCTGTGCGACCATAGTCGAGAACATTGAAATCGGGGTCGATGTTAGGCCGTGCTTTATCATCAAGCCATCGAAGCAAGCACTATATAGATATCTGTATCAGGAACGACGTCGTCCTTTTGTTGCATTCTCAATGAGCAAATGCACTCACGCGTTCAATGGCAAACAAATCGTCGGCTGAAAGTGTGTTGAACTTTAGAATGAGCATGTCGAAAGTCAAACTAGTGCACGGTCGGTCGTCGTATTTGGGTATAGAGCACGAGATAGAAAGAAGACAAGTTGAACAAAAGTAGTCAGAGAACAATGAATAAAAAGTCAAAGTAAGAGCAAAAAGTGTATGAGTGTATGACAAAAAGAGAACACAGACAAAGAAATAAAGGGTAAACGAGCGAGCAAAGTAGTGAGAAAAGGGAAAGAGAAGCGTCCTATGAGAAACGCCTCAATCATTCAACCACTTCTTTTATGGTTCTTCAAGGCCCGCAATCACACGGCATTCACACATAGCATATCCAGTTACCATATCTTTCAACCAAACCCCCCTTCCTCTTCCTTTTCCATTGCTACCCCTTGTTCTCATCTGTGGATATGCTTTGACGACTAGGTAAGGAATGGATCCACCACCACCACCAACCGCGATTAGGGGTTATCTTTTTTGAAGCTCTACTCGATACCTTTTGCAACCATGGAAGCCGTTCACATATACAACTCCCCCCTTCCTTCATCCCAGGAACGCGTTATTTTGTTCAAGAGTTTATTCCAGAAGCAGGAAAAAGGGGGTTAATATACGAGAGACAAAAAGAGGAGAATCCACTTTTCGACCTTTTCATCGTCGTTGATCCTCATCAATGCTTGCTGGTATGATGATTTTCACAAAGGATTGTGGCTGGGAAAAAAGTTAAATCCGTTACTTATTCATAGCGATATCCGAAAGATGTGAGAATGAAAGCTCTGGACCACCCCACAAGGAATTTATTTTTGACAGCAATGTCGGACTTGAGTCATGCAGCTTGTTGTCTTGCATCAATGCGAATCCACCCGAGATGTAAATGCATTAGCCGCTCATTCAACAAGGTCATCATCCTTGTTCCAAATATCCATCTTTCCCTCTATTCCTCTATGATACGTATATAAACACCCTTACACATCTTGGAATAAAGGAAGATGCAAAATATCGGTTCATGGATCATATGCACATGTCAAACACACACTCAGCTCACCCGCTACTATTTCCATCATCATGCCAAGCACGGCTGCAAGTATGTACTGCATTGGATTGCTTTAAAAGTGCGTTGTATTTATGGTCGAGAACAACAAAACTAAGGGCTATTTATCCATCGCCATATACCTCATGATTCCTGAAATGCTAAACATGTAGAACAATGACCGGCTCCATTCAATGGAAACATCTTGTCTCCGTCTATGAAGCACCATTGCCAGCTTGATGATGCATCATACAGCGATCCTCCGATACTGCATGTTCGTCCTCAACATCTTCGACACCTTGCGACCGATCATGTCTATATGTCTGCCAACCGCATCCCGGTATTTTCTCCACCTCGCAATTTTCAGCACTTCCAGACATGCACATGCCGTTGAAAGTCGGGGATCCATTTAAGTGTGCTCATGTACGATCTTGGATGTTCCTGGATTTGCACATTTGCACCCGGTGATGTGTGGTGTGAAATCGGTAGAGCTCGTCGACGTAATACGGATATTTACAAAGGGATGCTACTTCCAGGTGATGATGTCAAGCACTCTCGGAATCCACGTCGTCGAACACCTTCTTCCCCAGGAATGTCGTATAGTGGTGGACCAGTTCCAGTGACTCCAATTCCCTTGTTTCCCTGTACATGGTGCTGAATTGAAGTCGATGACCTCTAAGTAGTGTATATAAATACAATATCAGCCTTGTTATAAAGGACACGGCCGTACTTTTTATACATTACCTTCTGACTCTTCTTGCCTTGTTTCTTTCTTGACTTCTTCTGATAACCTCGTCGTAAATCATGGAGCTTTTGTGCCAAACGACTGCTTGTATCCTTCATCGATTCCATTTCCAAGCCAATAGTCAAAGTCTAAAGCACCAGTAAGTCGAAGAGGAAAATGTGGCATCATATGAAATCGAATACGTACCTGCCTTTCGTTTAACCGTATCAGCGAATCAAAGGAGAGTAGAAAGAAATGGATATCAACAGGCAAAACAGCTTGATGTCGACGTATGCATAATCGTGCACCTTGCAAAACAACTTCCTCTATTGACCGGACATCTCCAAGCTCCATCGACCATTGGTATGAGACGGTGGATTTTGTCGTTTCCATTACGCCGAATTGGCATGTACACCCTCAACTCTGGAGCCCCAACTCTTTGAGACTTGACTTGTGTATAGGTGAGTCGCCATCTCAACTACACCGGTGTACAGGTGATTTTTTTTGTTTTCTAGCAATAGTCGGATCCTCCATACACCATGAGCAAGGGTTGGCCCCATGAAAGCCGTGCTTCTTGTGATAAAGCAATTTGACGTGGTCCTTTAACTATACATCAGTATCCCAAAAATAAAGATAATAGTACAACAATCAAACATACCTTAAAGATTCATCCAGGAATAGGAATAGGATCAATCACCACAAAGAAAAGAATGAAAACAAGCAACAATGAAGCACTACGTACAGTACAGTGATCAATGTATGGAATCACACATAGGCTCCTTGACACTTACCACAAGGCAATGATGGGATACATATACAAAAGAGATGCGTGATAACAATGCTGGCGGCAACATCCTTGTTTATATGTGCGTGGGCGTGAGAGTTGTTGTCCATGCAAGAAAAGGAGAAGGCCGTGATTGATTGATTGATCGATTGAAATGACTGATAAAGTGGTCAAGCGTCTTAGAATGTACTTGATCAAAGGTGATGCATCATCGACAACTGATAAATCCACTTACTGCCAAGAAAACGAGACTCTTTGCAAGATTGTACAAGTTTTGGAGGGTTTGAAGAAAAGCAAGTTGATGCTGCACTGGATTTTCTGTCTGACCACAAATGGTGGAACAACGAACGTCGCTAATTGATCGATTGTTGCCAAGGAACTCGTTTTTGCTTTGGATTACACCAGCTATGCCACTCAAGGGAAGATCAAATGGCACGGTCGAACTTGCAATAACGATCAGCACTCCATTCAACGTGTCTTGCGATGCCACTCAGAGACAAGAAGGCGATCGATGCCAACATGGAATTCAACAAACAAGCTGCCCATTGGATACGTGCATTGGCATGGTGATTTTGGGAGTCGACAAGAACAAGCCGTAATACGTGGATTGCAGTTGCTTCCCCCTTTGGTCCCTCGGGAGTACCTGCAGCATTTGGCTTATGAAAACTCTGATACATTTGCCTGATATCACGCCGCGATGCAGTTTGATGGATACTTTGATCTTCCTGAGCAAGCCCAATTGCAAGGATCGAGCTTGAGAAAGGGGACAGCGAAGCATGGTTGCTATCGGATTAAGCTATTTACCGGCTCATTTGGATATGTATGGCGATCCTCCAAAACGGCTTCTATGTGAGTCTTTTATTATGCAGCTTCGTGGTATGGAAGGCAGTCTTTCAAAAGAGTATTCATTGTTTTCCTTTTATAGAGCTTCTATGGCGCCTCTCAATGCCTACAAGAAGCATGCAAGCAAAAAGTCTTAGCATGATGTTGCTGGTTATGATCTTGATCCATGGTCCCATAACATCCCTTTTAACACGCACCCTTCCATCTAGACTGTATGTACGTAGATCTACAGAAGCACACAATACATTCAAATTATTTCATCATCATCATCTTGTTAAATTACCTTCTATCATTGTTGGCTTGGCCTTGCCTTGCAGCTATCATGGATGGCCCCGAAAGAAGCTTTTAATGGCACACTTACATCTCATCCATAGAGAAAAATAACCCCATTTATACGTGGAGCTAGAGAAGAGAGATGTCCTTAAACGACTAAGGTACCTTGAGGATCGTGACATGTACCTAGTTTGTCGGCATAACAACCATGTTAGGCTTGATTGTCTTTGACAGCCAATCAGTGAACAGCACAATGTGAACATTGGCGATGGTGGTATCATTACCATTCACGTGTCAACCATCCTCTCAACATGCATATAGGTGACGATTTTCAGTGACTCTGAGAAAAACATGTATACCATCTCAAAGTTATTTTTCTTATTGCATCAAACCAATACCCTAGTGATACGTCTGTATTGGCAATTCGTTTCATAAAAGGTGTGTCCGTCATTGGTATCCATCATCACAATAAAGTTGAAAGAGACGGGCATCGGAATGCAACCTTGTACCGTGTCCGACCAAGTGTGTGTAACCCGATTCAGGGTCAAAGCAAACATGTAGTTACCCTTCATCCATCCATGATAACAAGCGTAAAGTAGACAAAGATTGCTGTTGTGGATTACAAGAAGAACCCAATTTTGATATAAAGTATTTCTTTATCATAGAAAAAGGTTTAGTGCCTGCATGCCATCCTCACTCAATTTTCCCCATGAGTGCATAACATGTGGTGTTGTGTTGTATGTTTTGCAAATGCGGCAAGGTAACCAGGAGCAGTAACAACAGCGATTGTATACAAGAAAGATGTCTTTTTGCCAAGACTCACAAGACATTGCATTTGATATCGGATATTCTGCCTTTTTGCCGTTGTGCGGCGCTTATGTATTATAGTGCTCCGAAATGGGCAACAACCAATTTCTTCAAAAGCTGGCTGTTGTTCATCAGGCAACACACACCCACACACCTATACACGATAAACGCGCAGCAACATGCGTGAGTTAAATATAGTATCACATAACACGTACAGCTATAAAGCTTGATTACTCCACATTTATTACTCCTCTTTTCTCTTTTCTTTCTAGTACAACTATTCTACCATGACAGCCGAAGAACCCTCTCTTTTCACTGCTGAAGGTGCCCAAATCCGACTCAAGAAGGGCCTTGACCAAATTGATGAACAGCTTGGTCAGTTCCAATACTGCAATGACTTTGAGCGTCTCACCGGTGTTCGCAAGTCGCATGCTGCTTTGGGTCTTGGCGTTCTTTTCTTCATCATGCTCGTCTTCAACTTGGCTGGTCAACTTTTGACACATTTCATCTCTTGGGTTTATCCTGGTAAGTAAGAGAGGATACAAGGAGCAATGGGTGGATGTGGATGTTGTTGTTGTTGTTGTTCGTGTATGTCTCTTGTGTGATGATGGGCTGAGCTTTTCCATTTACCCCTCCTCACCTCGCTCAACCCCTCCCCCTTTTTTTACTAGCATACGCGTCCTTCAAGGCTATTGAGTCTCCACAAACTGACGATGACAAGCAATGGCTCACTTACTGGACTGTCATTGGCTTCGTGAACATTATCGAGTTCTTTGCTGATTACCTCCTCTTCTGGATCCCATTCTACTCCCTCACCAAAACGGCATTTGTATTGTGGTTGACTCTTCCTCGATTCAGGGTATGTCTTGGAAAGGAGAAAAAAAGGCACGTAACTGATTTGTTGGTATCTCTCACTAGGGTGCTGAAATCATCTACACTCGTTTCTTGCGTCCTCGTTTGCTCGAAGCTCAAAATGATATTGACAAGGGTGCCGATCGCTTGCGCCAAAAGGTCGGCGATGCCGTTTCAGACATCACTTCCAAGCAGGATTGAAAAAGGAGATAATAAAGGATATCTGATGATGGGTTTTGTGATATATTATACCACCATGAATTGAAGTCTACTTCGTATAGCTTTGACACTTTACAGATCTTGCATAATGCCCCTTTTTATGTAAAGCATAGTAAACTTGATCCCCATCTGCAGCTTGATTGCCCGAATTAAAAACTCCTATTAAGCTATTGTCAACACGTACAGGTCTCATTGATGCGGCCAATGCTATCATGTTGCTGCTTTTGATAACGTTGTATCCAAGTCTCCGTGGGTACAAGTGATGCATTCAATGTCATGTGTCCTAATGAGCTCTTTATCCTTCATTTCAAACTTTGGTTTTTGTGCCATGTCTGCATGCTTGTAAGCTTGCCCATAGGAGTGAATGGATGGTAACATCTTGTAATATGCGGGTCCTCTTCTCTGGTTCTGCGGGATTTTCAGCTGTGTAACCTAACCCCAAGTTGCATTGATGATTGTGGCTAATATGATATCCTACCGACCTTGGATCAATGAGGCTACTGCCATCGAGATTGAAAGGTCTATGCAATGGATGATCGTTTTGGCTGTGAACTACGCCTTTCAAAATACATGACCTTACTTAAAGAGGTTGCCTTTTATAAATACACGAGCGTCAACGTACATCGCTACTCTTCATCCAACCGTGTGTTTGAAGATTTGATGACAAACAACCAGACGTGTCGTGGTGTGAACATGTTTATGGTATCCTTGGCGACGAAATAAGGTGGTGTTGGGCTGCGTGTTTCATATCGCTGCATAACGTGCATTCCCATTTTTGCTTCGTCTTCCTCGAATAATTTGGCAAGTTGCAACTTGCCTCGTAGTAGTGGGTATATGCTACGTAGCTTGGCTTCATGACATTCATCCCCTCCATCCCATCACCCACGTTTGTATCCAAAAAGTAAGCATGTGTTTTATCACCATTATGCAAGTAACGTATACATATCTTGTCTTTGGAGATTCTACCCTTAACAAGGGCGTTGTTACCCACTGCTTTTCATTCACACAACTCATCTCGGTACATAAAACTTGACCCACGAGGATAAGGATTAGGTCCTTTACATTTGGTATCCGATCTTGCAGGCAAAACGGACTAGTAAACTCCACACATCGACATGTATTCTCTTTCTTTCTTGTGTTCCCTTTGGATATCATTTATTGAAATGTATAATGTTGTCATAGTCAAATGATGATCATATTGAAAAAGAAGACATGTGTATAATTGTATGTGTGTGGGGGATCATGCACGGGCCTGGTGGGCTGTTGTCTTAAACCATTTTCAGCGTCAATGTCTTGTGGCACCCAAGCACAAAAGCGAGCATTACCTCCTTGCAGCACCTTCATCTCTTTCTATCCTTTCTTTTTTGTAAAAAGTCACTCTTTTTTCCACACATACATATATACACACTCACTCACTCGCTCACTCGCTCGCTCGCTCATACCTGTACTCGCATTCTTGGCCTTCAATGGCATACTCAACTCTCTACGATCGAGGGCAAGTTGACAACTTCCCCACACACACACACGCACACTCTCCATTTCACCAACAGAAGCTAACCTACCTCCAATCACTCAAACCAACAACAGTAAAGCCGATCAGGTCCTTGGCATTACTTCCACCAGCAGTAGTCACCGTCGACGTACTCCAAAGGACTTCATTCTCATTAGCGAGTTCTCTGAATTGGAGGGGCCTTTGGCGTTGGCTGTTGTCGCTGCTTCGACCTATATCGATCTCAAAGAAGAGCAACACTTGCTTGACAAGCAACTACAACAACTTGACTTGGATGAATTCGATTTCAACGCGTTTGCATTACGAGTGGTCAGTGTCGATCAAACAGCCGAGTAAGTGTGTCGATCATTTCGTCATAAACATATCATCATTGACAATGTACAATAGACAACTGGATGATGGGGATGATGATCATCATGATGGCATTGCAAAGGAAGATGAAGTAGCAAGGACGTTTTCTATACCGGATGATACTCAAGTTTATACGACGGATTCAAAGAATCATTGTTATGCATTCGTAAGTGTGATATCAATTCCATTACAATGGAGGAGGAAAGGGGGATCTAATCAGATCATGTATTATTCATTTAGACACACCATCTGACCTTGTTCGATATCAATGCTCGTGGCTATGTACATCCGGTTGCTTTGTCCTACATCACTTGCGATCCTGACAAGATGCTGACTCGTTTTGAAGATTACACCGAGCGATTTGACGAGGTAACTTTTTGGGATTATTGGGGTGATTGTTATTATTGTTGCTGTTTGCTGAGCAATTCATCCGTCATCATTGGGATTCACATGATCAGGTCGCACGGCTTATGAAAAAAGGAAACTTTTCAAACTTCGCCTTTGATCTAAAATGCCGCTTGGTGGATTTGGAGCATACACAATCCGTTCTCAAAAGCAAGCCGAATCCGGATATTTCATCGGATGCCATGCAACAAGCCATCACCGTCACTCGTTTAATGATTGATACCGTGGAATCTTATGTCATTCAGCTATTGAACGAACCATTACGGGCTGAATCACCAAACAGCACGAGCGACTATCACTATTCCAGGAAAAGCTCAGAAGGATATCAAAGCACACCTGGTCCAATGACACCCAACTCCATCTCAGATCTAATGATGATGACAGCAAAGGATGACAAGGAATATCAGCAACAAAAACAGGACACATCACCACCGCCACCCGTGGCTAGCGTACAGCCATTAGCAATATTCACTCAAGGTCATGAGAATCCATCCAATTGCTTAATGGAACCAGGAAATGACTATAAGGTACATGCAACAGAAATAGAAAACGAGGATTCAGTATTCTTACATGTCATGTATACAATAGCCCAAGTACATCGAGACCCTTCATCCTGTGGCCCATTTCGAAAGAAAGCTTCGATCACTTGCACAACTATGCCAGGAGCCGCATCATCCACCACAGCAACAACAACATCAACAACAACAACAGAAAGAGCCATCATCATCATCAGCATCAAACGATCCATCATTGAGTAGCAGCAATCAACATAGACGATCATCCAACTTGATGCCTGAAGTAATCCCCCTCGTGTCAGCCATTGAACCCAAGATTGCAGAAGAAGAACAGCTATCAAAACCAACCTTTGCAAGCACCATCACCCACGACATGTATGCCGAAGCTATCAGATCAATGATGGAAATGACCCAAGATCTTGGTTGCAGCAGTGAAATGTTGGATTTGGTTGAAGATGAGGCAGCCTATTTACAGCCATATACGGGCACTTTGTCAGTGGGTGGTGCTTTTATTATGAATATGCGTAATCCTCAGCCCAAGCAAGCGATCCACAGCAGTAGCAATAGCAGCAGTGGTGGCAGCATTAGTCACAACACCATCACCAACAACCCTGCTACTACTACAGCCGTTGTTGAGAAAAAGACGCAAGAGCAATTACCAGCTATTGATGAAACAGAATATGATGATGACAACAATGACCAAGGATGCAAGTTGGATGATGACTTTTCAGCGGCAGCGGCACCAAGGCTGTTTTCATCACCACTATGGCAACATCATCAAGAGGGTCATACGCACATTGATACGCTGAAACATTTAAGAGATATCCTTCCACACGCAATATTCACATTATTGACCGGTCGTCCTGTTGTCATTTTGGGCAAAGAAGAGTAAGTGGTGTATGTGATTCTTGATGCACATTAGCTAAAACGACTTCATAGTATGGTGCAAAAGGCGGTGCAGGCGCTGTCAGTGTTTGTACCAGGAGCTGCCAAGACACAACGTGCCGTTGTCCCCTGGTATGATGGTCAGCTTACGGATATCGAATTGGGATCTTTCAAGCTTGTGGGCGCAGCCAGTGTCGATGCAAGTATTTACAAGCTTGATATCAGCTGCTTGGATCTTGATTCGAAGCAACCCAATCTTATTACGAGCCCACTTTATCTTGAAGGTCAATGGGTCACACGTATTGTAGAAAGCATCATTTTTTTCTCGGTGAGTTGATATGTATGTCCCTTTCTTCTTCCTTCTCTTACTCATACATGTATGCTTTTTCCCAATAGAGCGACAAGGCATGGCGAGCTCATTTACAGACCATCCTTATGGAGATGGCTCTCAAAGCCTTTATATACCATTACATGTATACCCGCGATAGTCAAAGCCTGGCAGTGGCTACAGCTGGTCTCCTATCATCATCACATCATCATCATCATCCATCAAAAGCCTCTCGACGATCCTCCCGATCCACAGGCGGCGAGTATGATTCATCATCATCGGACGGAGGTAGCCTTGCACGACGTTGGAGTGTACGACGCATCATGAGCTATCTTCGTAGGATCGAGGAACGACAAGGTGATGAGATACGAGCCTCCTTATCAGAAATGCCACTTGATCAAGATGCTGTTTACAACAGCCGTGACCTATCGGATGGTGAAAGTACCAGCGACACCGAATCAAGTAGTAGTACCAGCAGTGCTGAGAGCAATAATGCAGATGGCATTCCATTGATTGAACGAAGAGGACGCAGGTTCCTTGCTGAAAAACTTGGCGTGCATGGTGATGACCAGAATATTGTGATTGTAAGTTATCTATGAAATGGTGGTGGTACTATGCCAACTGACAAGGGATGTCTTTTTTATTTAGTATTTTGCCAGCTTAACTGAGGATATGTAAAAATTTACAAGATTTGATTATGCGCCAATGAAGGAAATTGTACATAGATGCCCATCTTTTTTCCATGCAGAATGATTATGTATGTGTTGTTGTTGTAGCTTGGGTTGAGGTGGTTGCCATGGTAGTGTCATTGTTGTTGTCTAGCAACCAACCGTTTGCCATGGCTACAGCTCTGGCATCTTGTTCATATTTGTTCCACAACTTCAATATTCGATCCATGCCATCATCCATGGTTGCTTGATCGCCTAACATCATGAGGGAAAGTGAGTGGGACGTGTCTTACTATGAATGCTTCTTGGTTACCTTTCACTAGGACAAAGCCCACTTTGACCTTGCCTTTACGTGCGGATGCAGCGCTTATATGACACATGAAGTGCAAGGTATTATGGTGCCCATCAATTTTCATTGAGCCATCCCAAATCACCTTGTCGTTCTTGTATACGCGCTTTTGCAAGGTACCATGGAAATGCTAAAGCATAGGATGGCTCGGGTCAATTGCTAAGGATCAATGTGCATGTTATTACTGCTACTTACCTCTTGCAAGATTTGTTGTAGTTTTCCTGCCGCTTCACGCTCACATTTAGCATGTCTCTCCAAGACATAGACCTTGTTAGCATGTGCATGCATGGTTTGTTCCCTATCGGCCAATCGTTCGACACACCAATCACGTGCCACACCAAACCATGAGCTGACGGCTCGCCATGGATCAGTAACAAGCCTCGTTGTCGTCGTGTTCAATAACGAGGAACGTGTCTGGAGACGATGAAGATGGCGTATGGCAGCTGAAGACGACGTCATTGATGTTGGTTCAAGAATTGAATGAACATGGGCAAATTGAGCAACCAAGGGATCCGCAGCTGATAACGATGATTCACTATCAAGCCATCGTGATAAAGTTGGATTCGTGCTGGTAGGTGTTGCGTACTCCAAAGAGGATGACCCCGTGGATGAACATATGGATGGCGATTTGCATGGTGGTGATGGTGCTGTTGTTGTAGGGTCCGATTGTTCCAAACATGTCATGGTGCTTCCAGTATCTGGCAACGCTATTGCTCCTACTATGGGTGTCGCACTTCCTATGCCAACACCACCACAACATGAAATCCCAGAATCATGAGTAATGGTGCTGCAGCTACTACTGCATGAATACGGTCGATAAAGGGGTGACCAGGGCGGGGTATTTTCATCTACATGTACTCGTAAATTAGCCGTTTCTCGCTACATGGTCATTACTCATTTATGTCACATACATGTATCTTCATGACAAGCTCGCTGTTGTAATAAATGGCAAGTCAATTTGGGGACATTGGGACTATAAATATACACATCATAAGTAATCCAAACATGTAAACGAGAAGAGGGCATGTCATCGATTTGTACTGTACCTATCACTTGTCAATGCAGCCAACAGCTCCTTTTGGTTGTAACTTTTCCAAAGCACCTTGAGCATTTCCCAAGACCGATTATCAATATCCATGGGCTGATGTATGATGGGACCTTGTAAGGCATGATTATGGAGCAAAGGTGATGTCATTGGTGATGGATGTCGTTGTTTTTTACTGGTGCTTGTGTTGTTACTATTTCGAGTGAGCCATGGATGCAGGAGAACTTCTTGAATCTTTTCTCGGGCAAAAGAAAAGAGAAAGGCGGGGTCACGTCATTACTCGACACTCTGGCATTTTGTTGCATACAATGATATCAACACTTACAGTAATGCGTTTGGAAGGATTCACCATTAGCATGCGTTTGATAAGGTCTTTGGCATCTCGTGATACATGTGAGGGCAATGGCAAGTATCGCCCTGACTTGATTTTTGAAAGCAAGCTTCCTGCACTTGAGCCATCAAAGGGGAGTCTTCCCGTCAGCATAGCATACAATATGACACCAGCCGACCACACATCCGTTGCATATCCATTATATGGTTTGCCCTAAGTATGGCAACAAGATGAGTCATCATCGTTATCGTTGTCATGGTAATAATTGAAGATCCAATGATACTTACTCTGACAATTTCAGGACTCGCATAATGGGGCGATCTAAACAACAACAACAATAACAATCAAAATACCTGTATGAGCTCACGAAGTAAAAGAATATGGTCAATAACAACATCAACGTACCCACAACTAGTCTTGAGAAGCCAATCTGGTGATTGGATGGTAGCCATACCAAAATCAACGACTTTAAGGTTTTCCTGTGCCTTATCCAATAAGAGGTTCTCCGGCTTGAGATCACGATGGCTATTATCATGCAACATGAATTTCTCAACCTTCTCCGACCACACCACTTCCCCCGCTTTTTCATACCAAATGTGATGCGAGTGACACCAAATAAGGGCGGATGCCAATTGACCAAAGAGATGTTTAGCTTTTGTTTCGGTCAATCTGCCATGCTCGGTTAAAACATGATACAATTCGCCGCCATCCACATAATCCATGACGAAATAGACATGGCTAGAGTCTTGAAGCACTTGTCGTAAATGCACGACATGGGGATGATGTAGCAAATGCAGGATGGCAAGCTCCCTTTGTACACACAACGCCATACTTGATGATTGTGCCAATCGGCTTCGAGATATGATCTTGATGGCCACCTGTTCTCCTGTTTCTCGATGGATCCCAATCTTGACTCGGCCTTTAAAAAAGGAGAACAGAAGGTTCAGCCAGATATGGTTATTTTCGGTTGGGAATTGCCATATCAGTCACATTAAGGGGGAGGTATGAGAGAGAGAGAGAGAAAGAGAAATGAGAGAGAAAAAGGACAAGTGAATGAATTGCACCGACTTGTTGGATAGATGTTGTATTCGAATCAAGAAGGGGATGAGTTCAAGTCAAAGGACAAGGGTGTCTCCCAATAAGGTGGGATCCTCGTGCATGCCATGCATCATGTCAAAGCGACATCCAACATGTCACTTTTATGTGTAACGATGTTATAGAGCTGATAATGAGACAACAAGTCGTTATTCTTTGTGTATGGTTGATTGTTGAAGTAGTAGTCGTCATTCTCGTTTTGTTGTTGTTGTTGGATGAATGAAAATGGCATGTCATATAACGACAAGCAGCAATAATAATGATGATAAGGGTTGTTGATGGTGATGATAGGGAGACATGTAATCTTTCTCATATCGTTTTTGTTTTCGTTACTCGTTCTCGTTCTCGTTTTCTCTCTCTCTCTCGCATGTAAATCCTCCTATTGACCTTTCACGGCTCAAAAATTGAAAATGGAAGATGTATACCTACCAGATGCTCCACGACCGATGGTCTTGCCCATACAATAATCACCAAGCATAGGTTGTTGTTGTTGTTGTGGAGGGCATTGATATGATGATGCTTTTCGTTTGACATACGTGTGGCGATAATGGATGTGTTTTTTCATGTAAGGATGATGCTGATGGCTACGTGGTCCAGTTGCGGCTTTGTCGTTTTCATTGAGCATTTCGGAGAAGGATGGTGAAGGCGATGACGGCTGCATTAGGTATGTGAATATATATATACGGGATTTTATATATGTATTGCTTCTCTTTGTGCCTGCACAATTGATTATTAAAAATGGAAGAGGAAGGAGGGGGAAAGAGAAAACAAGCAGAAAGAGGCTTCAAGATGTATTTAAAATAGAAGAACGATTCAACTGCAAAAAAATACAGAGAAGGGGGGCATGGTCACGGTCAAGGAAGGGGTCGAAGGTGTATATGTATGTATGTGAGTGAGTGGGTGAGTGTGAGTGTGAGTGTGTATGAGTGATAGGTGTGTGCGCGCCACTCCATGCGAGATGATTTGACCTATTCATGCTTGCACCTACACACGTCAATGTTTGTATCACTCTTTTGTGTACACAGCGCATGGATCACCGGTCTCATGGATGAACAGCATCCCACCACCGACAACAATAACAGGACCCGTTCCCTTGGTTTATGATACACACACACACACATGCACCAGAGGATCGTCATTAGAATCAGGGGTAGCGACATGTGTGTCTTGATTATAAGTTACGAAAAGGCGTTTAACATTAAAAAGAACGGTCATTTGCTGCATCATGCATAAAACGAGAGGAGACGTATGTATTTCCACATTTGCTATGCGACAATCCACACACTCTTTGAAATGTCCTTAATGTGCACAACAGCAATAGCAGCACCCATTTACTTTTGATCAGGAGGATGAGTGTGCTCGGTGAATACCGGAAAAAAAGGGCATTAATATGTGCTCATGATAGTTTGAGGATACAGCAAACATGTCATCTGGCAGAAACGGTTTCTTTCTTTTCTCTCTTTCTCTCCTCTCCTGTCCTCCTTTTCCACAATCGGAAAGAATGCTTTACAGCGCACTTGCCATGAATGTAAACCGATGTGCTGTATAAGTGAAGGGTGAATATTTGATTTGAGTGAGTGATGATCATCATTTGCTCATCTACACAATATACACAGGGGCAATGATCCAGTCAAAATTCCCAGCTCTTCTTCCACTGCCAGTTTATGGTCTCTCTTCCCACATTGCCACCCTCCCATTCACGACGCTTGCTCAATTCAAAGACATCCACCACTCATGAACGAATGCCCTACTTCAGCCCATCACGTCAATACTACAAGTGTCTTGCCCTGAAAGGTGCTGACGGATTAGAAGTCCATCGCGTGCACACGCCCATGTCGTCCTCTGCAACGCTCAAGTGACAGCATACACCCAGCCTGAAGAGTTAAAGCTCGTGACAATAATGATGGCAGCCTTCATATCATCCCCATGGCAACGTTCATTACTGGATTGATCGTGTTGTTCCTATTCTCCAAATGTTTGTTGACCAGAGTCAGTTGCTTGGATTCACTCCTATCGAAGAGTATGTCAATTTCACCATTGACCCAGATACGTGGATGCGAATTACACCGAAGATTATGATGATGGCGCTGGATACGATATCAATGGCCGCAGGATCAAGCAGTAGCAGCCCCAAAAGGAAGACGTAGACCACATCCTAGATGATACAATCAAGACGTCATTATACGCATCGATGACAATCCTCGCTTTATTCTTACGGCACTATTCCACAACATCGTTTTCGTTCTGTCGCGCCCTATTCCCTGCACTGTGTATGTGTTTGGATCCTGATAATGTTGGCGATCTGTGGACTCATCTCTTTCAACAACCACCATTCATGGATGCAAGTTTTTGGATCATCGCCCATCTTTTCGCCTATCATCGGGTACAAGATGTTATCCTGGAAGAAATCATGAAGCAAAACTTGCGTGTCATTGAAGTCGGAGACGAAGATAGAGGACTACATATGCTTTACAGAGATGATTGGCCCCTGCTTTTCCAATAAAAAAAGCGTTTATCAATGAAGATGCCAACGGCTTCCAACTCTTTGAAACGACCACTCACACAAACAACATCTTTTGTGAAATTTGAACACAGCCAGCGATTTCGTGATAGCATGATCGATTATGGATATTGCAACAGATCCGGATTTGTATATGCATGGATAATCAATCACACCAAGGCTCTTTGTGAAGATACCTCATTAATCTATCAACCTATTACCAATCCCAACAAGCATCTTATCACACTTTGTGATCGCAGATAAGACGCACGCCCACCACGCACATGGAAGACGTTGTCGCCCTTCCTATATTGCTCCCAGTACATCTCTTTCTTCCATCATAGCTACCTTTATTTCTTTGCACCTTCAAAGCCCAAATTGGTGTGAGTATCAGGGTGGATGGTCTTATTCTGAAAGCGATCCATGTATTAATGCCCATGATGATCTTTAGCGTTTCATTGTTATCCTTCTTTCATTGTCATTGTAATTTGGCTCGTTATTAAGGTAAAACCTCATCCTATGCTGAATGAACCATATACTCATATTCATTTTGATGTATCTATCTCCCTAAATTCAACTGCAAAGTGGCATAGTATACTACAGGCTACATGGTGGTGATGATATACAACGGCTTCCACAAAAAGGCCTGAGGATATTGAGATGGCTGGATGTATCCAACTTGTCCCGAGAGATTCATCGATCAAGTGGGGTCCATTTTAAAAGTCGTTTGGAATGCAAAGTCATCTATGGAGCATGTGGAGAGCGCTTTTGGAATGGATAATCATATGCGACGAGCCACCATGGCACTGTTTCAACCAACTCAACAGCTCCAGCAAGAAAACCAAAAAGTCGCTCCAAATAGACCATCACCTCCCGGCCCATTCTCTTCACCATCGACACTATCACAAGAAAAGAACGTAACCACCACCACCATCCATTATTGTCGTTCACATCATGCTCGAGTTTTCCCTCTTACTATATCACAGTTGAACTTTTGCATGGCCCAAGCAGCTTTTACATCGTAAACCTCGTGTATTGTCGATACTCTTGGTGGTGTTCCAGCTCACTCATTAGCAAGATCGTTTCGGCAAATGGAGACATGGTTGGGATCAGAGCGAGTGGAAAAGAAAAAAGGATAACGTGCGTATACTTGGGTGTGGGGCAGACGACGTTGCTCTTGACGATGTGCATGATATTAATGGCACTCCCGACACAATGAATGACCCAGATGATAAGCTGAAAGAAAAGAATAGCATACAATGCTTCAAATAAACTCTGTTGCTGGTTGTCTTTTATTCTTTGCAATTACTTTTCTAGTTATAATACGACGATAGTTGTTGTGTATAGATAATAGAAATGAAGTAAGCGTTGTAAAGGTTGTAAATGCTAAGAAAAGAAAAAGAAGTGGGGTGTGGGGATCAAAGGAGTAACGAAAGTGATGCAAAAGTAAAGAAAAAGTGTGTGGAACATGTGCAGGGAGTGGGAATCGAACCCGCGATTATGTGTAACGTGATCCAAGAAAAAAGGCCAAAAAAGGAAGAGACAATTGGTTTCGATGACTTCCGTCATGTACTCACAGGGATGACCAACGTGAAGGTTTGTCTCACCATCCCCACCCCTAGCGGTAGCACCAACTGCCCGCATCTTCAGGAGACCTTTCTGGGAGGGACAGGAGGTCATTTCTTTTTTCAAAGGGCTTACATCTCCAATCACCCTCCGCGATGGAGACTTGCCTAGGTGCTCATTTACCCTAGGAATCGATCTACTTATATAATGGTTTTAGGGACCCCCATTGTCAACTTGTGGGTCTCTCCATTTTCACACTTTTCCCCACCGTTGTACATGAAGCTACGCCCGATTCCAACGTTTTTTATATCATTTTGATCGTAAATTTTACTACAATCATATAAATGTAGGTTTTTTTGAGAAAAAAAGTGAATGGGTGTCATTCTCTTCAGATTTAGGGCAAACCACTGCTTTCATCACGTGGAATTCGATGATTTCATTCGCCCAAAGGCTTCGGAGTTCGGCCTTTTTTTCTTCCACCTCCAGCTCTTTTTCAATCTCCACACAACCGCATCACCCATCCTGTAAGCGTGATGGAGCTGCTTTCTGCTAGCTAATGGTGTCGACAGCATTATAGGCAAGAGGAAGAGCCGAGTGAATTGTACTTGGTGGTTACATACACGCGTCGCAATGATGCTTGGATTGGAGAAGATACGTAAAAAACAGCATCCTACCATGTAAAAGCTATCCATTCCATATTACGTTCTTCTATGTTTGGTAAGAGGAGCTCTATGATGGTTGCATTGATGTGCACGGACCTAATTGACGCCAACCCAGCCATAGTAAAATGATGTAAAGCTTAATTACAAGGGAATCTCGCGTAATGGTCGTTTTTATTGACCCAAGTGTATAGGCTATTGCCGAGGTGCATATTAACAACAGCAAGCGGGATGGCCACGAAAGGAAAAAAAAACCCCCTTCTTTCCCTCTCCCTCTTCACAATGCAAGATAAGCTTGTCTCCATTTACAAACTACAACACATTAACAGCTGGCACTCCTTTCAATGTGCAGCGTCAATTGGGCGAGCAGGTGGTCCATGGCGACACTTTCCAGTTACAGACATTGAACAGCAAGCACGCGTGCGATCTACCCATGACTCAGGCTTCCAGTAATACAACACGTACGTTCAAATCGCTGCATTTCTTTATTATTCAAGTTGGACGTTGAGATACTAAAGTCTACGTGTAGTTTGCTGTTCTCTCGTTTATAATCCAAAAGGAGGCGTGGTGTGTATTCATTCCATGGTTGTAGCACAAGGAGAGGTCCCAACAAGTCTTTACACTTTTGCTCCGGGTATGTTGACAAGTAAAACAACTACTGTGCTTGCTATCTTACATTGCCTTTATGGTCGATTGAATATGTTGGATGTTGGTACCTCTGGCAGCTCATGGATTATTATGATTGTCGTTTACCATCTTTTCATGCATCATTACACACGTCATTATCAAACAGCACGTTACCACAAGATACTTTGTATTGTGATCCACCCATTATTAAGGTATGAAAGAGGATGGATAAGGATATTGATTGAGAGATGGTGACTAAGAATGATTATCATTTAATGAAGTGTGCAATGCGATGTTCAGTTTCCATGA